AAGGTGCTGGCTCTGCTGCACTGCCGGCAAAGGTGGAGATGGCTCTTCGACACTGGCCTCTGAGCTGGCGTCATCATCCTCCTCTTCGCCCTCCTCTTCCTCCGGTGGTTGCCAAGTCTCCTCAAGCTTGAGACCTTTTCCTGTTCCTTCAGTGAGAGAGCCCCAACTCAGTGATGGCTCAGGTGCGTCGTACAGGCCCAATGCAACAAGCTTCTCACCATCGTCGTCTTCCATATCTTGATCTTGCTGAGCAGGGTGTTGAATAGGCAGGAAGTTGGAAGATGCCTGTGCTTGGTTCTTTTGGGCCCATTGCTGCAGGTACCAGGGCAAAGCTTCGGTAGAAGGAGTGTTGAGCGAAGAATGAACGTAGCCGGGTGTGTGTTGGGACCATCCACATTCTGACTGGGTGTTGGCATAAGTCGAAGCACCAGTCATAGGCTCGAACATGGAGTTGCGTGTAGACAGGGAGTAGAAATCAGAACCGTGGTGAGAGTCACGGTCTGATGGGGAATAATGTTGTGACCATTGCTGATGGGGCATAGGTTCGAAGTAATTCGTTTGCTGTGAAGCCTGGAAATGTGACGACGACGGGTGCCAGCTAACTGGTCTGTTCTGTTGTGGCCGCTCTTCCTCCTCCTCCTGTGACACGCCAAACATCATCCTGTAGTGGTCGTCTAGAGTAGCATAAAGCTTGGTCTCCGTCGTAGTCTTCCTCCTCTCCATGGCTTTTGGACTGTTGTGGTGGCTTTTTGTCTTCTCAACGCGTGATGATCTGCATGGTGCTTGGCTTCCAGAGCTCCGAGAGGTACGTCGGTGAAGCTGTGAGGTTTGCATGTGGCCGGACATGTTGGCGAGGTGGTATGGTGGGAGGGCAGTGATCATACACAGTCGAAGAGGAGATGTCTCGAGTGGTTTGTATATGTGTGTGCTAGTAGGCGGTTGTATCGGGTGCAATCACTCTTGTCTGACTTGGAAGCGTGACTGGCTTGGGGGCATCTGCATAGGTATATGGACTGCCAAGAGATATAGACACATCAGGAAGGGTGGATGGGGAGATTGAAGTAGCGTAACCTCGCGGCAAGAGTCATGGTACAAGGCATACCAGGGCTAGGCTAGCGAAACTCAAGAACAGCTAATAGTGGAATAGATGCAGACAAGGAACGGGAGTGTATTGACTACACGGAGCCACCAAGGGATGGCTCGGTGAGGGAGCGCTGTGACGACTAGGGCCAGTGGCACGGCTGGAACGATCAACGAAAGGCATAGTGCAGAAAGCGAAAAGGAACGCTTGGAATGACCAAATCACAAGACAGGGAAGGCAGACGAGGGAGGCGTACCATGTATCATGGCGCAACGCGCAACGGAGCATCCGTGCAGCTAGACGACGGCCGGCTCATGGAGAGCAGACAAGGGAACCACAACGCCCGCCACGATGATGGCAGAATGCGGTAGTGCGACTAGGCCCTGTACAGACGTGCAGTGCGACTCAGCTGGGCTCCGCACCGGGGTTGAGTGTCGTGTGCATGGGGCGGTGGCCCTCAAGGCGGTCAACTAGCCTTAGGGTTGTTGTACGTACGGAGCCTGAAGGACGCTCGCACTCGGCAGCGTCATGTTTTAGCCGCGTCTGAGGGTAGCATGATTAGTGGAAGAGGACCGGCGATACTCCAGGGCGACATGGGCGTTGGTGTGGGAGGCATGCATGTTCATGGTGCATATCAAGCAGAGATCCGTGTCGGCGCCAGCAGCATCGCGAGATCAGGGGCGGATGGGGCTTCAAACTTTGGTTGGCGCAGTAGTTTCGGAAAGGGTTGGAAAGCGAGGTTGGGTCCTGCTGCGCTACTTCTCCTTCACAGCAGTCGACACGCTAGTAGGCGCAGCCAATCACTGCCACCCGCGAGAGTGAATCGGTCCACTATACCCGCTCCCAGCACCTCCTGCTTGGTCGCGCGTGCAGCCGGCAAACCACACTGCTGGCCCACGGTATCCAAGCGCGATCTGGGGTGGGCGCTGCTCCGATGCCTTCATTGGCCTTCTCCTAGCCGAGCGTCTTCCAGAAATCGACATGCAGCTAGTCAACCCCTGCCGCCTGCAACGGGGACGGGCGAGTCGATGACATGGGACTTTGCAGATGGGTGCACCGATGCAGTATCAGACACATGCATCACTGGCTGAGGTCACACAGCCAACGGCGGGCCACTCGCGGAGATTGGAGCAATCAGCGTAGAGCCCTCGCCTGGCACAGGCATGTCATCAGCCTTGCATACTGACTACGCTGCAAACGCCTGAGCAGTATGAGCACACCGGACGCAAGAAGCCGCCTGTCCATCGGTCGACCCCCCGGCGTGGGTACATGTGCCGCCACGACGGGTTACGCCTAAAGTACGCCCACCCCCCGTACTTGTGGTTGTGTCGAGTCTGACACCCTTGTTGGACTTAGGCAGCGCCGAGGAAAAGCACTTTAACCTTTGGCCAGCGCCGGGCTCCACCTAGGCACGCCTTGAAACCATGTGCACGCTGCCAACGTCGAACATCGGGCTTGGACAACCGAGTGACCGGCTGGTTGATCCAAACACAGACGCTGTGACCCAAGTCAACACTGAACCGCTGCATCACGCCCGGCAGTCTTGACCACCGGGCACAGTGCGGCCGACATGGCGATACGCGCGTTCACATGGTGGCATGTCATTCTCCTTGCGAGATCGTCTAGCACTGCAAATAGTCTGCCTATACACTAGGTTAAAACCTATTATAGGACGCCGGTACTTCGTTCAACGTCGCGGTGGGTGGAGTGGATCCGTTCATTACGATAAATGTTGGCTGCAACTAATACGAAGCACAAAGTCTGGCTGCGCCGCGGTGACAAAGCAGCGAGCTTGCGTGGTGAGGATCCATCTCAAGAAGTCTGCCGCTACCATCTACCGTTATTGGCAGCACGGCTGTCTCAACCAAGATGACAAGCGGGTTGATATGATCCATTCCAACGACAAGGCCTTCACACCTCCCTGAGCGACCCCACGGTGACCAGGCCCAAAGTGGTAATGCCGTTCGACAACCAGAAATGAGAAAATCCCCGCGTGGCTGATGAGACGCAGCCGAAGCGCCGAGAGACCAACCCTGGCCTCGTCCCGCCTGAATGATCGACAGCGGTCCAACGCGGCGCAAGGATGTTTTTGGCGGTTCAAACGAACAGGATCATGTCAGGGGGCTTGCATCTTGTCGCCAAAAAGAGCATATGAAAGCTGCACTTGGGTCCTTGCATGGGGTGTCATTCATGGATGCACGCAAAAATGCATCGTCAACGTTTACTTGGCTGCAGCCAAGTGACATTAAAAATATGGCATACATTTTTACCACATGAAACCCAATCACAAAGCGGCTTTTCATGGCAACACTCGTGCAGGCGCCAGCACGCAGGATCTTTATTGTGCCAAAGAAGAAGTAACTAATATCACAGGTCCGTCATCAGCAAAGTGCACCGAATGTGAGCGTCAGTGAACGATATTGCAACTAGCGCGAGCCACAGGGAACGAATCAATGCACCGTGTCCCGTAATTCAGCACATCCCGCGTATCACACCCAGTCAGTATGACTCTGCAGCACACGGCCTCGGTCATTTTGATCCACGAAAAATTACGGCGTAGCTGTGCCACTTGTGCATCACGAGACGGATACGTTAACAGGAAAAGTAAGCACCGAGCTGTCACCGGAACCTGTTCTGCACAGCGTCGCTTGATCGTGTTCACACAATCTGCGAACCGTCGAATCGAGGTGCTGAATGCTGACCCGCATTTTCCCATGGTCTTGTCTTGAGCTCATCCGTGGGAGGTGATAGGTCACGCAGCAGCACTGGGCACAACAGCGTCGGCAGACATTACACCATCTGGAAACCCGTGCCTACTAGCCGTGCTGCGCGTTACTGGTCTCATCAATCGAGATTGTGAACGCTGTAGTTTCAAGAAGGCTTTCTCCGGCATTATTCTGGCGAAATCGCTTGAATTGACGCGGCACGGGTACTAGACTCTTCAAAGTGTGTCAAGGCCAAGCGCTGCCCATCTCTGACAGCCCCAGTCCGGCAATCTGCAACACGGGAAGAAAAGCCCTTTAATGACGTATCAGCGGGTGGCCCACGAGTCGAGTGGGTCTCAAACGTGGCGCTGCATCGTCTCAAAGACTGTTGACAGAACAAAAATTGCGGTATGAGCGGCATCGCCTACACCATGCGAGCGAGCCACCCAGAAAGTCTTTTATGGCACGCCCTACCCTGTCGATAACATGATAATCTTGGCACGAGATTGCCTTTCTCAAGAATGTCTATCGCACTGCCATCGTCCTGGGCCTTTCAGAAGACCACTCATTAGATTTGAATCGGCTACGTGTTAATTCTCGGTCACGCAGCCCTAACCAAGCGTCAGGTGAAGCACGCTGTAGACAAGTTGCATGAGGAATAATTCGTGGGCTCGGTAGCTGCATTACTTGTGGATGACGACGATCCTTAGCAAGGTGTTGGCTTGTCTTTGTGATGCGTGTTCTAGACTCCTTGTCGGCCCATGCGAACGTGAAATTCTCTCTTGCGGGCGCGGCGGCACTTTATCCTTACCCTTGGTGCGAGCATTAGCCTCACTAGGCGGCTCGAGAGCCCACTTGCTCAACGTCGACAACTCCCTGTCCAATCGCCGTGCTCCGTTGAAGCCTCCTGGGTGCTTCGATCAGCAGCCACACTAGCTCGTCGGTGAGCCTCCTTGCTGCTGCAAGTTGTGCTGGACGCAACCTTGACTATTTGCCGGCTCATAGTCCTACTGCACAACTCAAACAGGCACCAGCGGTACGACCTCCTACCGCATCTCATCTCGACATGTGCGTGTGACGCACGTCTAGAGAACCGGACACCGATGCCCCACTGAAAATAGCTAAAGGCTCACAACCATGGGGCAAGATGGCATTCCACATATACGATATGCGCTGGTAGCCGGGGTACGGGTCTGTCCAGTCAGACCGCCACTATGCCAACACCACCGCCGCCTACTCGCTTGTACGTGCAAGTTGCAGGTACATCAACATGGACAAGCCATGACGGTGCGGGCGAGCTTCCACATCACTTTTACCTAGCTAAGACGGCCGCACGAGCGCGACCAACCGTGGGTATCATGTACACGTCTGTACCTTCGCTTCACCCGAGCGCTGCAACTGATGAAACTTACCTGTCGGGCGATCCCATGCTAAATGTCTTACGACGCAGCAGCTGAAGCCAGCCTGCATCTCCGCAAAATCATCTCCACTTTACCAGGGCCCGGCGGTGACTCGGTTTCACGCGCAGTACGAGCGTTTGTTTTCCTTCTGCCGCTTCGCCGTGACCCTTCTGCTTGTCGCACCTCTTTAGGTCCAGTCTCTGCTTGCATCCGCCTCGAGGCCAATAGCTCTGATCCTTCAATGCAGCGACAATGCACCAGAAGGAGCCGTGGATCCGGCCATCATCATGAATCAGGGTGGTATTGAGGCGCTTGCTGCTGCAACCTGTGTCGGTATCGCAACTAATATAGAGCAAAGTTTCTCGATCAGCACTCTGCCACATTTGAGTATCCGAGGTCGGGCCACTCCAAGCATCATGCTTACCTTTTACAGTTACCACCACCGATCTGAGTCTTGTAATACTACGCACCAATACGGAAATCGTACTCCGCTTTAATATTCCAGCAGCACACCCCTAGTCGGAACCCTATACAGCAGTCGCTATTCGTTTGTAGCACATAGCTTGGTGTCCGCCAGTCATGCATCCGGCCGCCGTTACATCAGGCGATGTGTCAAATGCGATCCCAAGTTCGGTGCTACTGCGCGCATCACAGCTGACGAGGGCGGTCCTTTGCGTGAAGGTGACAATCCTTGAGTTGACAACTAAGACTCGCTTACGGAAGCTCCTATGCAAGTAGTTCCTCGTCAGGTGTATGACGGTGCAAACGGGTCCACGGATGCCATGCATGCGCCATGAATTTTTCCACCTCACCAGATCGGCGAATCGCCTATCTTTTCACTCTGGACATGCTCTAGGCTAAATTGTGCTTACGCGGCGATCTCAAAAGGCCGCTTCCACCACTGAGCGACGACCCGAAGTACCTTCTTTGTTCGCCTGCGATTATGCGCAGAAGCGGTCACACTTGCATGGTCCTGATTTGCGGGCCCTCAGTAAATTGAACGCCTATTTTTGGGCGCCCACGACAAAGATCTGATCGCTGCGTAAAGTATACGCAAGTCGCTTATTGCCCGACTTGCCGCATTCCCACCTGTCTGATGACCATGCCAGCCCGGCTTGCTCCTTCTTTGACATACCGATATTCTCACGGCGATGCGGCTAGTAGGCGCTTCATCAGCGCCCGCAACACTACCCCTCCTCGACCAGCATTAACAGCAATCCACAGTCTAGGATGTCCTGGAACTGCTCCAAACAGACCGCCCAAGGACAGCCTGCACGACAAAACCAGGTGGCTTAACTTCCGGACTGTGTTTCATCAACTTTTCTTTGCTTCCGCTTTTTCCGATCGTTCTCGCTCTCCAATACTGGCTGCCTAACTGCCCAACACTGAGTTGTCAGCCGCAGGCGGGTCGCATGTATGCACACCAAGTGGCACTATCTGCCCTCATAGTTACCCACCCATCATACGGTCAAATTTAATGGGGACATGCAGGTGCTGCACACGGTCATACTGGTGGTTTGGACCATTTACGCGAAGGATACATTTTCTCCGTTGATCAACAAGTACCACGATGACCCATGAACAACTCAAGATCTAGCTGCGAAAGTGCCACATCAGTTGCTTACGTCGTGTACGGATTTCCGGCCTCCTAACTGTTTTTTACACCGCGCGCTTCTACGTCGCTAGTCCTTTCGGCAGCATTGATGCATCTTGCAACAGGCGCCCTAATTATGCCACCCAAAATACTCCGGGGCATCATGTACCGTTTGCTCTACTGTGCCGCCTACATGAGGGAGCTAGATTACCGTTCGGGATCAAGAAGCTCCGGATCATCGCTACACGGATGCAACACTGACAATCGTGCCTTCAAGTGGAAGCTGGGAGCTCACAAAGTACCCAACACGTCGCGTTCCGTCTTCCCACCTATATCCATGTTCTTTCGTTACAAAATCCAGTCGTTGCATAGTCTAGCCTTGGAGGAGCTGCTGCCCATGGAGAGTGCCGGATACATAGAATCATACAGCCCAACAATCAGCTGATATCAGACGGTGCTATACAAGAGTAAGCGATAGACGACCTCGGGACGATGCCTAAGGGAGATCGTCAACATGTTGATCGCAGGCACGATCATCGCTGATGAGCAAATGCTCTACGTTGACATCATATACTTTCTCTTGCTCGTAATTCGCTTCAAACTCCACCACACATTTGAGGTTACTCAACAAAACTTTTACTGATTGCAGCCCTACCGATCGTCTTTATCGACCGATCAGGTGTATACACCTTTGTGTACATTGCGGGCCGATTTACGCATTATATCGCCACCGTCAAGCATGGCATAGCATAGCCCCAATCGCAAAAGCAGCGCCTCGCCACACATGTCACACACGCATCCATCCAACAACGGTCCGGCGAAAAACATGTCCCCACCCAAGCATTTCGCATTCAACATCCGGAGCCGCTTGCGCTTGTTCGCTACGCCACGGGAGGGTGTCATCAGACGGAGTTCGGTAGGCTGCCTATGCAGGACTGCCGATCGATGACGAAGACGTTGGGGTAGATGGAGTAGTGCGGGGCTTGTTCTTGCGCGAACATGTTGACATAAGCACAGTGTAAGTGTAAGTGTAAGGTTCAACTTTGAGCGGTGAGTAAGTTGGGATGTATAGAACCATCACTATCTATGTGTGGGTGTGCACATGTGTGAGCGTTGTCGCGGAAGCAGGAAGTCTTGGTCGAAAAGAAAATACGACACACCTTGGCGGAATAACTCGCTATGCTTGCTGTTGCCTTGAGAAAAAGATAAGTACGCCTTTATGCAACCAGATTTATGGGATACGAAAAAGCCTATACATCATATGTGCAATATAGTTGGGCTTATGAGCCGTATAGCGTAAAAACTATGGTTGAAGTTTTCGCCTTGGCTCATACTATGGTATCGCTACGCCCATGTCACCTGTTTTCCTTTCACGGTAAGTATCCCAAACCACGAACCTTGAACCTTTTCGCTTTTTCATATGCGGTTCTTTTTTCCCTGGTAACACCATGACCAATAAGGGACGAATCGGCGTGGAGGATCTCGAGCTGAGCAGTACCTCCAGACGTCCTGATGTCACTTAAATATAGTCCGCTTGATTCTCTTACCAGCCTGCACTGCACTCATGTCTACAAAACCTGTGTCAAGTTCCGAAGGTTTGCATTTTCCGTGCACTAGTCGCAGTGCAAGCACGTGAAATACCGAACTAGAACAGCGTCATTAGTTGGGACAACGACCGTGACCGACCATAGATGGATAGATCCTTTAGTCGCCCACCGTAAATCGGCAGAGAGACTTTGAAGCGTTGAACGACTTGGACCGGGGTATACAAACTTTGCTCGTAGTGCAGTGAACATGGCGTGCTGAGAGGTATATGCTCAACCCATTTTCGGCAGCACGCAGTGATCAAGTATTAGGTGAAACAGTTGGGTTTTGTGAATGATTCAGCATTGGCCTCATCTTGAATTTCAGGGAGGGCATCGCGCATGCGTCCTTGACTACAAAAAAATATTGATAGTGTATGGATGGAGCTCAGTCAGGCCAGAGTCATCTTGGATGCAAGAGTAATGGGTTTTGTTTTGCATTACAATATAAAGTCACTTCCTGGTCGGGTACAGCATCAAGATAACTCCTGAGATCTTGTCCGCACTGTGTATCACGCGTTTTGCGCAACCGCTTTCTTCGATGCTCTCGGAGTGAAGCCTATCTATTAAATTCGATGCAGCCCACAACAAGTATTGACAAGATGAGAGGGTTCGGGCAGAACACGACTTAGGTCTCTCAATCTACCAACCACAACTTGTGCTGATGGTCGAGTAAGGGCAGTGAAGTCACAACATACCGGCTGCCTTCTTGTACACGAGAAACATTATGCTTACTGACTGTTTCTTTTAGGCTATACCTACACTGAAAGAAAATACGGTACGTGTACTGTGACATATCTACCACTATGACCAATGAGACTCCATATACTATGTTGCTCCTCGAATGGAGAAGGCTGGCCTCTCCAGGCACGAGGATCTCAAGCCTCAGAATGTTCTCATACATTGCAATGACATATTACTCACCGACTTCGGGTTCAGGTAAATTCCTGCTTCGGCGTCGACATGCCAACGTTAATAATACACAGCCTAGACTTCTCCGATGACTCAGCTTCAACGACTACCGGGCGGGTGATACTCAGCGCTAGGAGTCTTGGAGTTTGAGCCCCGGAACCGAGCTAATGACATCTTCTCTCTTGGGTGTGTTCTGGTCGAGATGGTCTCAGGACTTTACGGGCACAGTCTCTCTGAAGCCAAGGATCATTGGAGGACTAGTAATTGGCAGTCCAGTTTGCGCGAAACCCAAAGGCGACATCCTCATAGCTTGCGTCACTGTCAGATCATCCTGTAAGCGACAGGCTCAACCCAATTGTGTACTTCCTACCAGCACTGCTAGTCACGAAACGGCTCGATCGAGGCCCGATTTCATAGAAGGGTAGGCAAGCATCTACTTACAACCCATCAAAAAGGCAATCAGTCCTCTTATAGAGGACGTTCTATTCCCGGTCACCAATAGGCTTGTCCAAAAAGGCAGCCATATCCATATCAGCCACAGGCGTCGACAAAATGTTGACCGACTCGCTGTCGGTATAGCTCCCAAGAAAGCGAACGCAATGGCGATGGTCGACTTGACGCATGACTCTAATCTCTCAAATGAAAGCAGTCATGATACTTTGGTGCAGCTTGAGCGGTTTTGGCCTTGCGATCTTTTTTCTTGCACACACTATGGGCGGTTCACAGGATCGTATTGTCACTTCTTCGACAACGCCGACCATTCCATCACCAAGGTGACGGTTCACCTCGAACACGTCTTCGTCGCCCTCAAACTCGTAGTGGTTGAACAAAATGTCGAGCATGCGATCTGGCAAGGAAGCCTGTGCCCACCGCATAAGCAATACGTCCTGATGATCATCTTATGATCTTAGGAATTCTAATATATGGTGGGTGTCTCTTAGTGAGCGTGGAAGCAGGGTCTCTCTTTGCTCAGGTTCGTAGAACACTCGTATTCTGTCTCGGTGGTGCTTGTCAGTTCTGCCACGCGATCTGATATCCAGCCCATCCCGGAATTCTTCACTAAACTCGACCCATTCGTTTGGGTTGTTGGCACTATTTGGCGATAGAGAACGATGGGGGGTTTCGCCTGGATTCCATACTGGAGCAGGTGTCGTCGGCTGGAGGTGAGGTAGGCCTGGCGCTGCCCCGCCTTCAGCCTGATAGTCAGGGCGCGGCTGAGCTTAGTCGTTGGTACAATCGGTTTTGGATCGTCTTAAGCCAAGTGGTGGGCCAGAAAGTCGAGCGGCCCGTCTCAGTCTATGTTTGGAGGTCTCCGTGCTGGTTAGGACGCGTTACTATACTGGTCCAAGGCATCGAGGCTGGGCATTGATCACTGAAAGCCTGCATCGTAACAGGCTAAGGCCGTGTAACAATGCCAAGACAGCTGACGGTAGGATTGGTGAGGAGGGTTAGCATGCACCTGCTCAGATTGAGACAAGACCCTCGTTACACGTGACTGTCGCTTAGACCTTCCCAATCGTATCGTCTATCCACATCTTGGATGCGACAAGCTATCGCAACCCTCCCCGCACCCATCATGGCTGGTTTTCAACGCTTGCTAGTTTTTAAACTGGCACATGTCACTTCGTTTCTGCTAGTACCGTGATACAGGAACGGATTGGTTTTTGCCAAACACCTCAGCACGATGCCTATCCAAGTAACGCGCATGAAAGAGGCCGATATAGACGGCGCAATCGATACCATACAACAAGCCTTCGCAAATGATCCCTACAACAATTGGGTATTTCCAGACCGCGAAAAGGTAACTCCCTCAACGCCCGTCTTCATGCACCTTACTAACAGCTATATTTCAGGTCTCCCTAGCGCGTAACCGCGTTTCTCTCACGCTACGATGCCGCTGGGGTATCGAGCATGGCCTCTTCCACGTCGCACGCGATACCGCAAATCCCTCTAAGATCCTAGGCTGCGCAATGTGGCTTCCACCCCGGCCAACTTCAGAACCCGAGTCCTGGTCACTATACCTTTCCTACTGGTATCTCTGGGCCAACCAAATACGCATGAATTTGTGGTACGGACGCGGCGGCCTCAGTACCACGCGATACTGGATATGGAAAGCGCGGCAGGCGGAAGCGCAGTCTGAGTTGTGGAAGGATCCAAAAGGGTACTACTTCTGCAACATCGTTACTGTGTTGCCAGAGTGTCAGGGTCAGGGCGTAGGGAGAGCCTTAATGGAAGAGGTTCTGAGTATGGCTGATAAAGAGGGGAGAAGTTGCTATCTGGAGAGTAGCAGGAGCGAGCCAAATATTGCCATTTATGAGAAGTTTGGATTTCGGCTGGCGAGGGAGATGGAGTGTAGGGATGGAGATGGAGAGAAGGACGCCATCAAGCTGTATTGCATGTTGAGGCAGCCAAGAGGCGGGCAGAGCCAGGAAACACTAGGGGGAGGAAACAAGAGTGCCGCTGCAGAAACAGCGGGTACTACACCAGAGATAGGGCAATGAGAACGTTGCAGTGAACTGGTGCGTGATAAATCTGAAATACCATGTCCAGACTGATATGCTTAGTTCCTGTACATCAAGACCCGCAGCATTAGAACCCAAGGAACATTCAAATCACCCAAGTCCTCAAAAGTCCAGACTCCCATTCCTCATCTCTACCAGGTCGGTCCTCCCAACTGACGCCAGGCCAATCCTCAAACACACTCTTCGCTGCCGCCTCATCCCCTTCCCTCATCAACACATCGACAATCCTCTGCGCACCCTCAAAAACCCCTTCCACAAATCCATCATCCCTAGACGACCGTGCTCTAATCTCCCGTCCAAGAATCTTAATAATCTTTCGCCCTCTACCCCCAACCCAGAAGCCCTTGGGCACAAACTCGGCCAAGGTAAAGAACCATGCCACCAGCACCAAAGCACGAGGTTCTCTTTGGCGCACCAGCTGGAGAAACTCCGGCATGAGGAACGACGTGAAACAAAAGACGCGGACGTAGAGATCAGGATTCAGGTGGTAGTAGTACAAGGACAGGAATATGGGGGATAGAGCGTAGAACACCGGAAGTAGCGTTGGTCTATGCCAGTCAACTGATCCAGATTCTTTGCCACGGACAATGCTGTCGAGGAGCTGCATCAAAGGTGGAGGTAGGAACAGGCGGGTCTGTGTGGGGAACTGTGTCGGTGGGTACGTTGGTGCTGGATTGGGATTGTTAGGTGTTGTTCCTAGGGGCCCGATAGGAGCATCTACACCTGCGACATCAACGATAGGTGGTGGTGGCAAAGTGCGTAGTTCTCGTCGTACCAAGGGGTAGACGGAGAGTTTCTCCATGCCTTGTGCCCATCGGAGTGAAGCAAGGATACGAAGTCCTTCGCTTAGTTTCAGGAGTGTTATCATCCATTCTAGGTACTCATCGTCATTATTGGTAGACGGTGGTGGGACCAGAGCGAGGAAAAGACCTCCTGTGACGAGGACTGCTTCGTAATTCTCTGCGGTGATGTCTTTGAGTGCTTCCTTGTAAGAAGAGAAAGCCTTTTGGCGATATAGTAGTGCTTGTTTCTCAACGGTCTTGTTTGGCATAAGCTCGTTGCTGTGGTTGGCGGCGATACTGAGCATACCGTAGAGAAGGAAAGGATGAGAGATGCCTAGTCGGGGGACAACATTCTCGTGCAAGTTGTTCAAAACGGTGTCGTCGCGCACTACAAATTCGCGCCAGACATGTGCTTTATAGTATTGCAATAAATGGTGGTCGAGGTGTGCAAAGGAGCCTATAGATGTTGGAGAGGCTGGAACGAGCCACGGCGCCAATTGGAAGGAAAGATCATTGAAATCTGCCTCATTGTTGTAGGCTGATGATCGGAATTCGTGACCAGGCGATGGTCCTGAAGACGGTGTCCTCGATGTCGATTGGGAGTCCTGTGCGTATTCGCAATTCAGGTCTCTCACACTGCAGTAACGACAGATAGGTTGTGCTTCATCGCACTATACTACATTAACTCTCTGTCCACACATGGAAAGCCTGAAAATCAAACACACCTTGACTTTCTTTCTCTTGCAGGTCAAGCATCCGCCTCTCGACTTGCGATGCGGCTTCTTAGGTATGAAACCCGTACTTCGGCGCGCCATTTAGACTACGTCTACGCGGAGCTAGTATGGCTTGGATGGATTGGCATCCCGGGGAGGCACAAGGTGGTGGGATGTAAGGCGTCCAACAGTGCCTGGGTCGTGCGCGTGGCTAAGTGCCGCTTAGTGGGGGGCCTAAGGTCTGTCTGGGTAGTCATGCCATCATGGCAAAGGTAGGTGGGCTTTCGTATATGATATGCCTCTGGTCACGCAACATTGGTTAGGATATGAGGCGTATATGCATTCTTGTGAGATTACAGGGTATGCGCGACCACAGCCGTGCGTTACGCTCGTTTTTATCAGCTCACAGTACATTTGCGCCCAGGCGACAACCATATCACATGCTGATTGAAGGGATTAACATGAAAATCATATTAGAGATTGGGATATATAAAGGAGTACAAGACAGCCGCTCAACGCACGCTAAAACTACAGATCAAGCACACTGAAGAACCCTCATTTTCTCTCTACGACAGCCGTCTCGCCATCGCTGTCCGCTTGTGCCATCCTCAGGTCCCCTTCAACATATCGACTTGGCTGCAAAACCAGCAGCATCACCAGGACTAGGACCATTGGCACAGCGTCGAAGCAATACAGTGTCCACTCGTGAGCGATCAAGTAAGCAGCGTTACCCATCGCATACTCGATGAGTCTGAATGTACAGCGGAAGAGAATCAATGCGCTGACACTATAAAGTATGTAAAGCATCTTCTTCCAGTCTGCGGATGCATGATCGACTTTCTTGTTCATACGGATTTGGAAATCGAATGAGGCGATGAGGAAGACAATAAAGGTAGCAACTTGGAGTGCGAGACCGGCAATTACGATTTTTTCTCCAGCGAGGGCGAGGGCGAGTTGCATCGTACCCATGATACTGGCACCTATTTCCTGTTAGCCCGAGTTTCTTCAACCTACTTTGTATGCGGAGACGACGTACCTAGGCCCTGAATGATCAAGGTTGTGACGTCCGCGGTGACGAAGATCCTTGTGTACCACCTCGCTGGGATCAGACTCACATCTTCTCCACCAGCAAGTCTGATCGTACGGCCAAGCATCATGTATATGGTTGCTGCAAACCATAGAGGACCGACGAGTGTCAGTACACCTTGGGTGATGTACTGGGGCCAGGCATCGTTGTCGAAGTGCGATGCGATACGCGCGCCATAGCCACCCACCTCGCCTGTTACATTCTGTTAGGTACAGCTCCAGACGATGTACATGTGTAATAAGTTGGCAGACTAGAAGCAACAGAGAGGACATACAGAGCGCGCCGATAACCACGAAGACGATGATCCTATTCCTGGACCTGAGGTACTGATACAAGTGCAGAAAAGCCATTACGAGAAAGACAACGAGGCATACGATGGCTCCAGCTAGAGAAGGAACATAACGGTACATCTCCCAATCAAAGTTTGGTCCTTTAGGTGGGTTTTGCCGTTTCCATTCCGAAGGAGGGAGTGGAATACCGAGTGGGCTTGCCATGTTCGATCTCATGTCTGAATACAGGTAAAACAACTGAGTATGACGATTGAAGCTCTTGAAAAGAAGTAAGATGGATAGTAAGAAGCAGGTCAGATTCCTTGATGGTGATGATGCTTCACTTCAAGCAGCGGCAGAGCCGTCTTATGTAGTAGCTGCAGCTGCGAATGTATCGCGCCATCGCCAGTTTCGCATCCGCAGTTGTTGTCGCATTCGCTTATCTTCCACATCATGCATGTTGAACATACTCCAGAGTTCACAGATGACGATGTTTTTAGGCCGCTATGCCCAGACTTTCGCATCGTAAGCGTAGAACGCCACATTTCGCATTCGCTAAACTGGCCAATGCAACGCCTCAGATTCATCGTTCATCCAGGGACGCGGGCTTTCGAACCGGGTTGTGGTGTGGCTATGGGTGTACTTCGATACTCGAGTGCAGGCTACGAGTACGGAGAAAGCGACTGAAGCTGAATTAGTAGAGCTCAAACGTCCACTGCGCACTGGACCCGTGAGTCCTATCAGGGCCCAGACATCGAGCATCTTTCACACATAGTAGTCATACTGAAACACATTAAGGGTTAACAATGATGCATTACAGAAGGACTGGCATCTGTGATAGCCTAGCCAGGCGCCACGCTACAGTACGTCAAGTGATGCCCAGTACCTTTGCGAACTTTTGTTTCGTAGATCATATGTTACAATGTGCGGCGAAGCGCACCAGCCTCAACCCATCCTCCATCCAAACCAATAAAAGTGAGATCCCTATTGGACTAATCTAGCCCATGACCATGCCCTTAAGACCGGCCATATCGCCCTCCTTGGCGGCGATTTCGAAGTATCCGTAAATGATAGTTACGGCAAGGAGAATACCAGTACCGCTACCGAGAGCGCCGAGAAGATCGCTACCGACAGACAGAGCTCCAATGCAGGCACCACCGAAGGCGGCAGCGGTGGGGATGACGCGCTTAAGCTCCTTGTACATGGACTCCTCACGGTGACCAGCCATGACCAGACCCTGCTCCTTGAGCTGCTTGGCAACGTCGCGGGGAGATGAACCAGAAACCTCGATCCAGGTCTTGGAAAAGACAGCGCAGGCGACGAGCATGTAGACGATGAAGATGGCAGTCTTCAGGGGGTCGGAGAGAGCCTCGGTGATGCTGAGAGGGGGAGACCTGGAGACGGTTAGTGGCTGAAATTGTGATACAGTCAGGGATTGACATACATGTAGTAGGCGACACCGGAGGTAGCGAAAAGCTGGGCGGAACCCTCCTTGGGCTCCCAGACACCGAGAAGCTTGACGAGGAGGTTGTCAGAGAAGCGGTTGTAGAGCATCTGGCTGATCAAGAAGACGTTGGAGGAAAGAGCAGACTGCAGCATGATGGGCATGTTGGAGGTGTAGAACAGACGGACGGGGTACGAGCCACGAACACCACGCTGGCGGGCGGGCTTGACAGGAAACTCGACGCGGGAACCCCGGGGGGAGATGACAGCACCGAAGACAATGACTGTGGAAATCAGGTTCATGACGTTGGGGAGGTTCTGGCGGTAGAAAGCCTCCTTGAGCGCAACAGTCTTGTTGGGCCAGGTGAAGAGCAAGTGGACAAGGGCAATGAGAGCACCCTCGAACTCAGGACCACGACCGGTGTTGATGGTGGTGGGGGAAAAGGCCTTCCACATGATGGACTCGCAGATGTTGGTGGCAATGAAGAGCGAGATACCGCTGCCGAGACCGTAGCCCTTCTGGAGGAGCTCGTCGAGGAGGATAACGATCAGACCAGCGATCATCAGCTGGATAACGAGGAGAACGCAGATACCGGCACCGAGGTCAGAGGGCTGTCCGTAGAGACCGGAGATGACATAGACGACGGCCTGGCCGAAAGACAGGAGAATAGCGAGGAGCTTCTGGGCGGTCTGGTAGAGCTCGCGGTCAGACTTGAGGTCGAGGTTGACGTCGATGAGGTGGGTTCCGGCAAGAAGCTGGAAGACCATGCCCGAGGTGATGATGGGGGTGATACCCAGTTCCATCAGTGTTCCTCTGTTACTCGCCATCATCATTCGCAGCCAGTATAGCGGGTCGGAGGTATCAGACGACACAATTCCGTAGAGCGGCATCTGGCTCATGACCAGGAAGACGAGGAGAGTAAGGCCGGTCCATACGAGGCGGTTGTTGAAAGGAACCTTGCTCTCTGGCAGCTGAATTTCAGGCACCAGAGGCACAAAAGGCTTGACGAGATCGAGGAACCGTACTACGTGGAACTATTAGCTGTGCTGCTCTGTGCCGTAATTCCTCGCAGGCATTGCGCGCACACGCCTCGCGCGGCCATTGAAAGGTGAGGTCGTGACTTACGGCCGCTCATGATTGCGATCTATGGCCCAGAGACAAGAAGAAGACAAAGAGAGGTGGGAAAGGGTGGTTGCGAACAGCCAGTTGATGGAAGATGGAGAGGGGGTTGTGCTTCTGTAGCTTTCGCAACGTGTCGCTGGGGAAATTATCCGTGCGCACGCTAGCCCGTAGCTCCGTCCCTGAGCTATCGCGAATCTCCCACCCGCAACTCCCAAGAGGCCACGCTGTTCTCACCTTTCACCCATTACGAACTCTTGGAACATTCACGAAGCAGCTTGTTTCACCTCTGAGTCAGGAACTGGTTACTACCCTACATCCTCTTCCCCCTCTTCGCCTCCCGGACCGTGAACTCTGCAGCAGGCTGTGCCTTTTTTATTTCAACCTCGAGTCTCTTCAACGTCTTCGTTAATTCCTCATTCTCGGCCTTCAGTAACTCGTCCCCTGCGTTCATCTTCTCTACCTCGCTTTTCAGTTTAACAATCTTCGTCTCACTCTTGACGCATAGCCTGGTCAACTTATCTTCTGCTGTTTCTTCTTCCAGCTGCCTAAGCTGTTCACGTAAAGCGGCTATTTCATCTTGGTGTTTCTTGTTTTCAAGGATGAGGAGCTGGCTGAGTTCCACGCAGTCTAGGCATGCCTGTAAACCTGTTCGAGCTCGACAGCAATTGAGAGCGCGACCTGCAGATTTGCAGAACTGGCAGTCGATTTTGGTCTTACTCTCTGTCAGCTCAAGCTTAAGTTCAATTATTCAGGACTCTACCTTGATGCTGGAGCTGCTCCGTGTGTCGCTGACTGGAAAGACGGTGGACGCAGGAGTGGAATTGTAGTGAGTAATCCCATTGTGCTCCTGACCATTCAGAGGGCGAATTACGTCGCTATGGGTACTTAGCGGCGTAAAAGCTGCTGCTGTGGCTCGTAGACGATCGACCATGTTACTGCCTCGATTTTGAGGACCGAGAGAAATATGTGGTGAGCACCAATAGTGACAGCAGCGAACGATCCGAGAAGCAGCGTGGTGAGAGGAAACATGTGCTAGTGACGTAGATATTCATGGAGTAAAGCACGTTGATTCACCTGTGATACGCGTCTTTGGTCCCACTTATCCGTTTGCAGGTATTGTTTCTCCTCGTGCATACTCGGAAGACTAGAAACTTGATGTTGTACAGTTTGACTGAAGATCCGGCACCCAACATCACTCGTATGGTATCTTCGCTAACAGTAACCTTACGCGACCGCGTCCTTCAACCCAGCATACCATCAAGGGCGCTCACCTCACCACTTCTGAAGTCTCGCCGCGCTATGAGAACAGCCGGTCTTGAGTATCGGTAACCTTCAACATTCAATGTGAAGAGCTTACCGACGCCACAGACTATCAGTAGGCCCTTCGCAAGTTCCAACGGGAAACATGGAAATGTCGCAAGAGGCTCAGCCATGCAGATCTTTTGCAGAGTGCATGTCGGCCTTTGAGGATTTCGAGCGAAAGACGGAGGGAATTTTCACTATCGAGCTCAGCGGCCTAGAAAGTCTACTCAACACAATACGTGCCACACTCGATGAGGCAGCGACAAAGAAAGCGGCTGTCTGGCTCCAGCAATGGACCTACATATGTACTAGCTCATCATACTTCGAGCAAAGCGTTGACGGCGATGCATCTTTGCCTCAAGCGGAAGCACATTTCTTACCAGACGACCTGCCTCCGTGTACATGCCACCACGCGTCGGACCTGATAATCGATGGTCTGCAAGACAGAATCGCAGATCAGCTGCTGTCTACGATGGAAGCATTTTGGAAGAACAGGCCATCCGACCTCGAAGAGCTGAAACTGGTGAGGGAGAAGCTAGAGGAAGAGATAATTTGTTTCAAAAAACTAAGTGCGAATCATGCAAAGATTTCACGCGCGCTTGAAGACGCGGAGCGAAAAACAGAACATCTAGAGGTTAGGTTAGCAGCTTCCGAGAGGGACACCACAGATAAAGAGAGACTTGTGAGCGACAGGTACCGCGAACTTGAGAGAGGTTTCTACGACAAGGTACAGAAATTGGTTGAAAGCCAGGCTTGCTGATCGGCTTGGGGATTTGGAAGCGAAAGCCTTGCGTTATGCTAAACTTCTCGACGAAAACGAGCTATTGAGGGCCAAGGTCTTACAAGGGGATCGAGAACAGGTACTGCTCAAGCGAGTGAAGCTGGAAATGGAAAAGAAGTATCAGGACCGGGATGATGAAGCTAAGGCTTTCAAAGAAGGTTACGATCAAATCAGCAACGACATCCAAATGCTCCAAACCGAGAGGGCGGTACTCCAGGCGGACTATGATACACGAAAAGAAGAAAAAGAAGGGTGGTCTAAACAAAAAACGTCGAGCTCCAAGCTACGTTGTGTTGACCAGCCTGCAGTCCTAAACCATCCCGTCTCAGCTAGGCCAGCGGTTGATCGGCAAGCCGCCGAGCTTCAGCATCTAGCCGGCTTTATAATCACCTGGCAAGCCACGCTACACAATGCGACTGTTGGGAGGAATGGCTCAACTAAGCAGAAGGAATTTCTTGAGGGAAGAATCCGAGAAGCCGAACAGTAACTAAAGAAGTTGAAGCCTGCTCACCCATCGAAGCCTCATCGTGGTTCGGACATCCAAAGCACACCAAAGAACACACACACGCGGAAGCAATTCGTTGTGAGTGGTATGGCGGACGGCCAGGAAGTATTGCCGTCGCCCGTCAGCACTCTTGCAACACGCCAAAAGCCTCGCGTTGCAGTGGAAGCTTTTCCTGCACTGAGCGCTTCAGCAGTAAAGACTACTACATCGAACAACAGGATGAGTCTCCGTCTGGTCGATATACCTAAAGAAAAGAAACTGGATGCGCAAAAGAGGTCTGGTTAGACAATAGAGCGATAATGGGTACCACGGAGTACTTGAACATCTTCGATGGTGGGAACTGTGATAGGAGCGCATTGAGGTGAGCGCATGTTCATGGAGGAAATGTAGCCATAGATAGCTCGGTGCACCAGAAGTCTGGTGAAAACCAAGGATATGATGCTTCTTTGGACGTGCAGTGTTATACATACATGCCGAATTTGCTGCTGTAGTGAGATTGTTCCGGTGCTCAGTACTTGCAAGCCTCGGGATGCAGCAAGTGACATCAAAGGTATCCGACCTAATCTAATCTTGACCTAGCGTCCATTGACCCCTGCTCACTCTTCCAAGTCGATTTCAGGAACAGCTACCGCGTCCGAACGCGTCAGTCGCCAACCTTTCTCGCAGCCCCCAATATTTGACTCAAGAGTAGACTAAGCTAAACAAAGTTTCGGGAACCATGGAGGCCTCAGAAGATCACGTAACAGAGAAGGTGCAGTCGCTGAGCGATCTGGAGCTTGCTGTTCTCATCTGTTTAGTCGCGGATCAACATTGCATCATCGAAGCGGAAAGGGAATTAACCCGTGATGTGGTAGAGGAGTTGAAGCTTGTGGGTAGCTCGCGGAGTATGGTTGCTAATATACTAACCTTTCCAGGTCGCTACAAATGTCTTCGGATTAACGTGGGCTGTACTGGAATGTAACGAAGATACTACGCTGGATGATTTCGGAAGCGGAATCCTTGTCAAGGGGGAAGAGAGCGATTACTTTGGGAGCACAAATGAGCGAGATCGAGGAGACGTAGCTCATGCTCCCGGTCACTTTTCACCCATCTCGAAATCACCAGGGAAATCAGACCGACGCACGTCGGAATCACCCAGACCTTTCAGTCCGCTGGACAGCAAACGTATCGCGAACATTGTTGTTGCAAGGAACCTCAACAGGGCGAACCCGCAGGTTCAGATTCAGGCTTTAGAGGTCCATCGTCCGCCTTTTCTGCTCGAGCATAACTAACGACAGACAGCTGATCCGAGGCAAGCGGAACTTCACAAGAACAGCTGTACACGCGGCGCCGAGACCGTTTTTGTTCATCGCTTTGAACGCTTCAGACACACCACGCTTGGCTATGCATCTGGTAGGTTGAATTAGGAACCCTGATGCATTAGCTGACTGGGTTGTAGAATGACCAGTTTTTCATCTCACACAAACATCAAATGGATGATGGACTGCCAAACATTGAAGAGCTACAGGAGAAGCAGCATGTGTCAGATGACGGTGCTTCCATGTCTTCTATAGTACGCACGCCACCATTTCAACCAGGAAAGTACAAGCCGCAGACAGCGCTATTCTCTGCCAAGGTATGTGGGTTGTGATCGTCTTGAAGCAAGCTGACCGTTGCAGGATGTTGTAAGCTTGACGAAGCAGGTGTCAGAAGTGAAGATCAGTTCTGAAGTACGAGCCTATCTGCACAACATTATCGTCTTCATGAGGCTGCACCGAGCAGTCGCAGGAGGCATCTCTGCGTTGGCCACGAGGCACTTCAATACGCTAGCACAGTACGTGGTCTGCTACCACAGGAGGTTCATACTGATAGTAGCAGCGCGCTTGCTCCACTGCATGGTCTTGAATACATCTCACCATCCATGGTGGCTTTGGCAGCCCGCAAGATATACCCACATCGTATCGTCATCACGGCTCCAGAGAACGAGCGCAGCATGCAATGGGGCAGCTCGCTCGAAGCAGTAAAGGCTGTCCTTGAAGGTGTCACGGTTGAGGACGTTATCGAGGAAGTGCTGGAATCGGTAGAGGTGCCACTCTAGCAGCCTCAGTCAGCAAAAAAGACGACTGCGAAAATGATGGTGGTTGGAGATTGGGGTATGAGTAAGGACGCCGGTGGCTGATCTCATCGGCGTTGGGCGGACGTGATTGGACCCGGGCGGGGCCTGGTCTGGCTGCCCCTCGGAAAGTGGGCCGAGGCGGCGCCCATTATTGCACCCTCGACATTACGCACCGCGCTATAGAAGGGCTACAAAAGGGCAAAGGTACCTTTTGACCCCTCCAATCGCCGGCTTGTTTGTACGCTTCAGTCATGTCGGCGAGCTATTTCGATCAACTGAGTCCGGGTGTGCAGGAAGCGATCGAGGTACCTAGCGCACTCCCAAACGTCATAACGATGCCATCAGGCTAACTTCCTCATGGAGAGCGAGCTTGGAGACCAAGATACCAAGGAGATTACCCAAGTGAATAGCCACGACGATGCCCTAGAGGTACATAATTCACCATTCTTGTTCTTGACATGTTGACCAACCAAGGCAGGTCGTCTTCGAAGGCGGATATAACGGCCATCGTCGCAAAGCCTCCCTCGCTCCCCACCCCTCTGGCAAGATGACGTCCCGCCCCGAAAATGGTCGCCGCACCACCGCGTGTATTGTTCACTCCCTACTCGAGAAGCACGATGGTTTGCCAGTAAAAGACCACTCCCAGTCACACGAAGGTCTCGCGCAGGAAAGGCGTGTGGACAAGGACCCAAGCTCTACGCGTGCCGAGCAGACACAGCACTCGCGGTTGTTGACCAAGAAGGAGCTCTCAGACATGGCATTTGGCATACGGGAACTGTCCAAGAAGCTCTCCCAGATCAGGCTTAAGCTACACGTGAAGAATATCTTCATTCTGGGCAAGGCGCATGACGAGGCTCTGATCAAGAACTCGCGCGAGGTCACCGACTGGCTTCTTCAGAAGAACCCGGAGTACAAGGTGTATGTGGCGGCATTGCCAATTGAAGGACATGGTTAACGAGACATAGTTACGTCGAGCAAACGCTGGAGGACAACAAGATCTTCGACGCTGCAGGGCTGCTGAAGAATGAGTCGTACCAAGGACGTCTTAAATTTTGGACAAACGAGATGTGCGCTCAAAAGCCGCAGACCTTTGACATCGTTCTGGCGGTAAGAAGTATCGTTCTGTACCTTGTTCAAAAGCTAACAGCAACACAGCTCGGTGGTGACGGCACAGTCTTATATGCGTCGTGGCTGTTCCAGCGCATCGTTCCCCCAACCATCGCCTTTTCGCTAGGCTCTCTCGGTTTCCTCACCAAATTCGATTTCGAGCTATACCCACAATCCTTATCCACTGCCTTCGCAGATGGCATCACAGTCAGCCTCCGTCTCCGCTTCGAAGCCACAGTCATGCGGTCACAAAAACGAGACGGCGAGGGTCGGGATTTGGTTGAAGAGCTCATCGGAGAGGAAATTGATGACCACCATACACACTATTCAGATGGCACACACAACATCTTGAACGAGGTTGTTGTAGACCGAGGGCCAAACCCTACCATGTCATCTATTGAGCTGTTCGGAGACGACGAACATTTCACTACCGTTCAGGCTGATGGTATTTGTGTTTCTACACCCACTGGCTCGACTGCATACAACCTTGCAGCAGGCGGATCGCTCTGCCATCCTGACAACCCCGTGGTTCTTGTCACCGCCATCTGCGCGCATACGCTTTCGTTCCGACCGATCATCCTACCCGATACCATCGTGCTCCGCTGCGGTGTACCTTATGACGCGAGAACGAGCTCATGGGCTAGCTTCGATGGCAGGGAAAGGGTCGAACTCAAGCCTGGCGACTACGTCACGATTAGTGCAAGTCGCTTCCCGTTCCCGAGTGTGCTGCCGCTGAACAAGAGGAGAACGGATTGGATCGAAAGTATTTCCAGGACCTTGCAATGGAATAGCAGGCAAAAGCAGAAGGCGTTCAAAGAGTGGGATTCGTAAAAAGACGGCTAGGTCTCAGTAGATTTCTCGTTATAGAATATTACTACTCCTAACAACACAGCACGAGTTGTTGCTACCGCATGCTAGGATCCTGAACACGTCTAGCCTGTGTCCTCCAATCAAGGCATGAGCTACTTCTATCCTTCTTTCTGCCCTTTGCTTGTTTTAATAACATCTGGGCTATGACATGCAGTTATCCAAGCGACTGCTATAATTTTGATTCAGCAAATATTGTCGCGGTCCAACTGATTGCTATGTAGGTCAGCATAGGTGCAGACCCTCGCTGCCTATTCGCGATCACCTGATTCAAGAAAGCGGAGCTCCGAACAAACACAAACGCGACCGGCTCACTACATGTTGCACCTACAATCTGTACGTTTCCTCATCCCCTACGAACACATCAGAAACACAACCGCTAGGTCTCTAACCAGCAAATATTCAGCCGTGAATTCTTTTCAGGATGGCCGTGTTAGTAACCCCTTGTATGCCTTTTCCCGCTAACAATGGATAGGTCTTGTGAGCGCTGCGACCGTTGCTATCGGAATTCTCATGCGCTCCATCAGCATATCCGCGACTCACCAAGCCATCACGAATGTCCTGGATGCGACTTCGACGGCGCTACCTGGGAGGACCTACTCGACCACTTTCGTGAAGAAGGCTGCCGTACTGCTTGTCAGGGCTGCAATGATGGCAGTGGATCATACTGGGTTCCTCAATCTGAAGAGTACTTGGACCATGTGGAGGACTTCAACGTCTGCACTCAGTGTGAGAGGCACTTCGCTTCACAGAGTCATCTCCATCAGGTAAAGCGTGAGAACTGTCAGTCAAATGAGTGTGGAGTTGAAATTTTGTAGCACTGCTTGTCTCATCGCAAGCTGACATACGAGTGTCACTTATGTACCAGCATATTCAAGACCTACGGCGGCATGGTACGTATCTTAGATGCATCATACTCTGGTCTGTTCGCTCACTGTGGCAGATCATTCACCTCGAACGCGGCACCTGTAGTAACATCAATTACATCCACCTCAACAAGCTTGTAGCCGAGTGCTACAAGTGGCCCTACTTCATTTTCGAAGATCATCGGGACGAGCTGCTCGACGACGGCGATACGGAATACGATTGTAAGCCATTCAGTTGTCCGACTTGTGATACTGCACTGTCAAAGCTTTCCAGTTTGTTCCAGCATGCCGAATCAAATGCTTGTGCACAGACGTTGGACGATACAGTCTTGGGACAACTGAGGAGGTTTCTGGCTAATCGGCTGAGTTGAGTGGACAGGGTAACGAATTAATGGCAATAAAAGTTCATTTCACTCTATTCTTCTAGCGAGAGACTCTGATCCCAGTGTGACGAGGGATTCGCTGGAGATATATGCCGGTGCATATTCAGCATCATGACTGATAGAGGAAGATTGTATAAAAGGCTTTCAATTGAGAGGCATGAGCTAGCTAACCGCCAGTATCCATATACCATCTGCATCGCCACAAATCTCCAAAACTCCAACTTCCGCTCGGCTATGTCCTTGCTCGAAGAAGGGAATAACAAGACCTCAACAGAGAGAATGTACAAAAGAACGCAAGGCAGAGAAGGAAAGTAAACCGACATGAGACTGTGTATGTTGTCCACCCGGAGTATTCAGGGCCTATACGAAAATTGTTAGAAAGATGTTTGAACCAGATTATGAATACAACAGCATGAGTACACACGTTAACAATTCATCGTGCCCCTAAGAAGAGACGTCCGGATAACTCGTTTGGTCGAACTGAGAAAGAAATGTTCAAGTCGTTGTCGCGAATTTCGTTCTTCCTCATCTCCTACTCACGTCCTGTTCTCTGCGCAAATCTCGAAGGCAATACCCTTGTCGATGGTGGAACTACCGACCGGTGCACCGGGCAAGTAGCCAAACTCAGGTACAATGTAGGCATTCTGAGCACATGGTTCATTTGCCACGCACTCGTAGACGGGTCCATCGGGGGCGGCAGCCTGTATACCCTTCTCGTGTCCCACGCAGGCACTGAAGTCAAAGACATCGTCAGTCTTGACTTGGCAGTCCAAGTAGGAAATATCGTAGGACATGGTGGTGCTGTCAGGCCAGACAGTATATTCGAACTGCATCGGCTGGGCCATTGACTCCGTCTTTGAGACCTTGAGGGAGATTCCAGAGTCGCCGCAGCTGCGGATTGGTTCGGAGTAGGTGGTGTTAGCGGGTACAAGCTCGCAAATCTTTCCGGGGCCACAGGTAGTGACGTCGCCGATTGAAGATATGTAGACGCCATAGTCGCAGGAGTTGACAATGATGGCAGTATGCGGTTCGTAGCTCAGAGGCGCATAGAGGTTTCCGGTAGATGATGGAGTCTTAGGTGGCAAATCAGATGATGGCGCAGCAGAGAACGATGCGGCAGAAGACGACGCAGACCTGGACGCGATATCGGATGGTCCCTTCTCCGGGAGGTTGAAAGTAATGGACGGTGGAGCCGCAGTCGAGGTGCTGACGGCGGCACAGCTAGAAGATTGTGGTGAGGTCGAGATGGGCTCTGCAGTCAGCGTAAGATATACCGTCTCGGTGACAACGACGACATCAGTTTTGACCGCGCGGCGATGAACGTCGGCATGATCATGACTGTGACGATGGCCCAGGTGCGCGCCTGCAGCGATGAGCGGCAGCGCAAAGGCAACGGCGAAGTATGCGCGCATTGCTGAGTTGTTCTGAGTTAGATTCTTGAAGTGATCGTGTGAGCAGATTGCGGTTCGAGTGATAATCTCGTGGTAGTTGACTGTCGCGTGATGTGGGTTGGAGGAAGTAAAGGTAAGAAGTGTGGGAGCTAGAGCCGATGAAGGGATTGTTATTGTTATTGTTCTATATCACCTAAAGTTCTGTAAGTACAAGTGAGCGTGCGTTATATGCTACGCTGGAAAAGCGTTGGCCCGCTTGGCAGTTGGTGAATGACAAACGCAGGCCAATGAGAAGCCTACTGATGATAAGTTAATAGATGAGTACAAACAGCGCCGCAACGCGCCCCCGCATGTTTTCTCTTACAACCCGGTGGGGGTTCACCCAGTGTTGCTCACATTGCGGTGAGAGGCCGCCCCTGGGCCAAAGACTTCCACAGAGTGCAATTGGACCCCCGACGTGGCACAGATGAGTACAAAGTGGGGTTAACAAACAACAAATGCTGGAAATTGAACCCAGAAATAGAAGGATTGACTTGATGTCTATACGATAGCATGAGAAAGAAGATGGCTGTGATGAAATGCATACGCGATCGCGCGTCTAACCGCGACCGTACAGGTCGACTGCTAGCATGAAGTACGCATCTAGTCGTAAACTCAAAATATCTATCTGACAGGTCCAAGTGGGACAGAAGGTAGTGGTGTCTGTTGAGTTTGCGCATAGCTGCAAAGGTGAAGATATAGGGTCAGTATATGTCTCGTATATATCTCGTACAGGCAGAACTTACCATGAATACATTGGACTGCCACAGTTAGCTTTTGTTCATGAAATATGGATTCTTGCACTTACTCATCATATCCTGTCCAACCCACACACTTCCAACAATTGAATAGACCGGTAGGATCATAGTGCTTCTTGATTGCCAGTAGCCTATCATAGTGCTCACCGAAGAACGTTTGCTGCCAGTCTTCCTCAGTCCAATCGCCCTCATTGGAATAGCACCCACCACCTGGTGTCACGGTCTTCAAGTGCTCAATAGTAGCGGAAACGGTCTTTTGGATCTGCGATCGCACAGCTGGTGGTGTGGCTGTCGTCCAGAACTGGCCCATCACTATCTCCCATAGTGAGTCTCTCCATAGTGGATTCACACTAGTCTTACCATTATCAGGAGTGTTGTCAGGTCCAGTAGCGTAAAACTGAGCGCCTCCACCGCCATGGTTGGTGCGAGAGAAGTGCATTGCAGTTACAACTGCATCCACTAGTCGTTCGATGTTATCAGTCGAATTGAAGAGATCCTTGGGGATGAAGCGTCCTCCGCCATTGAAGCCTAGACCGACCGGCCCATTGCGAGATATCTCGGGTCTCTCTGTAAATTCATTGTACTGCGAAAATCTCTTGAAGGAGTGATACTCATTCTCGGTGATATTTAGACCAGGATAATTGGTAAGAAAATCGTGCCATTGGGAAGTGATAGCCTTGATCTCTGAAGTGTCGCTAGAGGGCAATACTTGAAGAAACACGACATGATCTGGGAGTACAAAATTGTATCCGGCAACTCCATGCTTGGAAAACGAGGGCTGATTGGAGGCAAGCCCGGTGATGATGTCGCGATGGATCTTCGACTTGGCGATGTCTTTTGGCTCCGGAAAGTGAGCTTGGAAGCTGTACACATTGATAGGCTCAGCCGGATGCAGCTGAAACTTGTAGGATGTGAGCACAGCGTAGCTGCCACCTCCGCCTCCACGCATTGCCCAGAAGAGATCCGGGTCGCTGCATTCATTGATAGTGCGTTGCTTGCCATCAGCAGTGACGACGTCGAACTCAACTGCTTGATCGATCATGAGTCCATACTTGGGCCCCAGCGGTCCATGGCCACCTCCCTGACCGTAGCCCCCTGCGATGCCAACGGAAGCTACTGCGCCAACTGTGACGAGCATGCCATGAGGCTCGAAGGCCTCCCACGCCTCCTGAGCTTGGATGCCAGCACCAATCTCCCCGATGTTCTCATAGCGGGTTTTGCAACCTGTGGGCTGGAAGGATTTATAAAACTTAGTATCTTTCATGTTATGAGTCCAGATAGCCAACGAATTCGACGCTGTTGACCGCGCGTAATAATCGTGCCCAGTATTCTTGATCGAGACACGAATCCCATGTTTGCGAACGAAATCCAACGTCTGGCTGATATCGCGCCCAGTCTCAGCCCTTACATGGTATGCGGATAGCCTTCCTAGCGCGCAGGTACCAGAGACAGGCGCTGAAGTGTTGAAAGAGTTGAGTGCGCATTGAGATTGACCACACCTTTCCCAGTCGAGAAACTCCATGGATCCGTATTGCTTGGTACGTGAGACACCATCACCGTAGTTCTTTGCAACCTCTTGGCACTGTTTGCTCGAAGGATCGGAGTAGCAGGGTGCGGCCCAGGGTACCGTCAGTCGGAGATTGCCGTTGATGCTTTGGTTGAAAGCATTCCACTCGTTTGCGGTTGGCCAACAAGTCTGGCTTGGCAGACATGTGTAATTGAATGAAGTCGAGCCTTCATGTGCTGGCACTAGCCATGCAGTTTTCTGGAAAATGTGTTGCCTGCAAAGAGTATACGATCCATAAACTGCGAGGCCGCAAACGAGGGGTAGTATAACGACATGACGCAGTATATCGCTCAGGCGTCGCTCCGCCGGTCTCATCCAGTTTTGCGAAGGTTTGTCCTCGTTCTGTAGTCCATGTGTGGGAGCAATCTTCTCATCTAACAACGGTTGCTGCTCGGCGGAAGCCATTTGACCAGCCAGTCAAGTCGTCTTCGGTCGAATGCTGTAGATGGTTATCTCCAGTCCGTGATTCTCGTAAATGTACCTCCTGTGTAATATCCAAGTGATTTTGTATGGAAAAAGGTGAAGTTGTGGTAAGCCAGTAAACATAGCAAAGCCTGGTTATAAGGCAGTAGATGTACAGCCACAAGCTGAACTTTTGGACATATCGATGTCCCACAAACGCATCAAAAGCCGTCCTGCCGTAGCCTACATTTGGCAAATGGCTGACCGCGTCTCAGCCTTAGATCTTACTTCACGGCTAGATCGGCCAATCAAGTCTCAGAAACAACGCGCGAACCGCATGGTCTAACCAGTGGCTGAGCAGGTGTCAAACACCGCTCGAAAAAGGAAACAGGCAGAAGTATTTGCATGTACATGGGGTTGAAGGCTGATGTGGAGTGGTTCGGGATGGGCGAGCGTGCGGTGTGGATGGCGCGATATTTGCCGTGTGCCTCCCACGCGTTCCCGAAAATGGTTCCTGGCGCGTAACGCCTTATCTACCTATCCCCGGGGCCGCCTTGGCTGTGCTCTGCAGGTGATGCAGGGCACTACATCCAGTTGCGCGACCGCTGGGGCGAATAGACGGAAGTTTGGCGATGAGGCTGCGCCGTTGACGCGCGATATTTGTGGAGTGGTGGCCTGACTGACACCTGGAACGATGACGCATGCAAAGAAGAAGGCTGAAGTGCTAGGCAGAACACTGTGCGCAGGCATCAAAGACGAACCTTACGGTAGTACAAACAGTTTGTCCGCTACCAGTGGTTGTTGTAGGATTTCCAATGTCACAAGGCACATTTTATGCGACAGGAGCTTGAGGTCCCGTGGTGCTTCCCTCGGTTTACAACTATGGTGTCCTGACAACAGCGCTCGTTAATACGGTGCTCATCATGTCCAGGTAAGCCATGGTTGCGCTCTTTTACATATCTTCGCATGTCAGCACATCCATCTGAAAGGCCTTTTCACACTTCATAATTGTTGTTAGACACACGGATATCCGTCTCGATAAAGATCGTGTAAGACCTTGATAGTTGCAATGGACTAGAAGTCATCAGATACAATTTTTTGATTCTTATTCATAGAAACGTGCTACCGCACCACATAAGAAGACCAAGCGGGGAATCAAAACACTTGCAAAGGCCGAGCTCAAGTTCACTACATTCGTGGTACCGGTAGATGTAAGTATTTTAGCCCGCAGACATCTCAATTAGAGACTCCTTGATATCGTGATTTAGCTCTCCGTTCGCTCGTCCCATCGTGAGATAGCTGTTGTTCATTCGTTCATTTCATCCGCACTTGATTGTGGGATGCAGGTACACCCTGTTTTCAGGCAGCGACCAGTGTTGACGCAGTCTATGCGCCCAGGCTGGGGAAGGCGCTGGAATCGGTGATGTTGATGCTGGACGGGGCACCACCGCGGCCTCCACGACCACGGCCTTCGCCACGTCCACGTCCCTCACCACCACGTCCACGTCCGCGGAATTCGCCACGACCTTCGCCGCGACCACGTCCCTCGCCACGGGACTCACCACCGCGGCCACGACCCTCGCCGCGGAACTCGCCACGGCCACGGCCGCGTCCTCCACGGGCACCGCCCTCACGGGGAGGGGGAGCAAGCATACGGTCACCGTCGAGCTCAACGTGGACCTTCTCCTTGCGGGCGCGCTCGCGCTTGGCCTTGCCCTGGGAACCGGCCATGAAGTCTTCTTGCTCCTCACGGGCGAGGGCAGTGCCCTCAGGGAACTTCTTGCTGCTGCCCTCGTTGGCCTTGCGGACGTTCTGGGCGGCAAGAGAGAGCTTCCTCTCGGCCAACTCGGCGAGGTAGGCGGTGTAGGACTTGCTCTTGTCCTCAGGCTCGGCCTCGGCGGCGTCCTCAGCGTCCTCCTTGATGGCGTCCTTCTCTTCAGCCTGGGCAATGGCCTCGCCAGCCTGCTCGTCAGCGAGCTCAGCGTTACCATCGTTTCCGCCCCAGCCGTGTGCGGCCTGCTTGTCGTGGTCGCTGAAAATTGTTAGATGGTATCAAGATATAGTGTGGGGTCGTTCATACGCGATGCCAGTCCTGCTATGACGGTCACCCTCGGCACGAGCAGCACCACCGCGGCCTCCTGCGCGTCCACCGCGACCACGGCCGCGGCCGCGAGTTGAAGCACCAGTAGGCTCTATAACAAATCAGTACATGTGCGTGCGAACCAATGGTATTCCACTCACCGCCAGATCCCCTTCCACGGTTCTTGTCAGAGCCGACGCCGCGATCCCGGAAAGCTGTGTTTCGTTAGCCAGTGTTCATGGAGTTCCCCTTGTGAAGCTGGAGCATGTCAAACGCCCTTTTGTTCAACGTACCGTTCTCGTTGGCGTTGTCGGTCTGCTTGGCACGGTTCTGGTGGCTCAGCCTCTCGGGCATGGGCTTGGGAGCGTCGGGTCCATCGCGCTTGCCATGCCTCATGACGGGCTTCTCAATTGCCCTCGTCGGTGGGTCAGCCGGCCTGTCGGGGTCGAGCTCGGGGTCATTGCCTGCGGGGTCGTGAGTGAATGTTCCGGTACTGTGCAGTGCGTCTGCGACATACCCAGCAGCTCGTAAATGTTCTGTACTTATAATTAGCATCTTGAAGCTCTACAACGGATTGCAGCCACTCTTGCAGCCCTCAATGGGAGGGCGCGACGCTGGACCTGATGGCGGGGTGAGTTGGAGCTTACCTTGGAAGCAATTTGCGACATCTTGACGAATTGGAGCGCCTTTCGCGCTTTGCCCTTCTAGATGCACAATCTGCCGGGAGAGAAAAAGGATGCGAGAGCTTGCCCTACGAAATTTAGGGACGTGGCTCTCAGAATGTGACTCGCGAACGGGGTGATAGGCGCGATGTTGCGGGCAAGAGGTTTTGGTGATTCGAAATTGGGCGTGGGTTGCTTCCGTAAGCGAGTGATGTGGGGCTAGGACTATTGGAGGCACAGAAGCAACAACAACGCTGCAGTCGCTGCCGCATACAGCGCTTCAGTCGGTTCCTGTGTAATGCTAGCCAGAAATGATACCTAGGGGAAGGAATCATCGAACAGAAGCTAGGCTTTCGATTGGACACTTCTGCGACACCGGTGTGAGGCTGGTGTGAATCAAGTGTGGCTTCAGGTGCACGTCATTCCGAGGCTCAAATCACACCAGGTATGCATCGCTCCAATACTAAGCATCTGAGGCAGGTACAGATGCTTGTAATGCAGACTCAAAATAATGTTGCCAGTTGGCTGTATAACGAAATTGACATCATCCGTTTGCTCCCTCTGGGAAGGAGCATTAGGCATTGTCAAGAAACTTCATGAGGCGAGATTGGGGGTGCGACTTCCATTGACAGTTGCGGTCGACTTGGATTACAATATGTACATGGCACCATCCCGTCTTCCGAACGGGCTGCAATGCCAGAGTGAAACGTATGGATGAGAAGCATTCATTGCTGTGCACAACAATAAACCCAAGCAATTTCCATCACAATATACACGTCGTATGACCTGTTTCAGGCCAAATAATAACTTTTTGAGAATTCCCCCCATAGCAAGACTCTGGGTCTGCTGTTGAACGCCGTCGTACTGTCGTGACACGTGGTCGATTGGGTAAAAGCAGTTGTTACGCCCGCTAAACAACGTCATTAAAAAGTATCAGTCGGCGGGCGACGATCCGGTTGGTCCCTGATTAACTTCCAATATAGCCTCCTCTTCCCATGAATCCTCCTCATATCATCATCTACTCTCATACATCGTGGGGAAGTGCATGCTGGCCGAAAGTCCGAAGGGGTCGGCGTCGAGCATCGGGTCGTACGGGTCGAAAAGGTGGTTGTTGCCCATGCCATTGAAGTTGTGGCCCCCGTCGTTGGGGGCTAAAGCTGCTGGGCTCGTAAAGGGAGGGTTCTGCGACGGCGGCATCGGCGGTGGCATGTTGTTCGAAGGGGGGAAGCTCTGCTGCGGGAACGGGCCGGGGCCAGCAGAGTGGTCGCTCGGGTCGTCATGGTCGTTGTAGGAGTCGGCTTGTTCCTCGTACTCCTGCTCTATAACACGAAATCAGCCTAGGATTACAAAGCCCTATACCTAAGAGGGGAAAGGAAACGGGTCAGCTTGCCGAGTTGACTCATATGGTCTGTGAATTGAGTCTGGTAGAAAGACGAAGGACCACTGCTCTGAGTTATGCCGTTTCCGTTGCTGCCAACGGTGGACGCGCTTGTCATGCCATTCGAGACAGGCTGGTTTGTTACAAGCGGAGAAGGTCGCTGAGCATTCATCATAGGAGTGAAGTTTGATCTAGGTGGTTGTGGCCGCAGCGGCTGTTGCTGCTGTTGCTGCTGCTGCTGCTGTGGAGGAATGGGCCCAAAGTTGGGAGACACTGATTGACCGTGAGGTATGAAGCTCGGCGAGCGCGTTGCTGATTGAGCAGGCGACGACATATGTGAACCAGGAGTGGGTTGCGACAGTGGTGAACGCTGAATCGGCCCATCCGGCTGTATCATGGGCAAGCCATTTAGACTATCAACCTTGGGCGGGCCTTGCAGCGACCGCCTCTGTTGTTGTCTGTTCAATATAGCACGTTGTTGGAGAGGCGCCTGGTTTGGCGAGGTATGTGCAGAGGCTGGGGCTCTGGTCGGCCCCAGGTTTGGACTGCCAGTCTTCGCGCGCAGCTCGGCCTGGACGTCGATACCTGGTGGAGCAAGGGGTTAGCGTGTGTACGCTGATAGATAGACATGTTGATAAGATCGGGGCTACCTTTCTCTAGCAGAATCCTCTCGAGTAGAGAATTCTTATACCGGAGCATAAGGCACTCGTCGGCGGCGTTGCGGTGACTGTTCTGCAGGTTCTGCAGGGTATCCTCATGGTGCTTTATGGTGCTCTCGAGCTGCTTGATATACTCTGTCCGTCGCTCACGAAAGGCGGCTTGCGCCTGTCTATTGCGCTGCTTGCGCTCTTCTGAGGTGGCATAAATCTTACGACGCTTGGTTAGTCCTATCTTCGACATGGTAATCGGCGCTTCAATTGCTGCAGCCATGGCAGGCAACTGGTATCAGGAAGGCTCACAGGTTTACGGCCACCTTTGCGCTTCTGCTGCTGGGGCTCTTCCTGGGTATATGTCTCCGCCAGACCAGGTTCGGGCGACGATCCGATAGAGGAGGTCGAACCATCGCGCGAAGCCTCTGCCTTGCCCACGGGAGCCGTCATATCTGTTACGAGACTATCTCCCATCTGCGGCCACCGTACCCCTCGGTGCAGATAGAGGGGCACAGAGGCGCCAAGAGATGCGAGAGATGCGACAAAGGCAGGTCGAAGGAGATAGCAGGAGGCTCTGGTCGCTTAGACGCGCTTGTGCTGGGCAGCCGCAGCGCCGGGTCGAAAATCGATACGGTTTGTATGGGGTTTTGATAATGTATGATAAGAAGAAGGCGTTCGGGCCTGTGTGTGGTCGCGCAGTAGTTGTGAGGTAAGCTCTTGGGTAATGGAAACAGAGATGGGCTCGAACGGAGGGGCGGAGTGCTGGACTTGAAAAGGCGGGCGGACCACTCTCTGCTGCCCAGATCACCTCCTCCCGTGTGGTTAAAGCTCGACACTCGACTCGCCTCCAGGAAGATGTGCCCTCTGGTGCGCGACGAATCGCAGCCGCGCGAACGCTGCTGGGCACTTCCAACGCGCAATGACGGCCAAGCGTGCGGGAGCGCGGTTGGCCGACAGCTCAGAATTTTCTCGCGGGGTGCTCACGCTGCATCACGGCTCTGGCAGGCAGGCTTCGTGCAAGACGCCTTGGTGGAGGACGCCGAACATGGCTGCCCCAGCCGAGCTGGATCGCGATACTGCATACGGCGTAGCTGCGTGTTTAGTTCCCGCGCCACTAGAAACTTTTACACGCTTTCTCCGGTTCTCCATGGACGCGCAGTGCAGACTGCGAGCCTTGGGGTGTTATCTAGCAGGCGTCTCCCATCCAAGGGCGATCGACCGCGACATCTATGCATCTGTCTGATTTCATCTGCGCAGCCATGAAGTGTTCCTGTGAAAAGCAAGCAACTCGTCGTCGCATCGACACCAGCCTACCGACGTCGGAGCGCGCTGCCCCTGCACCGAGGCCACGCACCTCGTCCGTATGAAGCCATCCTACTCGCAGGCGGCATATGTAAGGCTGACGAGCATGTTCCATCTGATATGACGAGGGGTGCAGCTTGCGATAACGATCGATACGAAGACCAGCCAGTCCATCCGACATGCCTCACCGATGAACCTTGGACCTCTTCTCAGCCGTGACCAGGACAACGCCAGTAGCTGAAGCGCAACGGAATTCCGATCACGCTCTTTCGCTCGTCACGTGGCTTGACTCTCCTACTAGTCTGGGGACGGAATTTTGCGAACAGCGAGCAAGGAGCCAAGCCGGCCTCGAAGCCTGACGCATGCACAGCACACCACTACCACACATCTGGTACTCTAGACAATTCTCTCCGCCAACGCTGCATCCAGCTTCCGAACCGCTACCGAAGTCTAACCTAGGGATCACCGGAGGTCGTTGCTTTATGCACCACATGAGTCCTATTCGCCCGAAGCAGCCATAGCGTCACCACGCTTTTTCTCGGCTCTGCGAGCAGGTGACCTTTGACGCGGTCGAGACTTTCGTACGAGGAAATTGGCTGCGCCTTGTCACATCGTGACATTGACATCCAGCCGTGTCGAATAGTCGAGACGTGTCAAATCGGCATCGTCGCGGCATCACACAGTCGGAATTGCCTGCTAGATGCGGCTTCCTCGGATTGCTCTACATGAGCCCCGGAATATGCAATCTTGAGATCATAATTCATGTATAACAATGCGCACTATGAATTCCAGAGAAGTCTAGGAAGTAGCAGCATGCCTGTGAGTGCCGTGCCGTGTCGTCTTGCCTTCAAGTGGCCCAGCGACTAGCGAGGCACTACTGCCAGTATGAACGTAAGAGTAGTCAAGCAGTGTAGACTCTCAGTGCAACGATTTTGGTTGCATGTTCATCAGCGACAATTGTTTGCTCCGGACACTGTTGATCGCTCATGCTAACTTCAATCGCCACGTGTGGCATCATCATGGAAAGGGCGAGTAACGCGCAGGTTCATTCCTCACCTCTAGAGGCAATGAGACGAGACATTGGGGCATTCAGTCTCTGAAACGCAACCCTCAAGCGACAGTTCTCACCTCTACCAGGATATCCAAGCATCGACATAGTCTCATATGACTTTCATCCTGTTTTCAGCAGTATCAGATCCCGCATCAATCACTCGGCCAGCTCCTAGTCGCTAGTCGCCAGCTTCGCGCGCAGTCTATCGTTTACGAGGGTGCTTCGCACGATATAAATTCCCAAAGCATCGCGCTGACGGTAGGCAGCAATGACATTTTCCGAGATAGCGGGACGGCTGCTGAAAGGGTCAGGACACTCGCAGCCACCGCTGGTCAAAGAGCAGCTACCTAACGCCCATCTTTCACCAGATCGGACCAGTATCTCGTCTCTGCTCGCTTCGCCAGAGTCAGACGACGGCAATATCATAGCTGGTGAAGGCATGCTTGGCAGCCATCTTGATGAACAAAGAGGACACTCCGTCGCCTCTTCATGGGCTAAAACCCGGCCCTTGTCAGACATTCGCGAAGTCACCGAATCAAGCTTAGCTGATACTATACCTCGAAACGCCCTATCTAATTACTTTCCCCGTACCATCTCTCGCACGGAGATGTCGCGTCGGCCCTCTGCTGCTACAGGACGCCGTCCAAGCAACGACAACCGACATGGCGAAAACATAGAACCTGACCGGAAGAATAGCATCGAAAGTAACGGTATAAGATCCACCTGCAGAGGTCGGGCTTCTATAACACCATCTCCGTCAAGTCCTGCAGATAACGTCAGCATATGCAGTATATACAGCGTTCCAGCAGGCAACGTTCCGCCACGATCCTCTTCACGCCCTCGTGCACCTAGCACCTCACGAACCCGACAGCCGCAACAGATACCACCTATACACATAACGCAGGTGACAGCGACAAACACAATTAGCGCAATACCTACTATACCTCTCCAGCCTCCTAATAACAGTTCCAACACTATCCTTCGACACGGTCAATCACAGTCTCCTCTACGCCACATCGTTGCTCGCCTCGATCCTAAATCTCAAGACACCAACCGATGCATACCCTCCAGGACGTTTGTTCGTGATCCACTATCAAAAGAGTTGCTAGAGTTTCCATTACACCGACATCCACGAATTGAGCTTGGCTTGGACTTATCCGCAGGCATATTCGTGGGCGGAAGCTCTATCGAAGGGACTGTTCAGATAAACGTCGACGATGCAGAGCGAATACGTCATAGAAGGACTCTGGACATTGCTCGGATATCTATCGATCTTCTTGGGACGGAGGAGATAAGCGGTAACAGACGAGCTGTCTTTCTCAACCTGGCCACAGAGCTTATTGACGAGCAAAATCCGCCGCCTCAGAATATGGTAGATACCCAAGAGCCAATAAGTTCAGCAGATACATTCTGGCATCTGATGCCTTCTACGACGAACCTTGCTTTCAACCTAAGTTTACCTCTCAACGTCGGGCCTCCGCCCTTCCAATCGAAGAATGCAAGGATCCGCTACATACTTTGTGTGTCTCTTCTTGTTCGCGACCAAGGAAGACAGTACATTGTCAGAACTTCTCAAGACATTATAGTGCTCTCAGTGTACGATCGTATGAAATGTTTCGGTTTCGGTTTTGTGGTTACATGCTAACACAAGGCAGCTGAGAAGGCACTTATATCGCTTCCCAGCCCCTTGACTGCATCAGATGAGTGGATCAAGCTCCGAGAAAACACTGTCGAGGTCGTTCGGGTCACAGCAGGTCTACATCGTCAAGTCTGGGTCAGCGGTACTAGCCTTTACGTCGATGTCCATATTACCAATAACAGTCGCAAGACAGTAAAGAAGATCGAGCTTCAATTGGAAAGGGACATACTATGCTACAAACACGTCTGTTATGAGTGCATATTCTACGATCACACAATGATGCTAATGGGAGTACTTTGCAGGCTGCTGCCGCTACGATGGAGAAGTCTGCTGGTCAGGCTCGCATTTTTGACAGCAACGAACGGTCTATTCTCAACAAATCCATCGTGAGGAATGGCTGCGCTGGCTGGAGCGGCGTTTCTGCACACCAAACCCACATCAGAACTTGTGATCTTGAGGTACCTCGAGGCCATGGTACGGTGAAGTGTGGTAGGTGCTTCATCATGGCGTAACATGAGCCGCCTTTCTGACTGAAGTAGGCAAGTATTTCGAAGTCAGGTACTTCCTGAATGTCACCATCGCGAGTGCACATACGTAAGTATCCGCATGATTCTCACCGATGAAGCTGACCTTGTTCAGAAAGCTCGTTACCGTTCAATTACCAATCGTACTCATCCACATGGTACGTCTCATGACCAACCCCTCTCTCTCGCACCCGCTGATCATCACATCTCAGAACTCTCTGGACGTAGTTCCCAACTCTGTCGCCCAAGTGGCCATGGCTATCGAAGAGAAGCGCACAGCCCGCCACTCACCACCCCGCCTTGGTCGCCGTCCATCCGAATCGGTTCAAGGCCGCGCATTCGCAGCACCGCGCATGCAATCTCTGGAACGCATGCGCGCACGTGAGGAAGCCATCCAAGAACTCGGTCAAGCCCTCGAGCAGAGTCCTCGCAAATATGGTCTCCGCCGCGCAAATTCCAATTTTGATTACCATACCCCACCTTCCAATCGCAAAGGCAGAATCGTAGGCGATGGCGAAGCAGCAGACCTCCAGGACCGTTTAAGGCGCGTGAGATCCAACGAGACGATCGGATCCAGACCTCCTACCCTCCACAGGGTCAATTCGATGCGGTCGAGACGTGGCGCAGGATCGGCGTTTGGGTTTCGCGAAGCGGAGGTTCGGGAGGACATCGAGCTGGGTGGTTTGGGTGCGTCAGGGGATGGGCTGCTAAACGAGAGACTAGCCAGGAGCAGTGATCGGCAATATCGGTTTAGCAAAAAGAAGAGCGTGGAAAGGTGGAAGGGTGTAGCAAATGTGGGTGTTGGGTGGTTGAAGGGGAATGGGGTCAAGAATGAGAGAGAGCGAGAGGGATGGATATGATCTCGCACTGCTTATTATGAGCCCTGTACCTTGGATAGCGCGCCAGCATGTGCGACGCATTGACTGGCGACGTTGTCTTTCTCTTCTTGGTTCTGGATACGCAACACGTTGTTAGATAATGGCATTACTACGTGGAGACCTCACGTACGCTACGAGCAGCGATAAATTAATGTTGTTTGAATTGTACTATCATATACATGATAGTCTAAAACCCTCGATATATAATACAGTCATGTCGTGATATAGTCGTTAACCTTCTTTGGAACCCTTGCCATGCAATATGATACAGTTTTGTACACAGTACGCCAAGACAGTCGTAGCAGTAGAAGCTCTCTCATAAGGCTATGCTTATGACCTGCTCTTGGCAAGCTCAGACTGAGCGGTCGAAGTGGGACCTCCCTTTACGCGCTCTCCACCAGTGACCTTCTTCTCACCCTCGGTGATGTCGTGTAGAGCCTCACTAGTGATGGGCTCCTTAGCATGGCTCTGCGCCTGCGCAGTAGGGCCTCCGGCTACCGGTTGTGCCTTGCCAGTGAGCTTCTTCTCAGCTTCAGTGATCTTGCTCAATGTTTCTGAGTCCAGCTTTCCTGAAGCAGAGGAGTTGTTGGCATTATTGGTGGATGTCGATGAGCCAGATGTAAGAGCGGACTGGGCGATGGACGTTGGGCCTCCTTGCATGACCTCAGCCTTGCCGGTAAGCAGCTTCTCGCCCTCGGTGATGTCGTGGATGACTTGTGCTGTCAGGTTCTGGCCAGCGTGCTGTTGAGCTTTTGCGGTTGGGCCCCCCTTCGCTGGCTCATCCTTGCCGGTGATAAGCTTCTCTGCCGCAGTGATCTGGGAGATGAAGTTGGAGTCAACTTGGACGGACATAATCTGTGTTGTTGTAAAAAAGCGGTGGTTGCTGAGGTCGTTGATGTTGTTTCTGAACGGTGATCTTTGAGAGGCAATGCGAGCTGCCGGTCGTGCTGCGAGGAAAACGTTGCGGTTGATACGAAGCATTCTGGAGGCCATTGTTGCGGATTGTTTATATGCCTATTGTGTTGAATGGGAAGGTGCAATGGTGCGAGCTGTGTGTCCGATTTTGTAGTGTGATGGATTACTGATGTAATGCGAAAATAAAATCGTCTGAGGGTGTGCTTGGTGTGACGTTAATATGGGGAAAGATGGATTCAGATGGTTATTGGCAACTTCTCGATTTAGATGTTCGACCGTGCACAGCAAATCTCTGCATCACTGGCGACGACATCACGCTTGATGACCCTGAGATGCAGGTACCATATCACCGATTGCCGCAGCGACTTCTCGATGCGTGCCCATGATGTGGTGGAGCTATGATGTCAGCATCCTGGGGAACGAGAGCGACGACGATTCGGGTGCACTAGCGGTGAGCTAGCATCACGATCCGATCTAAGGGTCCAGACGCAAACTTCACAACCTCATTCACGATGACGATCCTATGCGAATCGGATAGCACAAGAAGAACCCACTGTAATGATTGACAAGTCGCTTTGGCGATTTGCGTTCGGTCATAGACCCAGAATGAACAACTCATGTCAGATCGTCAGAATGACACACTGGCCACCAACACCCTATGCAATTGTAGCGACGTAACGGCGAGTACTAAGATATGGCGGATTTGTCTTGTATTTCTTAACTACGGATGTTGCTCCATCAGGTGAACGCACCCGGGCGGAAAACGCTCCCTCCGAACAGATCGCAAGTACACGTGCTGATCAAGCCATCGAACCGTTCCTGTCGCGCAGTGCTTGTGTACTTCTTTCACTGATAGCATCCTGCTCGATACTGATCCGTATCTCTGTAGTCATCACTACATTTCCCATTGGCAACGCAGTTGTTCCATCCTCGTCCACACGCGCATACGTCGAGGGGCCGAATCGTGAACCGCGCGCGTTTTCTCCTAAACCATCCTTCGTAATCCCACGCCCGTCGCTTATTCCAGAGATGTGACGCGAACCGGCCTGCGCGTTAAAGCCCTGCGTCGTGAAGTCGACAAGTTGATTGAGGATGTCGAACTCGAGTTTCAGCTTGATGGCGTAGGCGAGTGTTTTCCAGCTTGTCTGAACCTCATAAAGACCAGCATATTGGAAAGCGAGGATAGTAACGTCGAGCGCGATGACAACCGAATTCACGGCGATAAGATGATTGAAGAGGCGCTTCGCATCTGGGCCTCTGAACGCAGCCGAGCTGCGCATGAGTATGAAGGTGCGATAGATGTATAGCCCGCTGATGACACACTCTTGAAAGACAAACCACGTAACCTGGAATATTTCCCACTTCTCGTAGATCTGGAGCCACTTTCCAGGTTTCGCCAGACTGGATCCAGTCATAAGCGTAGTTGCTCCTCCTTGCACGACAATGCAGTCCGCGATGATCATGTATAGCAACCATTTGTCCGTCTTCCCTGAGCTGATGAGATGCAGCCGCGACCAGAGTACGATAGATTGGCCAGTAATCATGAGTATGCCCCCGCCGCACGCCATGGTGATCTCCAGTGGAATTGAGTCGCATACATTATAGTTGCGGATGAAGTAGCCGAAGGCGTGTATAATGATACCGAGAGAGGCTGCGATCAGCGCGTAGAAGTAGACCCCGCGATATGAGCGGAATCGACGGAAGATTCTGACGAAGACCTCAAGAGAATGAGAGACGGCGAGTGCGAGGAAGACGATGACGATGAGAGAGGTCCTGTAACTCAATGTGGGATTTGAGCCCATGCCTTCAGCTCGATCAACCAGTCGGAAAGCCATTGTTGGTGTGACTGTTACCGAAATAACTTCCTACAAGATCGTGAGATGCAAAGACCAAGATGAGCTTGGTGCGGTTGCGATTGTAAAGTTCATCTGGATAGCTGGGGAAAGGCCGCGGGGATCAAGACCCAATCGTGGACCGCCTTCTCCTACTCAAAAGACTTGCAACGATTCCTATTCACACCACATTTGATGCGCACGCTGAGATTCGTTGGCCTCATTCTGTACTCGTTCGATCCAGACTGACCGCCACCAAACTTTGAATCCTTCGATCCGTGCCCCACACCCTGGTTCCTGGCTGAACGTCGATCATCACTGGCTCGCATGCATCATCCGCGGCCCGCCTGCAAGGAACATATGTTCGAGGGCATGTCATCACGACGCAGATGAAGGGGCTGATGCGAAGCCTTGCTTTTGAAACGCGGATGTGAGTAAGGAGGGCTGCTAGCAATGTTGGGGCGGGGAAGATGTTCACCAATAGAATGAAAGGGGGGACACTCTGATCGCTGCTTGTATCCTTGTCAACCAATTTTAACGGCAACGTTGTGCCGCTTGCATCAGGCCAGTATTGCTTCACACCACGCGGCAACCAGTTAGTGTTTGCGTATAAGCCCTAGTGAGTATGCGTTTTGGTAGCGGATCGTTTCGACGATGCTATTTCACACTACGCTAATAATCCACAAGACAAGACACACGCAAAGAAAAAAAGGCATGAATCAACGTTGAGTCTGGTACAGAACAGGTATTGTTTGACTAGAGCTCGCCGGGTTGTGGTCACTGTGGCTCACGCTTTGTCAACGGTTGCTGATTGCCCACTAAATCATAGACTGGCACAGAATTTTGATTCTTCGATGTAGGATTATTGACTAAGATGCTAGACCAACATGCGTACTTCTAAGCCACGATCGGAAGCATTTCTCCAGCTATAGATCAGACAGTTTCCTGGAAACAGGCAGCCAAGACTATCCAACAGATACTATGCCGCACGAAATGCTCACCACCCTTTCAATTACAGACGTATTGTGTAACCGATGATTTCCTTCTGTGAGGGGAGTTGACCAAGTTGTTGTCACCTCCAGAGCGAATGTGACAAAAGCTACGCAAAACTTACGCTTCTGTAATCGCCTCATAGAGCTGTCGTTCTTAGATAAAATTACGAGGTGTCCAATTGTGTTGCCGAATATAGTGAGGAAGACAGCATCCGTAACACAAGTAGCCGAGTAATTCTAACTACGTGATAACTACCCTCGACACCAGCTAAAAGCTCTAGTATGACACGATCCGTGACACCTACAAGGGTTACCATGCGCATAATCGTTGGGGAACATCGTACGATTAGCTCTGTCGAGCATTCATACTTTCGCTCTCTCACATTTGAATATGACCTGGGGTCGTCTTCATCTGTCGATTCTATGCTGGGAAGATCGTCGTCCCCAACGTTATAATGGACACTGCGAACGTGGCTCGCAAGCTCAGGGCGATCCAGAAGAGTGCAAATGAATTATTTTGATACGTAAATTATCCACCCGGTCTGAAAGTGTTTGTAGAGGGTTTCTGTTGCGATTTCATTGAGCTTGCGCGAAGCAAAGCAGATCTTGAAGAGCCATCATAATGTGACTTCTTACGTCAAGATAGCGACCTGTTTCGAATGTAGATGTTACTTAGACTTAGCATTTCGTGCATTCGAAGTCAAATTGAGCTTCAGTCGAGGTTTGCGTCTCGGAGTTCAAGGCTTAACATGGTAGTGTAGATCTGATTTGTGGTCGAGCATTTGAATAGGACTGTTAAAAGTCAAGCATTCGTTTTGGCCCGGCAGGTAGACGGTCCCATTCTGCGCATGGTCTGCTCTTACGTGTACCAAACTAATTCATACTGGGTGCAGTAAGCAAACCAGAAAACGACAAAGCGTATGTGCTTTCACAATCCACTGATAGTACAGATCAACCCTCTACGATGTACGATAGCAAGAGACAAAGACTCGGCGATGGGCTCATCACCAGTAGTAGAAGTGTTCTTATTCAAGTCAGAATAAAAAGCTCCTCGGATAGCAATGTGCTCGATTAAATAATGAGTGGGTTGACTCTAACTGAGTCTCGACGCCTCGCATATGCGCGTGGATGGATCAAAACGATACCAGTTCTGGAGAACTCTCAGGTATTAGGATGTTGTTTATGGAGAGAGGAACACCATAATATCTAGGTAACTTGAGAATCTGGTCTCGAGCACATGTACAGCCATCTTTGCTAGAGCATGGTTTAGCATGGGAAACCTGGAGTTGTACGCATACGTGCTGATACCTGCCCTTGTAAGTAGACAACTGATCTGAGAATATCGTGTGGACATAGGCCAGTCCGTCTTATCGTGTCGTAGAACAAGGCCAGAGGAACTGACGTGTCTGATATACACATCGAGCAGGATGTCGGCGCGGCTTGACCTTGTAAGGACACTGAGTAGATAGCATCTGGCCCGATCATAGCTTATCGTACAAGCGGAAGAGTTAGAGAATTGTTGCGAGAGATAAGAGAGGACGAGTTCCATGGTAAATATGCATTGTAGGTGTGGGAGGTTGGGAATGCAGACGCGGGTCGCGACGCGATTTGGCATTCGAGTGGACGGCAACAGCCAAGCAAGTGGCTTGAGGTCAAAGACAGCACGTGCACGTCGGAAGTTCTTGCTGTCGCTCCTGAGGTCCACTCAAACACCATCGCCATAAGTCCTACATCTGAAGCCGTCGTCGTACAAGCATGTTGCTGCAGCCACGTCTACCATCTCATAATTCGCCAGAACTTGGCAAGAGGATCCTTTCCCCAGCGCATTACCTGTTCCTACAATGTTCTCAGATTTATGACCTAGCCAGGTAGCAGGTTTACAGCAAACAGGCTGCAAGTGGCTTGCGACAGCTTTTCGACGGACCCTCCCTGCAGCATGTCTCGAGCTGGTGGGGCGTGTTCGATCCGTACGATCCTGATAGTCTGAGGTTGAGAAGCAATTGTCACAATAGTGGGGTGTAGCATCCTTTCCTGTTCTTACGTTTGGCACTGATAAGGCCTTGGAGGACGAGCCGACGTACTACCGACGTCTGGGTTAGTGCTTGCCGAACAGGATGTAGGCAATGTGTCAATAAGACCTTATCAATCCAGAGACGCTTGATGCGTCATCTCGAGCTAACGGAAAAGATCCGACGGATAACCCATGCAATGAGTGTGCGCCGACGGGAATTCGCTGCAAGCCGTGTAATAGCGAGTTGGGGAGTTGATAGCCGTAAAGTTAGGTGAGGCAACAATGGCGGGGCAATTGCCGATGCCGGGCAGTACTCCAACGGCTATCTAAGAACATCGGTATATTGGTATTATGTCGGCATTACATGAACAAGATCTCATCAAGAAAACGTACTGCATACACTTAGTCTTTGAAAGCTTTCTCCAAGTTTCGAAGGTACGTCCGCAAGATTGAGTGTAAGCTGTATGAATGTGCCACATATTAACAGATTGACAGGAACAAAAACACATCTAAAGCGATGTCTAGACCTGAAGTGCGAATCCCTCAAGGTACTGTTGTAGGCACCACCTTACGCGGCGACTACCCTCGTGCGGTTGAAGCCTTCAAGGGCGTTCCTTATGCATTACCACCAACAGGTGAACGCCGCTTCCGACCACCAGAGAAAGTGGCACCAAGTCAGAAGACTATCGATGCCTCAAACTTCGGTCCAAGAGCGCCAGCACAGCAGTTCATCGTGCTTGGACCGACGCTCGAGGAGAGTGAAGACTGCCTTACTGTTAACATCTTCCGACAAGCTGAACACAATAGATCAAACGCCCTGCCAGTGGCAGTGTATCTTCATGGAGGGGCTTTCAATCGGGGAAATGCCGCAATGCATGACACTGCATCCATGGTGGGATGGTCTGAACTTCCGTTTGTTGCAGTGTCATTCGGCTATCGTATAGGAGCCCTAGGCTTTCTACCATCAAAGCTGAGCGCCGCAGAAGGCGTGCTCAACTTAGGTCTGAAGGATCAGATGTGTTTGCTGGATTGGGTTGAAGAGAACATCCAGTACTTTGGGGGTGATAGGAACAACGTAACGCTCATAGGACTTTCAGCCGGCGCACATTCTGTGAGTACAAGCCTGTGTTCTTCCTGATCAGCCTGACTGACATTTCTCTAGATAGGACACCACCTCTTGAATTACCAAGAGGGCAAAAAGCCTAAGTTTCACCGTGTTGTCATAGAATCTGGAGCTCCAACGTCCCGCGCCGTCCGTAAGCCAGACGCAGAAATCCACGAGATGCAATTTGCCGACTTCTTGAAGGAAGTTGAATGTCCATCATCACTACCCGACTCAGAGATATTTACCTACCTCCGTAAACTTCCGACTTCCGCAATCGCTAAAGCCCAAACTAAGGTCTTCCAAAAGTATAACCCCAGTCTACGTTGGGCGTTCCAGCCAGTGATTGATAACGAAATCATTCGCCGCCGTCCAATTGACGCCTGGCGAACAGGGAAATGGCACAAAATGCCAATCATGACCGGATTTCAAGGCAACGAAGGCTCACTGTATGTGAACAAAAACATGTCGACCTCTGCAGATTTTCTGGGTTTCTGGAAGACATTGCTGCCGCAAATGAGCGAAGATGATATTCAAACGATAAACCGTTTGTATCCTGATCCGACAGGGGTACCCGAGTCTATCTATAAAGAGACACGACTCGAGCACGGTGTTGGCCCAATGTATAAGCGTATCGAAGCGGCTTATGCACACTATGCATACGTGGCCCCAGTCCGTCAAACGGCTTTCTATGCTAGCCAGGATACCCCCGTATATCTATACCACTGGGCAATGAAGCGGGATATCGTCTATGGAGCTCGTCACGCAGACAACATGTTCTATGAAGTGAGAGATCCTTCATTCATCGCGAAGTCTAAGAGCCAGGACGAGTTGTCGGGTACTCTGCATGCCTACGTCACTAGCTTCGTTTGTACCGGCACCCCAAATGCGCTTGGCGGCTCGTATGCCAACAGAACGGAATGGAAGCCTTACAATAGATCAGACCCGAAGGTGATGATCTTTGGAAGAGACAATACGGAGTTGATTGGTGGAGAGACTATCGGCGAGCCGGCTATCATGGTTAGTGACACTTATGCGAAAGAGGAAAGTGATTTTTGGTGGTCCAAGGTTGAGCTGTCTCAGCAGTAGTTCTCTAAGTGTACCAGGGGTTCACACATGTGTATCGAGAGTCCTCCATGTTCTATTCTGGACATCGAGTTGAACCATTCATATTCTTCTTCCACTGTTACTCACATTCATAGTTTAGCTTGCGGCACGATCTCGTTAACCAGAGCAACAACCTTCTCAGCGCATCCGTACGACCCCTGATAGCCCCACCCAGCGTGTCCATAATTGTGTATGACCCAGATTCCATCCATTTTCTCCCTCTCGATTCTGACGCCAGATTCCCTTCCAGGTCTTAACCCAACGCCATGTCTAATAACATCAAGATGTTCCGGCCCTTGGCCATCTGTCAGCTCAGGGGACATACTCACAGCTCTCTTCATGATGCGACTGGCGGTGTTGAGATCCGGTTGGCTCTCCCAGTTTCCATTCTGCATCGTGCCTCCTAGGATTGTTCCTCCACCAACAGCTCGTGTCATCATATAACATGCCTGATCGTCGCCGTCTTCCGTTCCAGAAACGCATATCATCGCTGGGGCCACGTTTCTCACTACGACCACTTGCCCGCGGATGGGGTAACAACTTTTATCCTCGACACCTCCTAGCTTGGCAGATGATAGTCCTGTCGCATTGACAACGATATCGGGACTGAAACCATCAACACCAATGGATCGTAATTCAGATACATGTGTTAAAACTTTTCGATGAAACACCACTCCGTTTGCGCGACATTGGCCCACTAGCCATGGGAGATAAAGCGCCGGGTTGATGCATACAGAGCCGAATTCACAGCCTGATGCCATTCCTGATGGCATCTCTGAGATAGGGAGATCTCGGTAGTCGTCCACCAGTTCGCGCCACCAGGGGTTCTCAGCAAACACGTTGCTAAAAGTTGTGCCGCCACTACTTCTTAGCTTATCCATGTCTTTTCGTCGGCGATAGATTCGACATTCTAATTTGTTAGCCATGGACCGTGATATGTAACGGTAGAAGAGATTACTGACTCTGAAGATGGATGCCTGCTTCTGGTACATCTGTCGCTAACCGCTTGAGTTGGGGCCATGTTTTGCGTTCATATTGACTATCTGATGATGAGGACATCCTTCCCGCTATGCGTCAGCTGATTTTGTAGCTTGTAGCTTTTGTGTGCAAGCTTACGGCATGAAGTTTGCGCCAGCCCATGGTGATGCATATTCAATGTCGTGGTCGCCTGGCATATGCTTTGCTACAACAGCGATCTTATTGCTTTGATCCTTGGATAGGAGATACGCTGACGTCAGCCCGGAGACTCCTGCTCTTCACCACAAGATGTGTTAGCTGTAGAAAGACGACGTCTGCTGCACGATGGAACGAGCTTACCCAATAACGATGATATTAGGCATTGTGTAGCTGTCGTTGTACAAACGTAACGTAGGTGCGCCAACGATTACCGGGACTTGTTTGCAAGGCTCAATTAATGATGGGCTATTGTCTCGAGGTGCACAAGCGGTTATTGGCCTCGCTAAGCCTTAAGTAGTCGACGGGTCAAAGGTGCATGTTCGACGCCAAGCCCGCACCGCAAGTTCTCCGCCGGATAACCCAAAGCTTCCGGTATCCACGATCGGGTCCTACCATTCGCGAGGCTCATGAATGCTGACCTTCGTTAACTGTATTGCGCAGGCCTGAATTAAGTGATTTCTTGGAGGATTCATGCTTCCAGTTCGTTATCGATAAGATTGCGTCACTCAATCAGGCAAGGCGTCGGCCGCACCCTCCCAGCTCCTGCACGTTCCCAACAGCTACATCTTCCGAACCATCACGACCAAAGAGAACCGCACCTACACCCCGGTCACGCTTACAGTCTCGCAATTGGCATCTCCAAAACTGCGACACAATCCATCTCGACTTTGGCACCGAGAGCCAGCTGCGGAACCGGTATGCACGTCCGGCACTACGATGCAATGTCAAAACGATTACTTGCCACACCGCCACGTAAGTGACCTACCGGTTTCTGATCGAATTTGGAGAAGAACTTATCATATACTTCATTCATGGCCTTGAAGTCGTCCATGGAGGTGATAAAGATGTTAAGTTTGATAACACTAGCAAGGCTACTACCAGCTGCTTTGAGTATGGTGGACAGGTTTTCAAGTACCCGATGCTGAGGCAATATAATTAGCCGGTGTTGACCTCTTCATGGTACATATATTTACTGTCTCTGCTTGTATACCTCCCGGGATGATCTGCATCGTTTTCCCCTCGAGCGCAAGGCTACCAGAGCAATGAACCATACCGTTGCATACTACCGCCTGTGAAGCGTTGAGTGGGGCGGCTGGCACGTCTTCCGTGTATATTGTCTTTCTAGACATGGTCAAAACAGTATCGGATGTAGAATTAGGTACCGAAAAGGATATTTGTCATCAAATCAACTATCTGAGAAGGATTGCAGCAGGTAACTATATAATCTTGGTGACATATCGCACATTGTACGATTTGCATTGGCTTGAGAGATGCCGTCCTCGGAGCTCTCGTACAATCGATAGATCGGGAAATAGATAGATACGAGGACAGAGATATGCCGACAGCAACAACATCCAGCCGAAGTATTACCGAGACGCTAAAGGAAGGCTAACGGCGGCTAGCGCTCACTAAAAGTTCTGACCCTGGATATCACAAGACACTAATTGTATCTTCCATCTGCAAGTATGTGGCGTTCTTATCACTACCGACGTCGCATCGCTACAGTTGCTGTGACGTTCTCATACTGTTGCATACCACTAATGTTGACCGGGGCAGCGACCCACAACTTCGATTCCTAACCCAGGGTGCGGGTTTCCAGCTTGTACGGAAGCACTGCTCCGCCTGATAACAAGATAGGAATAAAGTATGGAAGCTTCTTCCAAGCGACATGATTGGATAGTCGATACCTGTCATCGAATGTCCTCTTATCGAGACCCGCATAGGTTCTGCCCATGCGCAATCGGAATCTCATAGCGCGGGGTACGTCGTCAGACAAAGCGGCTTTCAAAGTTGGGGTAAAGTCTATGGGCAAGATTAAGTATATGTATGGTCGAGCCTCAGAGATATTGGGAGTGCGTCGCTAGTCCATGTTCGTTCTTCACCATGCAACCTGAACTGAACGCCCTCAAGGGCGACGACAAAGCAGTGGCCATGTCGAAAGACTTAGAGATCCAGCTGGACAATATGGATGGCAACTCTCTCAAGAAGGAAGAAAGCGCCATGGTGGGCGAAGTCGAAGACCTGGACGAAGCGAACCTATTTCTGCGGCAACACAATATCACTCCCCAGTACATTGCCGAGCTCCTCGAAGACAAAAATGCGAACAAGAAGGTCTCCAGGAAAGTCGATTTGCTATTGCTACCACTGCTATGCGGAACGTATTTCCTCCAATACATCGACAAGCAAGCGATCAGCTACTCTGCCGTATTCGATCTTTTCGAAACCACTGGTATCACCGGCGATCAGTATTCCTGGCTGGCATCAATCTTCTACTTCGCCTACTTGTTCGCAGAATGGCCATCAGCATACCTTGCGCAGCACTTCCCGACTGGTCGAGTCGTGTCAATTTACTGCTTCTGTTGGGGCTCAGTTATGTTACTTACAGCCGCTACGCACAACTTTGCAGGCTTTGCTGCCATGCGATTCCTCCTTGGTGTCTTCGAGAGTGTCGTCACCCCGGCTTTCATGATGGTAGGTCTTGATTACATAGCAGACATATGACACATACACTGACTTTACACCTTCGCCCTTGCAGATGGTTGGAATGTGGTACGTCGGGAAGCAGCAGCCTGCAAGAGCAGGTATGTTCTACTGCTTTAATGGCATCGGTAGCGCCGTTGGTGGTATACTCTTCTACGGCTGTGGATACGCAAAGACCTTCGTCGTCTGGAAGATCATATACATTATATGTGGAGGTATGACCGTTCTTTGGTCCATACTGCTCTTCTTCAGACTGCCGAACAACATCATGACAGCCAAAAGCTTTACTACAGAAGAGAAAGCTCTTTTGATCGGCCGTGCCGCCAGCAACCGTACTGGAGTTTACAACAGAAAGATCAAACTACCGCAGGTCTTGGAGGCCCTGATTGACCCTCAGATCTGGATACTCTTCTTCTTCGTCTTATGCAATGAAATGATCAACGGCGGTAATGCAAACTTCGGCAAACTCATCGTCAAGGACGTAGCAGGAGGTGATCCACTCAAAACGACGCTATACGGGATTCCGCAGGGCTTCGCCCAGGTGTTTTGGGTTTTCACAGGCCCTTTGCTCGCTTCACGACTTCCCAACGCGCGCACCTTCATCATGGCTCTTTACCTTTGTCCCACAATAATAGGCACGTGTTTAATATGGCAGCTACCACGCTCCAACACGGCTGGGTGCTTGGCGGGATATTACTTGGTATGTCGTGAACACGCAGCAGCCTTTCTAATCAGTAGCTAACGGAAGTAGACCGGTTCGTTTGTTGGCTCTCTAGTCATTGCTCTGCAGCTACCTGCATCAAATGTAGGTGGATACACAAAGCGAACCACAAGCACAGCCTTTGTCTTTCTGGGATACTGTGTTGGTAACATTATTGGTAAGCTCTCCTGCATTTCTGGCCCATCTCAAGACCATCATTACTAAGACCAACCACTTTAGGCCCTCAGGCCTTCTTGGCTGAAGAAGCTCCCAAATACGAGACAGGCGTGAAGATGTTTCTGGGATGCGCTGTCTCTCAGGTCGTGCTAGCACTTTGCTTACGAGCCTTACTCGCACGGAGGAACGCTCAACGCGACCGCGAAGAAGCTGAGGGTTCGCATAGCCAAGACGATGATCTAAACGACGCGGATGCCATCGAGGATACTACAGACTTCCACAACAGGAAGTTCCGATATGCCATATAAGCTTGATATGGATATTGTATAAGCCGTCACTCTACCTTTCATCGTTAGCACTTTGCCTTTCTCCTCGAGATCATTTCTAATAATGAAACAATGGGAATTTTACCTACCCCTCCTTAGTCTTACTTCTCTATCCCGGAAGACATCGCAGTGCTTCCCTCCCTCGCCTTCATCTCCTCTTTCTGCCTCTCCTTGACTTTCTTCGGCTTCTTTGCGCTAACCGGCCCGTCGGCACTTCTATCTTTCCACTACCCACGACTCCAGATCAGCCATCTTTCCTTCTCCCAAATCATTTGCACAAACTCACCATACCGCCATATCGGTAATATGGGTATTCCTCTTGCATGCCCTTTGCATCTTCAACGCCACCAGAAACTGATTTCCAGCATGTTCCAGGGCAGACGAAATGCCATTTCTGCGACTCGTCGATCTGACAGCGCACAAGGACGTCACGGGGTTTTGAACAGAGAGTGCAGGACTTTGTCATATTCGAGAGATGCAATCGAGACAGATGATGATGGATTGAGCATCGGGGATGATTCAACAACTAGTTGTGAGCGAGGAAAAGTGATGACATCATGGCTTCTATTCTCCGTCCTCCGTCTTCTGCGCCAGCACAGACCCATGATCAACAGGCTTCCATATCTCTTCATACCTTTCCACCCAATGTTCTCTCCATCCTTCTTCTAAAAGCCATTCCGCCTTTTCTTCTCGCACCACGTCTTCAATGCGCAATCCGTTCCTCGCAAGCGCACTGCACCATCCATCCCATGCGCCACAGCGTTTAGCGTACATACTCGGCGTCAGACCATCATGATCGCGATGGTGTACATCGATACCCGCTCTTATCAGCGCGTTGGCGATTTCTTCGATAGCCATCGGGTCTCCTGGACTGCCTTCATGATCGATAACGCAATAACAACGCTGGATTCTGTTGCGGCCAAGACTACCCATCGTGTTGATGTATGCAGCATCAATTTCGAAGAGTGGTGCAATGATACCTGCTACAGAAGGCCAGTCCCACGGGTCATCATTGAGAATTACTGATTCCGATATGAGACCCTCTTGCTGTAATCTTTGTATCTGTTCACCCAATAGAGAACGCGATCTGCCTTTATAGTAGTCCCAAAGCAGCATATTCATTGTTGTCTCGAAAAGAAATGAGGACGACTCATGGACCTGAGGAATGATGTGATCAACGGTTCTCTCGAATGCGACTCGATCATGATCGACTATCGAGCGCATGAAGAGACCTGCGACTAGGCTAACATCGTGGCTTTTTTACGTTAGGAAAAGGTTGTTACAGGATGGTAGGGACGACTCACTTCAGGTTTGATACGCCGATACCTTGACTTGCCAAGTAATCGAACAGGTCTATCCGTGTGTGCTCTGCAGCATACTACGCATTGTGGGTTAGCGTTGAGTCATTCCATCAGAATATTTGGGTACAATTTACATAGAGACATAGATTTCTTCCTTCTCGGTTGATCTCATACGGAGAAATCACGCCTTGTCGTAGTGCATCATCGATCTCGTGAGCACTAGCAGATGCGAAAAGCTGGTTGTAGTGGGTTTCGGACTCAGCCAAGGTAAAGACACTGAGTTGGGCGCAGAGCCTTGGATTCGATGGACCGGAAGCGTTGCGAAGAAAGTGGGCATGAATAGCGTGGAGTGACCGCCCGATACCGCAAGTGAAAGTGAAGCTAGCCTCCTCATCTGGACGTCGAAGCTTCGATCTGGACGCTCTGCGAGAAGTTTGTAAACGCAGACTGCCGAACGGAGTAGTATGTGTATATGAGGATTTGTGAGCGATAGCTGGTGTGCTGAGGTAGAGGTTCGCGTAATGCGCTTCTTGTGTAGTAGACCTGATCTTGGATTGCCCTATTACACGCCGAGGTGTCGTCAGATGGCGCGATTTGGTCTCTTCAGAGTAATGCCAACGGTCCAGAGAGGTCGCAGTGGACTGCGGGTGCTTTGTCGCTTCCTCCTGCGCTGCTGATGCTATGAGGTTCTCGTACTCGGACTGTAGCCAGGAAATGTAATATGGTGGAAAGGTGCTGATACCGTCGTTGAACAAATTGGCAAGCGCAATTTCCAAATGGGGTTTGACAATGAGCAGATAAGCCATGATCATATCGCGACGTTCACCAAAGAAGAAGACATCTCTAGTCGACACGGATCTAGCGCGAGAGATGCGGTACTTCTCGAACTGGGTGACGATGACATCCTCAAGCTTTGCCGATAGTACGTCTCGGGTCCTTTGATGCTCAATCAGATGCTCTTGGTGAGCAATCGCTATTTCTTTTGAAGCTCGTTTTGTTTCCTGATAATGGCAGACTGCCAGACGCCCCAGAAGCTCTTGTCCTTGTATCAGTGTGGCTTGGTTCCGCTTAGTCGAAGCCAACAACTTTTGAGTTGTGTTGTGCCTCTTTAGAGTCTCCAGATGTTGGTCGTCAGATCTTTGCCTAAACCTACTATGAGCGCAGGTTCATTCGCAACGCGAGGAATCATATACCTGCTTGCGACGTGCAGAGAGTTTGCGAGTAAACTCTTTGCCCGCTCAAGATTGTTGAACACCTTGTTGACTTTACGTTCGTCCAGAACGTACTTCACCCTACTCCAAGTCTTGTTGCTCACACCTCTGAATCTCGCGTTGAGTATCCTCAAATTTTGAAGTTCACGTTGTAAGCTCTTAAGTGCAGATTCGAATAGAGCTGTAATGCGATCCGTGGTATCTGCTGGTTTCCGGCTAGCGAGCGTTTCCAGAATTTGTTTGATGGTCTCAGCGAGGAGTGTGGTTTCCTTGACAGTAGTACATAATCGATCAATCTCTTCTGGAGCGCCAGAAATATCGCGCAGGAAACCATGGACCTCCCGGCCCGTTCGCACGATAACTTCAGCAACGCCAATGATAGCGAATATCCCCGCAGCAAATTCGAGGCCTGCAGACATGATAGGCGATGCGAGTTCTATGAGATGCTGCTCGTTACCGAGTGTTGAGGGTAAAAAGAGACCTGGTTAGATGGCTCTCGGTGTCGCGAACATGTTGCTGCTAATAGGCGTGGCCATTCCGTATCCCGAATGGGGGCGGCTGATGCAAGCCATGCACGTGTGTCCAGGACCTAGCCTATCAGTGATCTTTGGCCCCTGCCAACGGTTCCCGACATCTTGTTGCTGCAGTAGCTTGCCACTATTTTGGAAGCAAACGGGGGGCCTTGCTTGCGGGAACAGGGCCAATAAGGAAGGTTGTTGTGCGGTTTCAAGGCACATACCATGGAAATACTAGCTGGTCACCGCGCATTGATAGGAGGCATCCTCTCCTATGGTAATCGGATGTGCCGACTGCCACTTTAATCCTATCATAGCTTGGCCGTGAAGACCAGGACCAGTGCACATAGCAGGCAAAGCAAGGCAAAACTCCACGTCAGCAGCCACCAACGGAGGCTGCTCCTGGCTCGGACAATTCCATATAATATTCTAGAAGACGAGCCGTCTGCATGCAAAGTTCGCTAACACTTGCACGGCTCCAATATATTTAAGCTGTTGGGTTTGGTGAGGCTGACAAGGAAACACTTGATGACATCACAGCTGCAACGGCTCGCTTGTCGATGGTACGCTCCAGCATTGTTGCATGGGGAGCGCGTTAGAAAGTATAAGTGACACCGAGAAAGCGAATGAAGCGGTGTGATAGAGGAAATAGTGCGAATGGTAAGGTCGCAGTGACGAAGGTTGCCGCTGGAGCATGGCCGTATAGCAGACTGCAAAACGCATATTAGTTACTGTATCGGCGAAAGTTTACACAACCAATTCTTCGCCCATCCTGGAACCGTGAGTTGTATCGCGCGACTTGTGCGAAAGGCAAGCGTGTAGCTTCTGTCTTGCTTCAGAAGAATTGGGCCACCGCTGCGATTTTCGACCAACCCGATGGAGATGTGCTTGCAATCTTAGGTCGTGGGGCCGTGCACCGCCCCTCACTGGCGTGGATGCCTTTGCCGATTTCCCTTGACCTGTATCTACTGTTCACTCCAAGCCCCATACGTCCTATTTGCAGATCTTGTTGGATTACATTCTGATAAATCCGTTGAGGACCAAGCGGCAGAACTGTATTCAAAGGGTGGACTTATTGATACGAGCTCTGCCCTTGCTTCCCTCTCTGCTGAAGGTCGCAATAGACGCAAGCACCAGAGATGGAGGTGTACACTAAAGCTACCAAGACCATGTGAGGCTGGCTAGATAGCGTTAATCTTAAGGTGGTGACTGAAAAAGTGTGCAAGGCTGCTGAAGTTGGTGCTCAATTCGTACAAACCCTAGGCGACTTGTAAGAAATGCCCAGGTATCGATAGGTACGGGAACATTGAGGCAAGACGAGAATACGTAAGACATCAAAATCATTATTAGTATTGACACTAGGTTCACGATTGGGTATCTTGATGACTGCGAAGGTGCGCTTTTTACTTGCCTGAATCATCGAGCACATTCATTCCCTGTCACCATGAAGCAGCCGCTATTCTTCTGTTGCCAGGCGCGAGTGCAGATCTCGCGCGGGTTACTAGTATTCACACCACCAAAAACGTACTGGAAATCTGCAAAGATCCCGGTTCCCACCGCTTCGAGATATTTAACTGTCCTTCTTGTTGCAGATTTAATGCATCCACAGACACTGCTGACAGTAGATATGTCACCACGATGAGTATCGTGTCCACAATTGAGACAGATACCACCCTGATCATCAGAGTTTCACTGGTCAGCAAGATATCGACGACTAATGCAGCAACTCATGGCTGTGTATCCGTCTATTTCGCAATGTATAACTTCATGAGAAGGAGCGAAACAAGCGAAGATCAGGACAAGTGGACAAAAACTTTATCAGATGTAGACCCAAAGGACATACCGCCAATCTTTACCGTGGAGACATCGTTACCGTGGTTTCAACTAGGACCAATACAACCACTGCTACTACAACAACCAATACTAGTACCATCATTAGTATGGCGACAATGACATATGTTCTCATCCCTCTCGATGAAACGCTACCAGATTCTTCACGTCTTGGATGTGAATGTGGGAATGGAGTTCTCAAAAGTACATCTCGACTGTCTACTCAACCACCACCATCACCATCGGAATCCCTGGCTCAGCCTACTACACAGCATACGTTCTAAATAGCATCATATCCACAGCGAACGGCGTAAGGATTAGTAATGGCTATTTGAGATTGGGAGTAGGTCACAAGGTTGTCAGTGCGGCGAAAAGTCCCTACGATGGCTGCATCGCCTGCGTTACAGGAACTGACTGTGGCCTTGCGCTCTTCCCCTCAAATAAGTGCTTGCGGGCGATTTTCAAAGATGAGAGAATATTCAGTCAAGGCAACGGGAAGAGCAATTTATTTACAGTTCCGAACAACGACCCTATTGCTGCATTGAATGGGTAATGTGAAAAGACTACACTTTAGTAAGTCAGGCTATTGGCTTAACGTGCTCATGTATCCGGTTTGACTTCTACTGTTCATCTATGATTAGAAGTTGAACGCATCATAACACCGCGTCATTGCATTCAATTTCACCATTTCATCACCAGAAAACGGGAGGTTGGTGCTATAGCCGTACATTGAATGGACTCCAACGACAACTACATATATGTTGACTCATATCTTCATTCCTCCTTTCTCCATCCAAGCTTCATGTTTACATGCCTCGGCTGACTTCATCCATCATCTCGATGTACTACTCGTCGCAGCCACAGTCGGAAGGAGTAGGAGCTGGCGCAGTGCTAGACTCACAGGAGCTGGAAGCGGGTGGGGCTGGAGGGGCTGGAGGACCAGCAGTAGGAGTGGGACCACCACCACCTGTGGCAGTAGCAGTGACAGTAGCGGTGGGGGCACCGCCACCTGGGGCGCCGGCACCAGGGCTGACATCCTGACACAGAACGTCCTGACCCGCAACGGGAATAACACAGCACTTGGCTTGCTGGCCAGTGGCAGCGCAGCCGCTGATGAAATCGCTAGTGTTGGCAGGAGTGGTGGCAGCTAGTTTGTAGCGTTAGCGCTGATCTTTGTATGCAAGAAAAGACATAGGAACGGAAGACATACGGACTGCGCAGTTCAAACCAACAGCACCAAGGACATCAGTGGCACAGCACTGGGGGTTGCTGTAAAGCCCAGCAGGGCAAAGAGTAGTGGTTCCAGTGGAAGCAAAAGGAGCGGCAGCGACGCCGGCAGCGAAGGCGAGGATGGAGTAACGCATATTTATTGCTGAAGATTTCTTCTTGACTGGTAGACAATGAAGGGCTGGTGGAAGCGAAGGTAGGATGCTGAGATGCTGCTTGATGTTGATGGTAGTCATTTTGAAGTCCATCCTTTGCCTTCTTTTATACTTTGCTCTCCGACATACTTCATCGTCGCTTGGCGGTCTACTAGTGCCGTGAAGTCTCTCTTTCCGTTTTCCCGTATCCTATATTGCGGTTGTTTTCGTCCCTAGTTCATCGAACGTGGTATGTACATCGTTTGGACGCAGCATGACGCTGTACGACAACCCGAGTCCCATCTCGGCTCGTCGCAATCCAGAACCATCTGCGGAGTAATAAGAAAACACTGATCTCATCCAATACCATTGGTGAGAAATTTCATTCCTGAATAAACTCGATAAAGGTTGTTTACCCAGTGGCCCATGTAGGTATGCGATTCCTCGATCTGACCTTGGAATAGCCAGACATTGTTGCATGTGCTGCAAGAAGTGCATCTACGCGATGTCCCAGGGGCTTCCCCGCAACTCCAAAGCGAATCGCTCACTGAAGCTACTGAGTACCTTGAGTCAAGATTGATACTCTATAGAAGGCTAACAGTGTGGCTCGCAAGGGACCAATGCATTCGACTGTTCAAGTGTTTGCGTGGATATCGCAAAACCTCCAACAATAACCGAAAGTCCGCATCAATGATTCAATGACTAGTACGTGTACACAACCAAGACTGCAATTCACGTCCTTGGCACGTGTGACCCCGTTGGTTGGAAGAGGACTCTGCTTCAAAGCGGTGCGTGATCTCAGTCCTTCCTCATCGCACAGCACTTTTCCACAGGTCGTGTAAGAACACATACAGTATGTATGTCAAACAACTTAGACATTCCCCAAAATCCAGAAACGCTCTAGAACCTGATATTAGGGCCTGGCAGTCATCCTGTAAGGTACAACGTGGCTTGCTATCATGGACCGAATGTCAGGCGGTCGTGTGCTTTTGCCTCGTAGATGCCCGAAGATTGTGTCTCGTTACGAGAGACCGTATATAGTGGCCATGTTGCTTCGTCGTCATAGTACTGATATCCGGAAAAGACGGAGGTTAGCCATGGTATGGATATGGACATTTTATTAGCCATATAAATCTGATTGGGCAATGTACATGACCCAGGGCCGGGGCAACTTGCGGTAGTGTTACCAACGTGACGGGGTGTAGCACCGGGTGTATTGCAGATAGGCGATTGGTAAGAACGGACAAGATCACCATAGTGAGCATGGAAGGTCGTGGTATCGATAAAACGTCGATGCCGGCAGCGAGGTCGAAATTAAGTTGCGGGGAAAGTAGCCTGCCATCGGGCTAGGTGATTGAACCTTGCTTAGCGCGTCGGCTCCATAGGTAAGCTCCACATCCACCTTAGCCATATCACTAGCGATGGTGATCCAGTCGATTTCAGTACGTCGCCATTGTCTAAGTTAGACAGGTTGCCTCGGCTATACTTGGAGATCTAGAGCTTGAAGAAACCAGATTGCAGGCACTTCACCGTTCAATGCCGCTTAGAACTCGGAATAAAATGCTACAGGCGCGTCCTTCGCCGCTGCCAGATTCATCGATCGATCGTCATGAGCTCGCTCTACTCCGTAACATGCTAATCAGAGCGCCAACTAGAAGAAGTCCTACCAAGACTCCACTCTGAACTGGCGCAAATAGTGCAGATCGTAAAATTACCAGAGTACCGACGATGACGAAGATGATGGGAAGAATAATGAGTGGGCGGTAAGGCCGTTCCATCTGGGGTTCTCGGCGGCGGAGTATAATCATTCCAACTACCGTACTAACGTAGAAGACCCATTCAGCCATACCAACGAACGTCAAGAGTGCCCGAAAACTACCTGTCAGGATATAGACAAGGGTTATGACCAAAGCCAAAGCGTTAGCGTAACTATTTTCCGTGTTAGTCAGCTGTGGAATGCAATAAGTCAGAAGGGCTTACATGGGAGCGTCGAGGCTGAATGAAGCGGTGGTGTCTGCCTCAGACCTCTGCGTCATTGGCAACCCTCGTTTGCTGAATACTGCCGGAAGATAATGGCGTTGCGATGCAGCCATCGTCAGTCTGCCCACCGCGAAGACATTACTAGTGATGGACCCTGCGCAGGAGATGGCAACAAGAATAGTAACTAGAATACCAGCAGGTCTCCCTAAGAGGGATGAAGCAGCAGCGACTGCCACTGCGTTGTTGCTGCTTAGCTTGTCCCAAGGTACAAGGATGTAGTAAGCCACGTTCACAAGTTCAAACGAACTGAGTACCACGATCATCGCAGCTTTGATCGCTTTTGGAAGAGCACGACCTGGGTCGCGGATTTCACTCGCAACGATGTTGGCCTGGACAACGCTATCAGCCGGCATTGTTGGAGCACAAGAAGTATGCACTTACATTATCCCATCCGTCATACGCCCAAAGTCCTCCATATATCGCTGCGCAATAGTGACCGTAACGATCCCATGTCCTCATTGACGACCAGTCGATAGTTTGGCCGTCCGATACTGTCGACCTTGTCTGAAACCAATTGCGAGTGTACCAGTCGCTCGGTCCAGATAACGAAGAGTTTGGGTTGATCAGATGTGCCACTACAGCAACGACCCCGCCTAAGACTATCAGGGCCACGGTCGACAGCTTGAAGACCGTGAAAGACTCGCTCAGCCGCATTGTGAACCTGGTATTGATGGAGTTGAGCAACACCATGGAGACAAAAGCTATGGCAGCGATGAGTTTGAGCATTTTGGCATCTGGTAAGTCGCCGGTACTGGATGTGACTGATCCTATGGATTCGGCGATGACGATACTTTGGATGGCCATGGACGAAGGCTTCACGCCGAGGATGTACACCCAGGCCATGAGGAAGGCAGCCGTGTCACCGTAGATGTGGCGTAGGTATTCTTGCATACCACCATTCAGTGGAAGCGCTGCACCAAGCTCAGCAAACGATGCTGCTCCTGCCCATGATAGCAGCCCGCCAAGGACCCAAACTAGGAGAGCAGCTCCAGGAGAAGGCACGTTGCTGTCAACCTGCGCTGGTGAAGCGAAGATTCCCGACCCGATTTGAAGTGTAACAAGAACGGCAAATGCATGTCGCGTAGTGAGCTGCTTGGATAGCTGCTGTACCGCGCGTGATGAAGACGAAGAGCGCCGTGCAAGTAGTGGTTCCCGTTCCGACTCGGTTGTGTTCAACTTGGGAGCGTCTTGGCTCCCAGGGCGGCTGGAGCCGTGTATGTCGTCCATTGCACTACACCCGCGGTTTCCGTCTCGAAGGTGTTGAGGCTACACAGTAGTGGATTTTCTTGCTGCTGGGTAGGAACGGTCCTTTTTTGCGACCTTGGCGGGCGGAAGACGCTAGACCATGTCACAAGACATCAAGCACGCGCCATGCGGCTCTCTGCTTACAGGTGAGATCCGATGGGTTAGATGTAGGAGATGACCAAGTGGGCCTTGCACAAATCCGGTTGACGTTACTGAAACTTCTGTAGTCGTCATATCGTGCTTTCCCCAGTCGATGTGGCGTCTGCACTAGCCTCAGGTGTGGCGCAGCAAGAGAGCACAATATGGACAACCGGGCATGACGACGACAGATATGACAGATGATAGACCGAATACCGTTCAGAGCACTCAAGGGTAAATTTCTTCCAAGCACTGTTCCCCATCTCTTCTGCAATACCCCCATCCTGCGAGCGTGGCGCGTCGGTGGTGCCTGCCTGTGGCTCGAAAAGCTCGGACTAGCCCTTCAGCGCCCTGACACCCCTCTTCGCTTCCTCACCAACTGCCCAGGTACGTCAACACCACGCCCGCGTTTTAAGCTCCCTACCGCGCACTCATAGACTTAACTCCCCCCAGACCCTGAACCATGGACGCGAATCAAAATGACGAGCTTTACCCCATCGCCGTGCTCATCGACGAGCTCAAGCACGACGACGTTATCCTCCGCCTGAACGCCATCCACCGACTAAACACAATTGCCCTCGCCCTAGGCGCCGAGCGGACACGAGAGGAACTCATACCGTTTCTAGATGGTGAGCGGCTGCCCGGTCGACATGCCCAGTCTGAAATAGCTAACGGATGTATTCAGAGTCGGTTGAGGACGAGGACGAGGTTCTCACAGCATTGAGCGAGGAACTTGGCAAGTTTGTCGAGTACGTCGGCGGCCCAGAGCATGCACACGTGCTTCTGTCACCTCTCGAGAACCTTGCAGCAATAGAAGAGCCCCTTGTCCGGGAAAAGGTGTGCGCTGCAATCGCCTAGATTTGGCTGCCAGCTAACACGTGCAGGCTGTCGAATCGCTCAACAAGATCTGCGAAGAGCTGTCGCAGCAGCAGATTGAAGAAAACTTCATACCCCTCGTCTTGCGCCTATCTAAAGCCGACTGGTTCACCTCAAAGATCTCCGCGACGGGACTCTATCAGACCCCCTACACTCGCGCTACACCCCCTTCACAAGAAGCCCTCAGGCAGCACTACGGCCAGCTAGTGCACGATGATACCCCCATGGTACGGAGACAGGCGGCAAACAACCTCGCCAAGTTCATCAAGGCCATGCCGCCGTCCATTGTCATCGAAGAGATGATTCCCCTCTTCCAGCACCTCGCCGCAGACGACCAGGACAGTGTCCGACTCCTGACTGTCGACATCCTCATCGCGATCGCCGAAGCGGTACCCAAGGAGCAACAGTCGAGCCATGGTGTTCTCCTGACTGCGCTGCGGAGTCTGTTCGAGGACAAGAGCTGGAGGGTGCGGTATATGGTAGCAGACCGATTTGAGAAGGTGCGTTCGGCTGGTAGCGAAAGGAAGCATGCGCTAATGGAATTAGATTGCGAAAGCCGTCGACGAGGAAGTTGTCAACCGCGACCTTGTGCCAGCCTTTGTCAAGCTTCTCAAGGATACAGAGGCCGAGGTACGCAGCGCCATTGCAGGACAAATTCCAGGTATGCCTCTTGGGAGCAGGTGCACGGCACATGAGCTAACCACTACTAGGTTTCTGCGCGCTGTTGGAGCGTGAGACCCTTCTACACGAGGTTATGCCTAGCATAGAGGAGCTGGTCTCCGATCAGTCTCAGCATGTTCGCGCTGCGCTTGGCACCCAGATTAGTGGACTCGCTCCAATCCTTGGAAAGGAAGAGTAAGTTGCGACTACGCGTGACCACGTGCTTTCTTAGTAACACTAGTCAGGACCATTTCGCATCTCCTTCCCATGTTCCTGCAGATGCTCAAGGACGAATTCCCTGACGTTCGCCTAAACATCATCTCCAAGCTCGAGTCTGTCAACAACGTCATCGGCATCGAGCTCCTCTCGCAGTCCCTCCTCCCCGCTATCGTCCAACTTGCCGAGGACAAGCAATGGCGCGTACGCCTGGCAATCATCGAATACGTTCCTCTCCTCGCGTCGCAACTCGGTGTGCAGTTCTTCGATGAGAAGCTTAGCAGCCTATGCATGAGCTGGCTCGGCGATACCGTCTTCTCGATCCGTGAGGCGTCGACTCAGAACTTGAAGAAGCTTACGGAGGTCTTCGGTGTAGAGTGGGCCAACGATGCTATCGTTCCCAAGGTCATGGCTATGGGCCAGCACCCCAACTACCTCTACCGAATGACTACATGCTTCGCCGTCTCAACACTGGCGCCTGCACTGAGTCTGGATGTCATTGAACAGTCCATCATCCCCATGATGGACAAGCTGGTCAATGACGATATCCCCAACATCAGATTCAACGTGGCGAAGTCATATGGTCAGCTCATCAACACGCTCAAGCAGCTGCCTGAGCAAGGTACTGTCATCGCTCTCGAGAAGGCTGGTACACCGGGCCAGGGTTGCCAGAAGGCTACAGATGTCATTACCAAGAGCATCCTGCCGAACCTCGAGAAGCTCCAGCAAGACGACGATGTAGATGTACGATACTTTGCGACGACGGCCGCACAAAGTTTCACGGATGCGATGCAGACTTAGAAGATCCAGCTTCGTCCGTGTTCTTGAATGTGCAGAATGACATCATGAATAGCATCAACGATGGTTAATGATATGGAACGGCTGCAAAGAAGGGCATGGCGGTGAGAAAACAGCGTAAGCCGAAAGCCCTGTAGGTGTAGTTCCAAGCTTTGTTTTATGAGAGTTGAGTGGGCTAGTAGTTGGGCTCACTGGCAATAAACCACAAAGATTACCCAGTTAGAATCATTCCTGACAGATTCGCAATGCATACTTTGGCGTTATCACTAGTATCGAGTGCACAAGATGAGTGACGTTGATAATTTATTTTCATTCGCATTATGCCATGGTGTAATAGCTATAGCTTGGCCGTTGAGGTTGTAGGTAGTCAAACGGCACCAGCCTCCTTGAGAAGGTTTTTGAGCTGACCCTTCTTGGACTGCAAATCGCTGTTTCCACCAATGTGCTTCTGAGCGATGAAGATGTTGGGTACGGTGGTCTGGCCAGTCATTTCGCCGAGAGTAGACTGGATAGCTGAGCCGTCATCTATGCGCATGTTAGCTGCTAGTCTTGTAGCTCCGTCGATAGTTGGAGAGTCTACATACCAACTTGGTCCAACTCAATCGCGAAGTACTTTGCGCCACTGTCGCTGAGCAACTGCTTGGCCTGGCGACAGTAAGGGCAGTAAGACTTTGAGAAGACGGTGACGGGGTTCTCGTCGATGATGGACTGGACCTTGGTCTTTGTAGCGGACATTGTGGCGGGCGAGGGGGCGCGCGTGAAGAAGTGACGCAGGAAGGAAATTTTGGCGGTTGTTTGGAGGTGCTGGAGGTTGGTGAGTATTGTGTTTGGTAGTCGAGGGTAGTGTTGCTGGAGGGGTGGTGGGAGGCGTACTTATGCGTGGGTGATGGGATGCCGAAGTTTGTCAGATAGATTCTAGATCGGTGTGTGTTTATGAGCTCGGTGTGGATGTGTATAGAAGTGGTGATTAGTGATGTGCAGCGTGCCCCCCGCAGTAGTAAACGTTCTCGATGGCAAATGATGCAATCGCTCGTGAAAGACGGCTGCGCTAACTGACGTCGGAGATGGATCGGCGATGTGATGTGATTACAAAGAGGCTAAAAAGGGACAGGGGCCAGAGGCGCGGCTTTGGCCATGACGCGTGCGGCTGGATGCGACGCGGACGAATGTAGGGACCTAGCTTGCACACATGTTTCGGCGTCTTTGATGCCAAGCAGACAGCTGTTACTCTGAAAATGTGAAGGAAATTATGAAGTACTGTAGATGAAGAGATAATAGTGCAGAGGTAGGAAGAACCAGAATCAGGAAAGCACAACGGGTCGCGTACCTTCCGCATTCCGAGATTGAGCGTTCCGACGCTTCCACGCCGTCGCAACAACTGTCAGACTATCTTTGGTTCCCGCCATCCCAAGGCGTCCATTCACTCTCACCACACACACCATCAATCAACTAGCTGTAAACCCGCGCTTCTTATGCGCACGTCGCACCACACTCCACGATGACGTCCTCAGCGGCCGGATCAACCGCCTTCTTCATCCTCTCCCTACTGTCCATATGCGGCGCCGTTCTGCTCCTCCTACGCTACTATCTCCCGCTTCGCACAACACCCGCATACGTCGTCGTACCCGTCTTCTTGGCAATAGCGCTGCCAGCCAGCATCGTCGTGCTCCTGCCCATCGACCTCGCGAGTAGTGCTGGACTCGACACAACGGATGGCGCCAGAGGCATATGGCTGAACGACACGGTTGTGTACAAGGCATGGCGCATCATATACTGGCTCACGTTTGCGCTTACGTGGGCCATCTTGCCTATGCTAGGCGAGTACTGCGATAGTGGGTATAGAGAGCCCAAGGCAAGATTGCAGTATGCGCTTAGGAGCAATGGCCGGTATTGGCTCATTGTGGCCGGGTGTAGTATCGTAGGTTCGATATACTTGCTTCTGTGGAACGGCTTCCACGTGGATACTTTCAAGAGCTTGGTCATGGCGCTGGCGTATACCTGGGGTCTGATACTGGGCATCTACCTTATGGGTCATGGACTCGTCGCCTTCCCCAGGAGTTTGTTTCGATACGCTAGTGTTAGCGAGAGATTGAAGAGGATACAAAGTCGGGCGCCCAAGGTTCACGACAAGTTGACTGAGGCATTGGAGAAACTGGATCAGTATGAATACCAGGTTGTGCAGCTCAAGCAAAGGAAGAATGGTACTGCGCGCGAGTTTCAAGAGTGGATTGATGAGTTGGCAGAGAAGGGCAATCTTCCGGAGAACAGGGCTGGTGTTGTTGGGCGTATGGGCACAGCGACAGTGCCTCCTGTCATCACTGAGAGATACCTGGCGGATCTGACGAGGAAGTTGAAGCGGGCGCGCCATGCAAAATGCCGATTCGAGAACGAATGGGACCGTGTTGTACAAAAGGCTGTCAGGACGCAGGCTATCCTCGATTCCAAAGCCAGCAAACATCTTGAGTTCAAAGGCGTTGCGTTGCCAGCCTCAAGAGGATTGTTCGATCGCATCACCATTCTCACACCATTCACGCGCTACCACCTGCACGTCCACGTCATCCCCGCTCTGGCCTACGTCTCCTGGGCCATCACAATCCTCGCATCCATATCCATCGTCTGGTCAGAATGCGTGCGCGAAGCCCAGGACTTTGGTGGGCCGAAACTCTCTATCATCGGCTGGACTGTCGTACACCGCCACGACAATGGCCGATCGTCGGTCGGCTTCAACAGCCAGATAATCGCTGCTGCCTGGCTATGCTACATGTGCATTTGCGCCTTCTATAGTCTAACCGAGGTCAAAATATGGGGCAACAGGGCGCTCGTGCGAAGAAACACATATCAAGAATCTGCGACCTGGTACGGTCTCCAAGTCGCCAAGTTGACCGTCCCTTTGAGCTACAATTTCCTTACCATGACGGACAAGAATATCTGGAAGGGTACCATGTTCTACAAGTTCCTTGGCCGCCTTATCGTTCTCACACCACTCGGTGAAGGCTTCAGCGCATTCTTCCCCATCTTCATACTCGTACCCGTCTTCGCTACGGCTTTCGGACTCTACGGCAAGGTGAAGAACATCTGTGGCTTCGGAGATCTACTCGACGATGAAGAGGACGCATCAGGAAACTACGCTGGCACCGGCTCATGGCGCGAAGGTCGCGCATTGATTGAACGCGAAATTCAAGGTGCAAGTGGAAACGTCCTAGGCCTTTCCCAACGAACCAATACTAGCCCGCCAAACGAACGATACACAGACACACCAGCACCGTCGTCGTCATCTAGCCTTCCCACCGCGACCGCAGCAGCGGCAAACGGCGGCCCAAGCACCACACGCGTCTCAACAACCCATCCCGACCGCCGACGCCCTGCACTCGAAGACGAAGAAGACGAAGGCAACTTTTTCGAAAACTTTGCTTCAAGAGTCAAAAACACTTTCGACACCAACGACTTCTCCTTCCCCCGACCGAAGTGGCTAGGTGGCGATGAGGAAGAAGCCGAGGCTGGACGTGGTAGTAGAAGACCGTTGGATCGAGGTGACGGGGATCGTGGAAGTGGATTTTTGAGTCTGTTTGGTGGGAGGGGGGATGAGGGGAGGGTCAGGCTGTAAGATTTCATGTCGTTACTCAAATGGGCATTGCGATGGTGTTTTGGAATAGACATTAGGGATTTGGATGAGTATGTAGAACTACTGAGTATACTGGTTATGATGGGTGCGCGGCTGCGCTTTAGATATATTTAATAAGGACCTTTTATCTCTTAGGCCCGGTGCCATGGCAATCGCGTTAAGTTCTGGTGTCTTAGTGGTCGATCAATCTGACTTACTCGTGGCGCTTTCCTGGGTCCTCAACATGATGCAACCAGTTGCACTTTGCGCAAATCGGTGTAAGCGTACCGCAGCCAATCGGTCCAGGGTCGTGAACTGGCCGTTCCTTAAGAGAAGGGTGAGCGCCTTCTCCCGCCTTTCTCTTCAGCCTTTGCCCACTTCCCGCCTCATCGATAAGCAAACTTCATCGCCTGGAACATGGACGAACCTCCCACAGCATCCGAAGCCGATAGCAGCTACGAGGCCAGTGTTAGCGGCTCTTGTGCTGGGTCGGTTTCAAAACATGCATTTGTTGATCTCTGCCAGCCACGCCTGTAAAGCCAGGTTGCACTTCCTAGGATCGAGCTATGGAATGTTTTACATGGATTTTGTTCTTGAAAAGTCTTGGGGTCGCAAAGAAAACAGTTGCTGCGGTATCTACATCTTGGTCCTAACACTCTTACCAGTTCCCTCAACCAGACCTCAACAGCATCGCGAGACTGACGAGCTCTTTCGAGCCGGGACAAAATTAATTGTGGTGGCTACCGACGAAACTAAACATGCAGTTCAGCTTACCACCCTAGGACATGCACCCCCAGCTCTCAGGCTTCTTATGATTTCCCCCAAGAAACGTATTTCTGGCTGGATACTTGCAGTGTCTCCTCATAAAATCTACCCCATTCTTCACAGTATCATTCACGAACTTCGTCCCCTCCATATACTCCGGTGCACTACCCCCCTCTACCCAATCGATCATCGCTGCAAGGACATTATGCTGCGCATCGAACGGAATACCAGCTTGCGCCGCGTTCCCACCTTGACCCAGCACCCACGCACCAGGACCAGTACTGCAATGGAACATACCTGAGACACGGAAGAAACGCGTCCATTCATCCATGTTTTCGTAACTGCTGTTACCGCGGAGATGCTCGTAGAAGCGGTTCGTATTGAAAGAGGTAATCTGATTATCCTGCTGCCCGTGGTACATGAGCAGCTTTCCGCCGCTTTGCTTGAATCCCGGCAAAGACGATGGATAGGTGCGAATGTCTCCTGGATTCAGATCTTGGGCTGCACGTACGTCATCTAAACCATACTCCGATGCGTTCCAGGTCGGATCATTGTACACGACGTACTTGAACCAGTCGTCCGAGTAGGCGAATGGAGCGCCTGCGTATAATTTGTCTACGGCGTTGATCTCACTGCCTGGTTGCATGGCAGGGTAGATCAGCTGTCCATCCGGAAATCTGTAATCGCTGTAGATGATCTTCAGCTGTTGGACTTGGTCCTCGTTCAGGCATTCAGCCGTAGAGTTGTGGCCACATAACAGCGTCGAAGGATCGAACTTGCACAAGGCCGGGTCTTCAATGATGCCATCTTTGACTTTGTCAATGGTATCGCATTGGCGCAGCACCTCGTCGTGGATCCACGTCTGCCAAGCGGTCTTTGGAATGAAATTGGAGCCTTTGATGGGGCCAGTGATGGTGAAGAAGCGTGCGCGCCAGGATATCAGATTGTTGAAGTCGACACCTGGTGCTCCGGCGACGATGCCATCAAAGTCATTGGGGAACTTCTCTGCGCTCTTAATGCCTTGACGTCCACCAAGAGAGCAGCCTAAGTAGTAAGATTTGGTGAAGTCCTCCCCATAGAACTCCTTGGACAAGGCCTTGCCGGTAACTACGCTGGTGTGGAGTCTAGATCGCGGGTGAGTAGATGTTTCGAGCTAAGGAGGAACTATGCTTACGATCGCCAGGCGAAATCCACCACCATCTCAGGATTATCGAGAAATGCGACTCCTGTAGTACCATTATGACCATTGTTTGCACCGACGGTGGCAAAGTTTCTCGAAGCCCCATACGCTATATCCTCATACTTTATGCCTTTTGTTGCCGTCAGCATCAGGTACAGCTAATACTCATTCTTATATTTATCCAACACTTACAGCCATCGATACCCCCATTACCTGTTGCCAGGAAGCGACCGGACCAGTCTTCCGGAAACCATGCTTCAAAAGCAATTTTTGAGATTCTGGATGTCTTGATCTCGAGTGTCATACGACAGAGATCCACGGAGACGATCTGGCTAGTTCGACCGCATGTCACGTCGTTGTCCGGAAACGTCAGGTTGGCACCCGCCGGAACGTGTTGGAGGACGTTCAGAGTCGCATCCTTGATGTACTTTTCTGGTGTAAAGGCGAGACATTTCTTCTCAAACGCTGACGACGCGATAGAGACTTGGGCCAACGTAAGGTACGAGACGGTCAGTGCCCAGAACGAAGGGAACATATTGGCGATGAAGGGATTAGATGACTTGGCAAGTGCTCATAGTAGAAATTTAGCCACAGGCAGTCTTTATGTTCCGTGGGAAGGAACAGCCGTGCATTAACGAGCCGCCTTCAGCAAGGTGCGGGGCGTGGCTTGCGGAGATATTCTTTCTACTTTCAGTGCCTATAAGAGTGAATGATCTACCTCGGACACCTCGATATCTCTGCAGTAGTAGCACCCTGAATGAAGGAGAAATAGCAGCCATATCAAGATATGAAGTTTCTGCTACATTTCCTGGCAAAGGGAGCTTTAGCGAACGGAAGGTTTGCACAGTTTGCTATATAGGGCATCTCTTTGAATCGACTGAACTGGATAATTATCCCCAGACGGACCCCTGCTATTGCACCTATGTATCGGGTAAATCGTGCTGCGCAACATGGTACAGTATTGCGGGGTTCGGTGTAGACGCCGAGCACATTTCCATGCGGCAGGTGCTCATTCCACGCTAGCTTGCATGCATCCGACTGGTACTGTGGGTCGTCTTGACTATCTAATTCCATCACTCAAAGACTCACATCATCCCAGAATCTCTCGATAATCTCCCTCGGAAGCAGACCCTTCTCACCCTCCATCTCGAAGATCTGCAGCGGCGCGCCCTTCTCTACCGCTACCAGCACAGCCTTCTTTCCCGGTGCCCCTTGCACCACGCGTCTCAGTTCCTCCAGCAGCCATACTAGTCGCTTGAGCTGCCGCTGGTGGTCCTGTGCCCATATCTCGAAGTCTTTCTCAAACCAACGTACCTCCCTAACGTTTGTTATGAGATTACGGTAGTGGTGACCAAAGACGCAAAGCGATGTGCGGCCGAACCAGCATTGCTCACTCGCTTGACGCTTCTTAGTGTTTGACTTGAGCTCTATCGTTGAGTTGTGAGGCTGGCATGTGCCACAGTTTATGACAAAGGTTTGACTGTTGTTGCTGTGGGTTACTATGGCGTGACTGGCTGGTTGGAAGATGTGCATGATATTGTCGAAGAACTCTTGTGGGTCGTAGTTGTCGTAGTTTTGAGAGGCAGGCTCGATATATTGAAGATATGCATCAGCTTCAATCCTAACTGCTAGCTGTAAATCTCCCATCTGGTACTGAATGACCCTGTGATGTCCGTCGACGTCCTGGAGGTTGGGGTCTTCGCAAGTGAAAGCATTTTCGAAGTTATGGCCGCATCCTTTTGACTGGAAGACTTTTGGATCTTTCTCTTTTCGACCGATCACCAGGGTCTTGCCGACTACTTGAAGCTCGAGGCAGAATGGCCGATAGCTTCGCTTGAAGGACGCAAACTCGAACAGTTTCTGGAGAGAATTCCTGCTAACCAAGACGTCAATGCCATTACAGCGTTTGGTAGGATACATGACAGCCATGGCTTGGAATATTGGTTCAAATGAGCATTCAAGACTCGGCTTGCCATGTTGGTCGATCCAGAACGCGCCCTTGTCGGCCTGTAGCTGCCTTGGTAGACGCGGAGTCCCCGGGACGTAGATGGTGGGCTTCAGAGCACTCTTCCAGCTATGGCTGCAGAGAAGATCGTAGGGCTCGTTGCCGGTGACAGCGGCAGAGGAAGATTGCACGTCGAATATCGCGATCGTGCGAATGCGCTGTTGTCCTTTTCGAACGCGCTTGAGCATCCAAGAAGGATCCGAAAACTTTGTGCGACGACCTTCGGGGCGGCCGTTATAGCCCTCTCGTGTTTCCCAGGGCGGTACACGTTGTTCTGCTGCTATGAACTACATTTTTCAGGGTTAGCTTATTTTCCAACAGCAATTTAGTGCATAACAGGTTCGACAAAGAGGTCGTAGTTGGAGATAGGCGGCTGAGCAGCGAAGAAGGTATGAGGCAAGGCTACCCGTGTTGACAGCTAGGTTCGCGTAGTGAAGGTGAAAAGACATCGCCAGCTCAATCGGGCATCGACTAATGGGAATGCAGTATCCACTGTAGGCGGTAGCGTAAGAAGCAGGCTGTTCAATCGAGCTCGAGAAAGCACGATTTAGACGATACAGACAATCTTTGGTAATGGTGTTTTTCACGCTCAAGGTCAAGTAGGCATGACCGTGATGGCTGAGTGGCATATCTGTAGCTGTAGAGAGGACTGTAGCCTGTAAAGGGATCTCTTGAACAGCAAGAAATCGCGATATCATCCTAACAGAGCCTCTATATAGTATTAATCAAGTATCTGTGCAGTACTGTCAGACGAAAGTAGCTATCGATGTGTCGTCCGAAGTCAGTCAACAAGAATGTCTAGGTTGTCAACACGACTATGGGAACCACCAAGAATAACAATGAAAACACTCTCTCGGTGTTGTGTACATGTCTACTTGCAGCGCTCTTCGTCATACTGATAGCGCCGCTGTTGTCCACCACTTCTACTCGCATGTCAACACATCGGAACACGCAGGTTTGGGAGAGTACTTACGACTGCCGATTGCGCCGTTCTGCTGCAACACGGCATCGCTGTTACAGAGACCCATCAGTGTAGCGTTGGCCTTGAGCTCCTGTAGCTTCAACAACGCCTTTTCAAACTTTTGTTGTAACCCCTGCTTCTGTTCGCCGTTGAGGAAGTTCGCAGTGGGTCCTTGGTTGAGACCAGTCTGACCATTTGTCGAGTTTACCAGCTTCTCCAACGTGTTTAACGCCTTGCATTCGCGAAAAGCGTCACGCTGCGCATTGAGAGAGTCACATTCGGCTGTGAGGGTTGAGTTAGATTGCAATTCTTCGAGTTTGGCGGTTATATCGGCACGGTTGCTTTTGATCCAGTCGATGCGCTCTTGGGCAAGCTTGGCAGATATGCTCGTCGCGTCCAGCGCGGTGTCATTTTTCGCGATATCATTGAGTTTTGTCAATGTACGTATGCGTCTGCATATCTTGTCGATTTCGATTTGCCTGGTAGTGTTGAAGGTATCGCCACCTCGCCAAAGCTTAAGAGATGGATTAGTAGTCCAGGCGGTTGACGTGGTGATGAGTGCAAGGAAAAGACCGGCGAGTAATATTGGAAACTGCATCGTCAATCGAAAGTAAGTAAGTGTGTGATGAAAATGCCCAGTAGAGAATGAGATTTGGCGGCTGCCACGCTGGCTTGGTATCTTGCTTCATAATCGACTAGAGCTGTCAATGTTTCAATTCATGCTCGGATGCCGCAGAGCCACAACGACTTCCTAGCCATGCGACGTTTCATGGCGAGTATGCTCTGACATTTCTAGTTACGACGAAAGCAGCAGACATGGTAGTCAAGGTAACCCAGACGTGATTCTTAGGGAATGCGCGGATGAATGGGCTGGCTTGAGATGGATGGAGAGAGTCTCGTCTTGATTTGGTGGGGTGGTATCGATAGTAGGGCTGAGTCACGCTAATGGCGGGGACCGGAGGAGTCAACTCCAGGGCTCTAGAAAAAGATTCCCCGCCACGGCCGACTCTCAGCAACCTCACGCCGCCACCATGTCTATTGAGTTTCCGAGGGAGGAGGAGCGCATCCTCGCGCGCTGGAAGGAGATCGACGCCTTCCTGAGGCAGGTTGAGCTTGTGAGTTTCCATATTACAGCCTCTTCGGGGCAAGCACGTGTGGTCGACACTTGCTGATGCATTATAGTCGAAAGGAAAGCAACCATACACTTTCTACGATGGACCGCCTTTCGCGACGGGATTGCCGCATTATGGCCATCTTCTGGCCTCGACCATCAAAGACATCATCCCCCGCTACTGGACCATGAAGGGCCGCTATGTTGAACGACGCTTCGGCTGGGATACTCACGGTGTGCCCATTGAGTATGAGATTGACAAGGAACTGGGCATGTCGGGACGCGACGCCGTCAAGGAGATCGGAATCGCCGAGTACAACAAGAAGTGCCGGGCGATTGTCATGCGATATTCAACAGAATGGAGGTCGACCATTGACCGTCTGGGCCGCTGGATTGACTTCGACAACGACTACAAGACCATGGACACCAGCTTCATGGAGTCAGAATGGTGGGTTTTCAAGCGCTTGTTCGACAAGGGCGCTGTGTACAAGGGTTACAAGGTTATGCCATACAGCACCGCATTGGCCACGCCTCTCAGCAACTTTGAGGCCACACAAAACTACAAGGACGTTCAAGATCCTGCAGTTGTCGTCACATTCCCGCTCTTGGACGACCCAAACACATGTTTGCTGGCATGGTGAGTTGCCCAATCCAACATAATCTGACTGGCATGCGCTAACCCGGCCTGACTAGGACCACAACTCCATGGACACTGCCTTCAAACACCGGCCTCTGCGCGCATCCTGATTTTGAATACGTCAAGATTCTCGACGAAGCATCCGGAAAACACTACATCCTGCTCGAGGCACTACTACGCACACTTTACAAGGACCCCAAGAAGGCCAAGTTCAAGATTGTCGAGAAGCTGAAGGGCAAGGACATGTTGGGCTGGAAATACGAGCCACTGTTCGACTACCTCTACGAGGACTTCAAGGACTACGGCTTCAAGGTTGCCAACGATACCTACGTCACAGCAGACAGTGGTGTGGGCATTGTCCACCAGGCACCCGCATACGGAGAGGACGATTACCGCGTTGCTAAGGCCCATGGTGTCATCTCTGACACCCGACCACCACCAAACCCAGTTGACGACCAGGGTCGCTTTACTTCAGTTGTCCGCGATTTCGAGGGACAACATGTCAAGGCAGCAGACAAGGGCATTATCAAGCATCTGAAGGGCACCGGTCGCTTGATTGTGGACTCACAGCTTCTCCATAGCTATCCCTTCTGTTGGCGATCCGACACACCTCTCATCTACCGAACTGTCCCATCGTGGTTCGTCAAGATTCAGGATATTGTACCTCAGATGCTGGAGAACATTGCTGGTTCGCACTGGGTTCCTTCCTTCGTCAAGGAGAAGCGCTTCGCCAACTGGATCACAAACTCACCCGATTGGGCTGTGTCACGAAACCGTTTCTGGGGCACGCCGCTTCCGCTGTGGGTCAGCGACGACGGCAAAGAAGTGGTTTGTGTTGGCAGCGTTGAGGAGCTGAAGAAGCTCAGTGGCTACGAGGGCGAGCTTACCGATATCCACCGGGACAAGATTGACCACATCACTATACCCAGCAAAGAGGGCAAAGGCGTACTGCGAAGAACAGAGGAGGTCTTTGACTGCTGGTTTGAGTCCGGTTCCATGCCCTACGCCAGTGCGCATTACCCATTCGAGAACGTGGAGCAGTTCGAGAAGTCCTTCCCAGGTGATTTCATCGCGGAAGGTCTTGACCAAACGCGTGGTTGGTTCTACACACTCACAGTTCTTGGAACACATCTCTTTGGCAAGCTGCCTTTCAAGAATTGTGTCGTCAACGGTATCGTACTCGCGGAAGATGGCAAGAAGATGTCGAAGCGCCTCAAGAATTACCCCGACCCTAACTTGATCATGAGCAACTACGGTTCTGATGCGCTGCGATTGTATCTTATCAACTCACCTGTCGTTCGCGCCGAGACACTACGATTCAAGGAGGCAGGAGTCAAGGAGATTGTTTCCAAGGTCCTTCTACCTCTATGGAACAGCTACCAGTTCTTCGAGCAACAAGTGTCACTGCTGAAGAAGGTTGCTGAACTGGACTTTGTTTTCGACCCGGAGGCTGGCAAGACCAACAAGAACGTGCTTGACCGATGGATCCTCGCGTCCTGTCAGTCGCTACTGAAGTTTGTGAACGAGGAGATGGCTGCATACAGGTTGTACACCGTGGTTCCGCGGTTACTGGAGCTCATTGACAACACGACAAACTGGTACATTCGTTTCAACCGACGCCGGTTGAAGGGTGAGCACGGTCTGGAGGACACCAAACATGCTCTCAACACCCTCTTCGAGGTTCTTTACACACTCTGCCGCGGTCTCGCACCCTTCACACCATTCATCACAGACAACATTTACCTGCGATTACAACCTCACATACCCAAGGAACTGCATGTGGAAGACAACCGAAGTGTCCACTTCTTGCCCTTCCCAGAAGTGCGCGAAGAGCTATTTGACGTGGACGTCGAACGCCAAGTTAAGCGCATGCAGTCAGTCATCGAGCTTGGCCGTATTTGCCGAGACCGTGCCAACAAGGGTCTGAAGATCCCGTTGAAGACTTTGGTAGTCATCCACCCAGAACAGCAATATCTTGATGACATCAAGTCACTGGAGAACTACATTCTGGAGGAGTTGAACGTCCGGGATCTGGTACTGTCAAGCGATGAGGAGAAGTACAACGTCCAGTACTCAGCGTCGGCCGACTTCTCCGTTCTCGGCAAGAAGCTGAAGAAGGATGCTATCAAGGTCAAGAAGGCGCTACCAAACCTCAAGAGCCAGGAGATCAAGGACTACCTGAAGAGCGGCGAAATTGTCGTGGACGGTATCAAGCTCGAGGCTGAAGATTTGATGGTCAAGCGCGGTCTGGCCAAAGATTCCAGCAACAAGGACCAAGAGTTCAACACTGACAACGACGTCCTCATTTTGCTCGACGTTGCCTCATACCCAGAGCTTGAGCAAGAAGGTCTCGCGCGTGAGGTCATCCGCCGTGTACAAGATCTCCGCAAGAAGGCCGGATTGGTGCCGACTGATGATGTAGGCATGGAGTACCGTGTGCTGGCCGACCCAGAGAATGTAGGTTTGGAGAAGGCATTTGAGAACCAAGGTCCACTATTTGAGAAGGCTCTACGGAGACCTGTGGACAAGCACGTCATCACCGAGCTTGACGGCAAGATCCCAGAGAACAGCAACGAGAAGGTCATCGCGGAGGAGGAGCAAGAGCTCCACAAGGCGACTTTCATGTTGCGATTGATCAAGCTATGATAGCGTTTGGATGTGATTTGATAGCATGATGGCGTGGGATGAATCGTTGAAGAAATGAAAACCAAATTTCGAAGTTCATGTCAAAACGCCTCTATATGCCTTACGTGTCAAAAAAGCTCCTGCCACCGCTACTACCGTTGCTTGTACGCCTTCTGTTGTAGATTTAGCCGTCGATGCCTCTATATACTTTGAGAAATGACACTTACCAAATAACACTCCTTCAACTTCATAAACTCATTGACGCACATGTCTTTTCGTACGTTGTTGTAGTCTGCAAATATGCATTTGCCGTATACCGAGCTCTGCATTACGTTAGGGCAGTGTCAAGCGTGACCGGTCACATCGAGGGGCTTAACATGCCTCTTTGGTGCACTTTGCTGCCGCTGTGGCGAGTTTGTCGATGGGACGTGTTCGGCCGGGCATTTTGATGAGTAGTTTGTATCTTGTCTCGCTTGGACTCGCAGGAATGTAATAAGGAAGCGCGCCACGTCAAGATTTGTGATGTTTCTCTAAACATGGCGAACTGCCACCTCGATGAGGTCAACGATGAGGGCCCACTTAACTAAAGGCTTGGCGTTACCTGCTTCGCGAACGCGGGCGACCAACCACTCGAACAACAAAGCGCGTCGCTGCAACGCCAGAAGCGGGCGCACAACAGCATCTCTTTTTACTTTAATCTCCTGATGCCTCCTCGTTGCGCGCCTTCTCCACGACTTTCACGCATGTTGTTTTTGGGTTGCCGTTGCGATAATTCCTCCCGGTTACTTCCATGTTGTCGCGAACGCGCTGGAGACGAACGAGTCGCGTACACGAATGCTATCCTCCATGAGCCGGAATGGAGCTGATCCGAGGGCTATAACGAGCGACGACCTTTTGCGGAATGAGGGTAGGACGCCTATGCAGAATTACACCCAGAATCAAACTAACATCGCAGCAGTCTCCGAGGCCATCCACGACATTGTTCGTCGCGCACAAGACTCCCACGATGGCTCTACCAACGCTCTCTTCGTCGCATACGATGAGTACATCAAAGACTACCGTCCATCGCCCAGTGACGCCGCTCTCTACTACAGTTTCCTACTGCGCATGCAGGAATATGAACGGGATGGCGAGGACTTGATGTCGCGCCTTTTCCGCGTGGTCAAGGAGGGCTTTGGTCTTGACGCAGAACTTGACGATGAAGAGGTTGCCAGTGTCCCGAAACACCCTGACGCGACGCGCAGAGGAGCACAGGCGAGTTTGGGACGATACTCGCGGACTGGCAGCTTTGACTCGTTCCTTGACGGGACGGCAGACAAAGTAGCAGGCACCGACTATGGCGACTTGGCTGTGCGCCCGAGGAGAGTGTCGCAGCAGGATGGACCAAATGGCTACGGAAACAAGGGGAGCCACCGTCGTGCCACGTCCGACACGGAAGCGCATTCATATCGACCAGCACAACTCCCTGCCCGTACCAGAGTGAATGGCACCGCGCCTCGCCGCACAAGTTCTGGACCGCAACCACCAGTCTATAAGCGCAGCGCTTCTGTCTCGAGCCGTGGCAGTCTACGAATCCGAAGAGGTGGACCTACCCACTCATACAGAACTGGCACTCACGATGCAGATGAGAGCGATTTCACCGATCGCACTGCGAGCCTCGACCTCTCCTCCATTCAGATACCAGGAGTCAATGCGCCGATACCTAACGATCCTTACGACTCCCCGCACCAGCGCCGCCTGCGGCAATCGGAGCAACAACCCCAACACCAGCAGTATGTTCCTGAACCGTTTCGACTATCAGATACCCGATTGATGGACGATGCGGAAACTTTCGAACATCAACGAGTACACAGGGTAAAGAGAGAATGTTTTGGAATATGGCGTAATCGCACACAAGAGCGCATGAGTCTGCGTGACGACATGGAAAAAGCTGCCATCGCCTTCGATCGTCGCGTCTTGCTCAGAGCCTCGCTCCTCCAACTACGAGACACAGCGCTTGTGAGGCGTTCTGGTCGAGAGACCAATCGCTTCTTCGAACGGCTAGAAACTCGTGCAGACAAGGCTCGCAGCCTCTTCCTGCTCACAAAAGCCTTTACACATTGGGCAAAGTGCGCGGAAGATGAAGTGCAGCGTACATCAGTGGCGCGACGGCACATTCTACGCACTCGATTCTTCAATGGGTGGCGCGACATCACAGCAGTTAACGAGCTTAAGATCCAGCACTTTGCTCTGGCCAAGTTCCTCTGCATATGGCGAACACGCGCAGCAGAGGTGCGTGATAGGGATCAGTTTTCCGAATCCTATTATGAAGAGAAAATCGTCAGGAAGTCGTGGAATGCCCTGAACAATGAGTACCTCAACAGAGGCGCAGCAAACTGGCATGATACAAGAACGGCAAGAACAACACTGCAAAAATGGCGTGAGATTACTGAGATCATGAGGGAGCGGAACACGTGGGCAACCGATCGACGAGATGGGATGCTGCTGCGGAAGACATTCCAGATGTGGCAGCAGAAGACAGTGGGAGAAAATGCTCTGCAATCACAAGCGGACCAATTTCGACGTATCTCCCTCCTTTCAACGGCACTCCATACACTTCAGAAGCAGGCGCAGCTTGAGCCACTATCGCGCCAGGTCCAAGCGCGTGTCAACGGTCGCTTGCTTCGTGCGAAATTTCAGGATTGGCGTAAAGACGCTCAGCTATCACGTCAAGCACGCAATGTCGACCGTATGCGCGTGTTACGCAACGCTTACACTGCCTGGAACGATAGACTGCGTATCAAAGCATTGGAGGATCGAATCAATGACCGCGTCATTGTTGAGTGCTTGTACAAATGGACTTTGGCATCTCGAGTATCCCTCTTCCAACGTGTTCATAATCGGCAACTCAAAGAGTCAATATTTCTATCCTGGGTCACCAAGACCAACCAGCGTGTCAACACTCTTGACACTGCGGAGATTCGGTTCGCCCAGTTCAAACGTGCTCAGCTAATGCGGACATGCTTGCGTAAGATGGAAGCCATCACTACGGAGAGGCGACGGGAGCAGTTCGCTATCATAGCCGAGTATCAGCAAAAGATCAAGCAGCGTACATTTGACAAACTCAAGGAGAGGCTAGCGCACTTTCAAGAGTTGAAGCAATGGTCCGCCGATGCGCGCTTCTATGTTCTTAGCAAGCATACACTAAAGACATGGAGTCAAGCCACTCAACATGCACGTCGCAACCGCAGACGCGACACATACTCCCAAGTCCGTAGAACGGTCAAAACGAATCTTGTGCGCAGAGTCTTTGAGCACTGGAGGGATAAGGCAAATCACATTGCAGGGCTGACACGAAGAGCAAACGACATGATCGAAAACCGCACTCTTCAGACCAGTGGCGCAATCATGCATCAATGGCACGACAACACGCTCATACTTCGCCAACAGAATGCTCAAGCCGTGAGCCTCTACACATTCAGACTTTCCGCTCGTTACTTTGCCATTTGGTCTCAACGCTTGGACCTTATACATACACTCGAAGACCAAGCTGTGGCTTTACGGCAGGAAAGCACGGAGATTGCTGCTACAGGTGCTCTCAAGAAGATGGGCTGGAGACTTTGGAACTTCCAAAGACAAGAAGACAATGCCAGGGCGTTGTTTGAGAGAAACTTTGAGAAGCACGTTAGAGCTATGGTTCGTTTCTGGGCAGAGCGGGCTAATGAACGGCTTGGCCATCGACCTGCGAGTCCAACGCCTACCAGTAGGTCGAGAGTACGAAGACTCGATGACGGTGATAGCAACAACGGAGACTCCCATACCCCCGACGGTGACAATGATCCCGGGCAAGAAGGCTTTCAGCCATCAGGTGACGAAACGCAACGACTAGAGGCATGGACAGCTTTCGATGAGAGCGCTCTAGGTCTAGATAACGATCTCGACCTCTCCCTGTCCCTCACACCAGAACAACCACCACGACAGCCAACCCTCACCCCCAAACCCTACGCTCCTGGTCCTTCTCCTGCATCAATTCGTCCACCAGGCTCCATCCTGCGCCGACCAAACACATATCCGCAACCACAATCCGCAGTTCGGCCACCGCCAGCCACCATCATAGAAGACGACGAGTCCGACCTCGACTTCGACGAGGGCGCACAGTCGACCTTCTGGTCCGGAACACCTATGCCACCTCCTCCAAGCAGTAAGCCAGGGTACCTCAAAACACCCAGTAAACGCAGCGTCGTCCGGGCCAAACGTCCTGAACTACCTGCTAGCCCTGAGAAACAACGTGTTCTGTCTCCTGTGCGTCGGCCATTGGGCTCATTACTGGAACGGGAGAGAGGGTCGCGACTAGGTACTATGAGCGCGCCGCCTATACAGAGCAGTAGAGATAACAAGCTTGGAGTTGGTGGTGTGACGAGTTTTGAAAGGAGGTTACGAGAAGGGGGATTTGGGGGTAGTGTTGCTGCTGGGGGCAGTGCAATGAAGAGGGGGAGGAGGGGAGGTGGCAGGGCTAGAGTGGGGTTTGGAGAGGTTAGTCAGATGGGGGGATTGTAGTTATCTTGCATTTTTGGAAGCATCGCGCGGCGTCTGCTAAGGTGGATCGGTTTGGATGTGTTGGGATACCCCCTATTGCTTGTCAATGTTATCTTGATCTTGTTACCTGTCTTGTTGTTGATGTATGCTTCTTGGTACCTCACTCTGCATTTTGTTGATGGTGTAGACATTGTACGAAGATAACTTTTGAAGTAGATCAAACCTATTCCCACAGAATGTCTACATTTCTTGGGGTCTTCTGAGTTCCTTGAGGTAACATCACCAAGAACCTAACAAGGGAGGAGCTATAGAAAGCTTCGCATGGGACTAGTGAATTCGATCAAGTTGCTAAAGAAAGGAGATTCGGGTTTGAGAATATGGACACCTACGACAAGCAACACAACATCAAGAGCTCTTTCAAGAAGATGCTCGGCACAGATATGCTTGAGGATCAACCCACATTTCCCAAGGTTGAGGAGGGCTTGGATGACATAATTGATCAATACGGTGATGAGAGCGCTGAGTTACTGGAGCTGATGAAGAAGTGTCGAGACAAGAATCTAGAGAATACGAGCCATTTGGCAACTTTACTTCGGCTGCTAAAAAGCAGCAAGGTCAGACTGAGAAACATTGAGACAGGTTACAGAAGGTACGGAAGATGAGCGATTGCATGGAAAAAGAGTAAGAACTTGAAAGAGACAACGAACGGTTAGGTCCCGAATAGTCCCTAAAGTCTGAGCCAAATATCCTGTACGCACGCCAGCTATATGCAAGGATGGTATAGCTGAAGCATCCCGACGCGCTGATCAGGGGTTTTTAAGCGCGCATGCAGCTTACGCTTTTGTGAATGAGTTACGCCGCAACAGCGGGTGTGTAGATGTTGTATTTTTGTTGGCCGACGAACATGTCCGTGACTGAACCGATTCGTCGCTTAATCTAAAGAACCCTGCCAATATATGGCTCTCTCCGTATATTTGTTTCATTTCTGACATCAGCTCATGCTTCGTCCAATGCTTGGTCATTATCGTGGTGTGCCTGGTGTTCATACCCCCAGTGCTCATGTATGAAAGCGACATCATGTCAATACTACGTACCTCTTCTCTCAAGACTTCTTCATATCTACCACACTTTCCTCAATACTGTTTGCCATGCTGCATCATATCACCATCAGGATGTGCAAACCCTCGTTTGTATTCCTCAGCATCCTCGCTGTCACCCTCACAGCAGCCCAAATTCCCCCAGACTATAACTTCTGCACGGGTGACAAAAGCACCTTGGGCCATTGCGACACACTCACATACGTAGACACTACTCTGGCCGCCAAAAATCCACCCAACGCGACGGAATGCCAGGAAGCTTGCAGTAGTATCTTCCAAGATGCTGGAGAGTGGGTCGTTCATCTAGAAGGTAGAAGCACCACCACTTTTCTACCCCTCCTTGCCTCATGGTCGCTTCTTTAGTTCCACCAAGGCTAACCTTTCTACAAGGCAAACCAGAAGGCTACCAACAACACATGCATATAACGCGCCCTGCGGTTTCAGCATGGGTGCCATTCCCAATACCTCACACGAGTTTTCATTTGACATGAATAACCAGGACATGGTTGACATCATCGACGAGGCGATCAAAAGGTTCGCGGGGTTGCACGATGGGAAAGTGGCGGCGCAAGGAACGGTGAGATGTGATGGCCATGAGGCAATGTGGTATGTCAGCCGGGATGCGAGGTAACATTTTCACTTTGCAGTGATGTATTGATGAGATATGTTAACCCTTGGGACGTACTTATCCATATCAGTTCGTTTTGGTATGAGCTGATGGAACCTACGTGGTATTTGGCCTAACCTGACTCAGCCTCCATGATACTCTGCAATCTACCCAGTGAATTGACCACAGTGACAGCTACGTGTTTCTCTTGACCATTCAAGTCCAAAGTTGTCCCACAGTTCTGCTCTTTCTCAGCAAGCCACACACATTCTATTCCTGCTTCCGCCGCAGGGATGATGTCCCTTTCCCAGCTGTCCCCTACCATCACTGCGTCCCCACTCCTTATTCCGAGAGTCTCCAGCGCCTTGCCGAACAGCCCATCTACCTTCGCCACACCAAGCTTATTCGTCGTGATCAGCCTGTCACAAAATGGCTCTAAGCCCAAAGCAGCGACAGTACGTTCCTGCGAATCCTGGGGGCCTTCTGTGACAATGGCTATGCTTTTCCCTTTTTGCTTCAAAGCCTGCAGTAGTGGTATCGCGCCTTCTTTAAGCTGCAGATGTTTTGTAAGTGCTGTTTCGTAGGTGTCGAGTAATACCTGCATCTGCAGCTCTGTACATCTAAGATCAAAGGTATCAATGACACCCTGGAAACGCTCTGCACGGTACTCATGGCTTGTTTTCCCGTCTACGAATGCTGCTGCTGTTTTGGTTCTAAGTACCTTGGTATATTCCTTCTTCAACTCGGCGGCTATAAGCGGTTGACTGGACGTAGTCTCACGGTTCGCGTGTTGTTCTGCGATGATATGCAGCGTCGCATCGACGGCGGCGGAAGATGCTTTGCGGAACTCGTGCAGAGTGTCGTCGAGATCGAAGAAGAACCAAGTTGCTCCCTGAAAGTATTCAGTCATGTCGCCGTTATTGAGTGTCGGAGAGGGGTGTAAGATGGCGTTCTTGAAGGTTGTCTAGGTACCTGCGGTCTGGTGCTGAAAGTATGGGTGCAGAGACGGATGGAGTAAGCTACGACAAACTAACTGTACTCGAAAAGAGTAATGGGGAAATGGAGTTTGACTTGGCGCTCCTGCTCGACATCGTTAGCCGGTAAAACTCGTGTCTCTATGCTATGTCTTGATGTTGGAGCAGAATTTGAACAAAATCATTGGCAGCTGACAAACGTAACATAGGTCGGAGACGCGCCTCGGAATCCGGCACCTGGTTTGGCAAGTAAGAACAACATGTTGCAGGGATGCACATGATGGCGTAACCATTAAAGAGAGTTGCGCAACTTCAGTGTTTGACTCTGCAGAGATCGTCGGGGTTAGTACGCTTTCCTCGCGCATTCGAGTGGGTGTCGTCATTGGCAAGCGCAACCGGACCTCGGAGACGTCCGACCAACGGTCGTACAGCTTTGCAATAAAGTCAACGATACAGGAAGCACTTGACACAGGGATACACATATCTTCCTGGACGATCTTGAAGAGTCAGTGACGAAGTTCGCACTCATGCAAAGATTTGAGGCTAATAGCCAGTCGGACAACCCCGCTCTTTCACTCGAGATCCTGTACCGAACATCACAAGAAGTATGCACCAAATGACACAGCTGAATCTTGTAAGAATAGAAATAAATTTATGTACTGAACTAACAATCCTATGACCATCATACCCATCAATCAATACCGAGTTTTTAGTGAGGCGCATAACCTCCCGCATTAGGATCATCAGTAAGCACAACGTAAAAACCCAAGGGACACAGCAAATCGCTTTGCTTGAACGTCAACTTTGTATCATCGGAGCACAATGCCCCACTGACGGTCACCTTTCCGATGCCAGGAGGAATTCCACACGGAGCACCATTGACAATATAGCTGTTGCCCGGCTTGATGACCGGCGGTGGGTTTGGTGGGCTAGGTCCTGGACGTGGTTGGTGGTTGTACGTAGTAACGCCAGCCTCTGCACCAGCATTGATATCGTAACCGGTAAAGGTGAAATGGCCAGGGCCTTGAAAGACGAAAAGACCAGGTGCTTGAATAAGAGAAGGAAAGTCGAAGACAAGATTGCAGATCTTGCCTTGGGTGGCGTCAGAGTCGAGCTCGAGATTGAAGATTGTGCATTTATCTTTGGGAGTTACGGTCGCCCATTCCGTGGCTGGGTATGCTTTGTCGGGGTTCTTGGCAGATATGGGGACGAGTACTGAGGTTGAGATGCTGTTTCCTTTGGGTAACCTGCCGTCAGGTTGGGCAGGATTTGCCGGACATTTGGCGAAGTTCTTCAGGACGCTCAGAGTGCGTGGTGTGATATCGCTTGGTGCAAGTGTAGCTGGTGCAGCGAGTGCTGTAGCCAGGAAGGCTGAGACAAGCGGGAAGGTCTTCATGGCAAAATGGCTGACGTTGATTCGACAACTTTTGGAGATGGATCAAGAGATATTCTATGGCTTGCGAACCACAAAGAGAGCGTATATCATCTGTAGAGGCCAATCGCTCTCTTTATACTTCTCTCTTTGATATCGTTAACTCAGTTTGTCGTCGCCGAACTGGCGCACATTGGCAACGATAATCTAACGTTCGCGTAACGATTGTCGCTCTCGACTACCCCTTCAGATGATGAAAAGCCTCATGGGTGACAGGCAAGCTGACAAGCGAGCCTCACTTGTTTCCAAGAACAGCTTCCTCGCTCACATCTCCAACTCATACGATTTGCTAGAGACGCTAGGCGCGGCTCGATAGCCTTGTAGGTGAGACGTAGCTAGCTAAGTAAGCTCTGTATTCAGGAACGACTGTCTTGACTCTGCTTTCGCTTTACTAAAGTCAGAGAGACCTGAAAAGCGTATTGAGAGACTATTGGCTGATGGCTGTTTCATACAGTAAAGGTTGTCGGAACCCCACCTTTCTACCCGTCAACGTGGGCATCGAGTAAGCTCTCCCAAGACTATTGGAGGCGTCTTCTGTGCAGCTTGATACTGGCATTTTCACTTTCAAAGCAGTCAAGGCATGCTCAGCTTAAAGTGGGCACTTCTTCGGACGCAATCGGCGGGGCGTGTTTAGCGTTCTGTATTTCCATGGTAACGCTACAACATCTGCATCCATATCATAGATTCGCGCGAACGAGTCGAGACCCCGAGAAAGAAACAAGCCTAACGTCTAGTGCCCGTTTGATGCCTGCTGCCCTCGGCCTTGGGCAATCTCCAAGAGGTATAGAGGTGGCGTTCGCAGCGACGGTCTACGCTTAGTGAAACCATCTTAGCTATCGAAAATTAGTTCGTGGTCCAAACATAGCTCCCAAGCTACCCATTGGAGGCTTCTCACGATACTCAACTATGACTGGCTGAGATGAGCAGTTACTGACGTCGGTGTCAGAAGAGAAGGAATGGCGCGGCCGTGGTGTGTCTCCAGTGAGTGTGCAGCAAAAGATGGGCCGCATTGCGCTCTACAACAGCCTTCCTGGTTCCTGAGGTTATGTCATCGCATCTCATGCTGTGCCATTACCACGAGACTCTCATGCGAGCCAGCCTCGTGTCCACTTGCTGTACTCGTGTTCCGCGGCGGCCCAGTCCCATGGTAGCCATGCGCCGGTAAGCCAGAGCGAAAAAACACAGACTGACCCTGGCTAGGGCGCCGTGTCCATGTCTTACCTGCGACTACAAGCACACTACGTTGAATGCGGCCTTACGCCGTGCGATACGGGATAACAATATGTTGCCACAGATGGGCGCACGTAATGACCATATCTCAGTGCTGATAGCTAGCTGCAGCTCATTCACGGTCGGCGTGACTATGATCACTGGAAACACACGTTGGGCATATGGTAGGTAGAGGATATGAGGGATTGGTAAAAGAAGTTCACGATCAAGAGAAGCACAGAGAAGTGGTTTTTTTTTCAAGTTCAATTTCAACAACACCATCCGCAGACTAATTACAATTACCCTTTCCGACACCAAGGATATTTACAGTGAATTTCAATCCCCAATGCAATGTATCATGTAAAGTCATAGCTTGCCCGTGGGCACGCTCAATTGAATGTTATGACATTTACAAGAAGAAAGCAGCGAAAGCACCAACACCGGCAACGAAGCCACCGACGTTGAGAGCAGAGGCAGCACCAGTGAACTCAGCAGGGGTGGAAGGCTTGACGTAGCCACCGGTCTTGGTGGGCATGCCAGTGCCAGCGGGAGGAGCGCCAGTGCCAGCAGGGACAGAGGGGTAGGGAGCACCACCGACGGGGACAGATGGGTAAGGAGCACCGCCGGAAGGCTGGGGAGCACCAGGGACCATGGGGGTACCGGAAGGCTTGCCAGCACCGGGAACGACGGGGGTACCGGTGGGGTAGGGGACAGTGACGGTGATGGTGGTGGAGCTCAAGCAAGAGGTGGTCTCAGCCTCGGGGACCTCAGGGGTCTTGGAGGAGGCAGGGTAAGAGGGAACCTCAGAGGTGGCGTGCTCGGGAACCTCGGGAGTCTTGGTGGACTCAACGGGGTACTCAGCAGGCTTGGAGGGAGTCTCAGCTGGGTACTCAGCGGGCTTGGAAGCAGAGGGAGTCTCAGCAGGGTACTCGGCTGGCTTGGAAGGAGTTCCAGCGGGGTACTCAGCGGGCTTGGAGGCCTCAGGAGTAGCGCTGGAGGCGGGGTACTCAGCAGCGGGAGTGGAGGGCTCGGCTGGGTACGCAGGGTAGGCGGGAGCAGCAGAGGAGGGCTCAGCAGGCTGAGCAGGGTAGGCAGGGTAAGCCGGGGAAGCGGGGGTGCTGGCTGGGGCAGCAGGGTAGGCACCGTATTGGGGAACGGCGGCGGCAAGGCCAGCGAAGGCAGCGACGGCGAATGAGTAACGCATTTTGATGGTATTTAGAACTTGAAACGGTAAAGTTGGAAGTGTTGGTTGGTGGAGGTTGAGGTGGTTGAGAGAGTTGGCGAGTGTGTATTATTAATGATAGTATTAGTTGGTAACAACGAATGGACGACTCGAAGGTCAAAGGACTTGAAGCTCGAAAGTTTGGCTGTGAAGTGAGGAAAAACAGCAAGGCGACCACGCTGCTATGATATATACCGTAGGGAGATTACAGCACGGTAGCGCGGACCGGAAACAAGTGGCCACTGAAAGGGGGGACCAGGACGGCGCAACAGGGGCGGAAGCATCTGGGCGCTGCAAGTGGTCTGGCGGATGTCAGGGCTAATGCAGGAACCAAGCTGGCATGCCGCCCCGCTGGCCACTCGCAGGACGTGCGTACCTGGTGCTAAGACCAGATCGGCAGGTTGGCTGTGGAGGGTTGCGGTGGCTTCTCGTGTTGCAGAAATGAACGGCTTGCGTTGGTCGCTCAGTCGAGAGTCTGCTAATGCTGTCTTGCTGCACCCAGGCCCATAACCCCAGACCGGCGGTTGTTGTTCTAATCACGCGCTATAGGCGGAAGAACACAACACTGCCATTTTGAGAGTATCGCAAGGCACGTTTGTTTGGACGGCCTCTGCTCGGTGCGCCTTTGAGCTCTAAGTGGCGATCTTAACAGGGTATCTTCAGGGGCGTCCTTATCGTGCTGCCCGTTGAACAGAGGTTCTCCACCAGGGCATGGGGCTTCCAGCAAAGCCTCTGGAGATCCTTATCCCGAAATAGTGTTTATAGCATGTCAGTGTTGCAGAACCTGCAGGGTGCGTCAGCTTTTTGTTTAGTTTTGCAAACATCCCACAGCGCTTTTCACGTGCGCGTCAGCTTGCCTCAGCGAAACATGTCTTTCGGCCTTGTCGTTTGCAAAAGATGCCACCAAATGCTCTATGCGCTGTCTTCACGCCGGTGCCGGCTTTGCACGACTGGACGGTCCTTTGTGCAAGGCGCCGTGGCCCCAGAATCGACGAAAACATTGGTGAGGCCAGTCTGCCGAGGAGTGGAGATTAAGCATCAGGCGCTTACGAATACGGCCTAGCTGGCTTCTGCGCTGTCCCCTTTCGTCTCCACTACGCCTTGTCCAGCTCGACTTTCATTTCGGCCTCACCTCCAGCGTCTTTACGCCGGTCGTACTTCACGATATGATCTCCGCATTTCGTCATTCTTGCTGTTGTGTTCCGTTAGCCAAATTGCTCTTTTTCCTCGCGCTTCAGCCTTCACGGTCATGCACACAATAGTGCGCTGCACTCGTTTCGACCGCGATGCATCTTGACCGCCTCGCTTTCATTTGCATGTGCCGCTCACTCGCATTCAGCCGGGAAAACTCCGGTGGGCATCGGCGACAATGTCCAGGAGACCCTTCTGACTGCATTCTCCGCTGCCACATAATCAATGCCGATCATATCGAAGCGCACGACTATCAGGCTGATGATAGAGCGGCTTTATCGGAGCGAGATAAGGCGGTCAGTCATTCGACGTCGGGAATGAAACCATGAGGCGTGCAGCTTGCCATTGGTGTGCTCAGCTCGGCTCGCGAAGACGAGAGACCCACACTATCGCCTAAACATCAGCCGGCATTTGATCTGGCTCTGATTGCATGCTCCTACCATCGCTGCCTTTTTGACAGTGGACGAGCATACGTTCTTAGATCTTCACCTACCTTCGCACCTCTCCACCAGCCTACTAGCTCTACTTTCGTAGACTCTGATATTCACTGCTGGTCGCGTCTGCTCGGATCTTGGGCCATGTAACTCTGCGGCATGGGGATCTCCGGCCCATGTGCACCTCACAACGTTTCGGCGCACCCTCTGCATCCGTTACACCACCAGAGGAACACACCAACAGGAATCCCCCAGGGCTCAGTCTATCGCCTACGACCGGAGCTCTCATAACTGCCACCTCTATTCTGGTGTCGTAAGTATGAACGATCTACTGCCCATGGCCTGCGAGGTATTGCTATCCACGCATTCCATATGGCCGCTTTGCGTGACAGGTGCTGTAAGTTGCACATATGGAAAACGCCCGGGTGGGAAAGCTTTCGAGCTAAAGGACATAGCTCCTAGAAGCGATGTTGCTATCGCTCATAAGGTTCGAGAGAAGATTGGATCTTTGCATGCGGAATATTACCCGGTTCACAGCTCCTACAACAAGGAACTTTGTATCTGCCCAGAATTGGAACCACTGTTACTTGCTTGTTACCATGACAAAGAGGTTTCTTCTATACCATATGGTGATGGAGATTTCGCGAGCACTCTTTAAGGGTGGAACCTTGCTATGCCATGGACCATCGTGCATAAGCTCGCCTCCGACCACCAATCCCGGGTTGTTGACGGGATTTTCGTAAGTGAACATTTAGCAACATTTTGCGCTTTTCAAATCCGCACAGCCATGGCTGGATCCAACTTCAATACTAAGCAACTGCTTTTAACCGCGACTAAGAAGGTACAGCACACTTTTGTTCGCAAAGTTTACGCCTCATTCGTGTTACAGCCCGTGTACCGAACAAGATAACAGTTATTCATCAAAGCGCACTGGTCGAGATCCGACCCCGAACTATATGAGACAGGGTACCACAACTTGCCACCAGAAGCCCTTTATGGGCCCGCTTTGTTCCTGTCAGCCAGTTTCAAAGCGCGAGTGTCCCTGACTCCGCTCAACAGAATGGACGAAGCGTCTAGACGCGCAACAAGAGCTTCCATCACCACAGCTCCGACACAGCTACTGTACCATGATATTGAGCAGACTTCTTACTTCGCCCTTAACAACCCTCATATAGACTTCGTTCATTGTTCATCGAAAGAAAACAGGCTAATGATCCCGCAAGCGTCACGATATAGGCCCTTTAGCATGCGATCTATGTTGCATGCTTTCAAAATTGAAGGTCACCGCTCCATCTGCTACGGTTATGTCGTTCACACCAAACTTGGAGTGTATACTGTCGTGGACGAGGGTCAGCAGCCGGTGCTAAAAAGAAACGCTGTCATGAAGTTAGTGGTGCATGGATCCGATTCGACTATGGGGATTGGGAAGGACTTAATGATCCAGTCGTCGGGATCAGCAGTGTGGCAACCTACCGCAAACCTAGGCGGGAAAGTTTGCTTGTTACCGGAAGCTTCTTGTGGTTTGGTAGGGTCCTGGGAAGATTTGTCACTCATCTATAGGTCTTGTGACTATCGACAGAGATTGGGTAGGAGCAATAGCGGTAGCTGAACGCGTCAAGATATTGCTTTCCATTATGAGCGTTGCGATGTATTATGCTTGCTGCGTTCATCACATCCTGGAGACACACGAAAGGACACTTGGTGGGAAGAGGGCGATCTTGTCACGAAGACAATATGACAATGTCTAGGTAGGCTCGAGAAGACGTGGCGAGTTGTTCGCAAGTTACAGACGGCCAGTGTTCACCAAGATGAGTTTCCCCATGACGTGGCATAATACATCGCGATACTTCAGTGTTTCCATCACTACTTAGTTCCCACGTGGTCAAGTACCATGTGTTTGTAACAACCTTTCAGTATATTCATACTGTACACGCACAGGCTAAACGTACAGAAACACACGTGCCTTCCAAGCTCCTACGACAGGAGCAAGGATACAAAGATGACAAAGTCCCTAACCAACGCCATGCTAATACACACGCTTCCACGGTCGTAGCCTGTGAGTGCAAAAACTATGCCTGTCCTGATCAATAACATGCCAACATCCTACATGCTATACCGCGATGCCCGATAAGAAACACCAATGTACGCCTGTTGAACCTGAAATAATATGCCTAACCTGGTAGGTGGACATTGAGTGGTCGCAAAAAGAGCATATTCAAGCCAAACGACTGTCAGCATGCTCAACCGATGCTGTTTCATGTCTTCATCTTGCCAAGGAAGCCATCGAGGTCAAACTCCTCCTCGTACTGCTTCTCGTCCCAGAGATCTCCGAGCTCATCCAAGAAGCCCTTCTTGCCCTTCTCTCTCAGCGCACCTGTCGCGTCCACAGCATCATTTTCATCGATACCCGTGCCGTCGTCCTTTGCATTGCTGGGTGGCGCCGGTAGTGCGGCAGGGTCGTTGGAGTCGGCGGAGACGTTGAAGAGATCGAGAATCTGATCCGTTTGCATGGATTGTAGACCGGCGTTTTGCTGGTTCACGACTGTGGAAGCTACGTCGATCTTGAAGCGTTGGAGACTGGAAAAATTAGTTAGAAGGACTTCTTGGGTATTGGGGGTTCGAAATACTTACTTCAAGATCTTTTCTTCCAAGGTGCCCCGCGTCACGATTCGGTACACGTTCACGACCTTCTTCTGACCGATACGATGGGCGCGGTCCATAGCTTGAATGTCTTTCTGTGGATTCCAATCGTGCTCGACGAAGATGACGGTATCGGCACCAGTCAAATTGAGACCTAGACCACCGACACTGGTTGTCAGGAGCAAAACATCGTACGAGGGATCAGTGTTGAATTTGTTGACAATCTCCTGGCGTTTGGTAGCCTCCACACCACCATCGAGACGCATGAACTGCACAGAAGGAAGAAGCTTTTCGAGTACGTTATGCTGGACCATGTCCAGCATCTCCTTCATTTGACAGAAGACGAGGGCGCGATGCTGAGAGACAGCTTCTGGTAGGTCGCCATTAGCGGCGGCAGACTTGTCACTAACAACGTCAGATGCACCGATACCGCAGTCGACAAGCAAATCCTTTAGGGCGCCTAGCTTGGGTGCGTGTACGATGTCGTCGATCGTGGTGTTGTGCTTCTTGAGATACTGCTGGGTAGGCTCATAAGCTTTGTTGGTAGGACCCTTGACAACGAGTGAAGGCGAATTGCAAAGCTTCTTCATGTACTGTAGAGCCTGGAAGATATGCTGCTTGCTCTCACGATCGGCGTTGCCGGCCTTGGACTGAATCTCCTTGCCCTGACGCTTAGTGAAGTCGTCGAAGAGATTACGTTGCAATTCAGATAGATCACAGTAGTAATTCTGCAGAATCTTGGGTGGCAGGTCATCAAGTACTTCCTCCTTAAGACGACGAAGAAGGAATGGGAGCACTTGCTTGTGTAGAGCTTCGATTGCAAGCGCACCTCTCTCTTGCTCCTTCGACGAGCTCTTGGCGAATCTGGAGGCAGCGATGGGCTTTGCGAAACGCTCCTGAAAGACCTTCTCGGTACCGAGGAAACCGGGCATGAGGAAATCGAAGAGTGACCAGAGCTCGAGCACATTATTCTGAATGGGTGTACCGGAGAGAATGAGACGATGGTTTGACTGGAACTGCTTGACGGCCTGGCTGGTCTTCGACTTGGAATTCTTAATCAGATGACCTTCGTCAAGTACGCAGTAATTCCAGGTAATGGGCTTAAGAATGTCCGCATCGTTCCTGCAAATATCGTACGAAGTAATGACGATGTCCACCTTGTCGAGTTGGTTTCTGTGCTGACCACGAATGGGTGGAGAACCAACATAAGCGACGCAACTGAGGAAGGGTGCATATTGCCGGATCTCCTGCTGCCAATGACCAGACAGTGTAGGCGGACATACGATGAGAGATGGCAGGCGTCGGAAGTTTGGATCGCCAGTTTTTGCAAACTCGTCTGCGCGTATGTGATGATCACTAGCCACCATGCACAGTGTTTGTAATGTTTTACCGAGACCCATGTCGTCGCAAAGGATACCGTGAAGATTGTAACGGTTGAGGAAGGCCAACCAGTTGACACCTTCCTGTTGGTATGAACGGAGCGTCGCCTTGATACCGACAGGAATTTCGAAAGGCTCCACCTTCTTCGCATCGAGCATCTGAGCAACAAATTTTCGTTCTCGGTCTCGGCCCTTGAGGAGAGAGTCTGGAAGACCTGGTGGGTCAGGGATACCAGACTCAAGCGGTACGAGCTTGACCAGTGTGGCAAAACTGGTTGTAGCAAGCAACCGTACATCGTTGTCTGAGTCGCTCATACGACCAAGAACAGGGGTGATAAGGAAGATGACGTATGGTAGTATGGCGTCTTCCATGACATGAATGAGATGGTAGATGCACTCGATGGCTCCTTGACGGGCGTGCACGTTGCCACCATCGCTGATGGTCGGTAGAACGTTCTCGACAAGCATCGTCACACCTTCCACAGACATGACGCTGCAGATGGTAGCGAAGCACTTGGCAGCTGCGTACCGCAAAACGTACAGCTTGCTCTGGAGAGCCTTTGCAATGAGTGGAAGCAGATCCTTGACAAAGCCTCTAACACTTGGGTGGAAGCTACCGACCAGGGCACGTAGAGTCGACAAAGCATCAACGACTTCCTGGCCAAAGACACCATCTTCGTTGAAAATGTGCGCTGGAAGAGTGGCCTCAGTGAAAGCGTCCTTGATGGGTCGTTCAATCAGGTCCTTGAGGATGGGGACCTTCTCGAAGATCTCAGCGCCGAAACTCTCGACAACCTTCTCCAAACCTTCTCGTGCACCACGCTTGGTGATCCTAGCGGCTCGTGACTCCTCTGCAAAGCGAGCAGCGTCCGGGTGGTCGCGCACGTCTTCATCCTTCTTGAGAGTAAGAATGCCTGTTTCGATATGTGACTGTCCGGCAAACTCGGGTGTCTCAGCTGTTTCCATGCAGTAAAACTTGACCAAGTTTCCGACAACTTTGTTAACCACGCCGGATCTCTTCGCGTTGACCAAAAAGACGATGTAGCCCGCAACAGCAGCCGCTGAGCGTTTCTGTAGCTCGACGTTCTCCTCCTTCTTGACGCTGTCCATCATAGCCTTGATTGGTGGGGATGGCTTCCTCGGGGGTGAGTTGAGCGCCACCAGTGCACCGGCTGCAGCAGCCTTGATACGGACATCGCGCTCTTCCTTGATATCCTTGGCCTCTTGGATACTCGATTCTACCTCCTTGCGTGCTGTTTCCAGGTTCGTTCCGGCAACCATGCGGGCTGACGGTGTCATTCCCTTCTTGAGTTTCTCATACTGCACATTGAGCAGCTTCTCGGCATCGGCGACACCAAAAGCATAGTGGTTCGCATTTGGCATGCCCTGGACAAGAGCAGCAATCGTTGGCAGATTTTGCACATGTGCTTCGTGGAAGATGCTCAGCAAAGAGTGACACTGTGTTCGAACGATTTGTAGTTTCGGCACGAGATCCTCGTAGGCGGCTGGTCTTTCGCCTTCGACGATAGGTAGGAGGGCCTGAACGAACGATTCAGCCAAGGCATCTTTGGTCGCCAAATTCTTTCCGAATTCCTCGATGATGATCGCGCCCGTCAATTGGGTTGACGCGTTGGGAGAAGAGAGAGGCTTCAATAGTCTAGATTTGAAGGCCTCCAACCTCAGTTCCTCAGGCCACGCTCCCATCGCCTTGCCAAGAGCCTGTGCTGCAGAGGTCCTGGAGCGAATCATCACGTCCGCTCCGATGAGTTCCAGATCGCCAGTAATCATATGTCCGTCGACGTTGTGACTTTGAGAAGTTGGAGTAGGGGTTGACATGTCGTCCTTTCCGTGGCGAGACTTTTTCCTCTTCCGAGCCGGCTCACCGGCATCTGGCGGAGATGATTTGCGACTCGGCTCAGAGTCTGGTGGCGGGCCCATGGCTTGCCCAGAAGGTTTGATGAGTAGTGACTTATTCAGCGATATCGGATGACGAGAAACTCCGATAGGCGTCAGGGTGAGGGGGATCACAGCATCTAGTATGGGCTCCATATGAGTGGCCAGCTGGTTACCCAGGGCCTCCACGATAGCGTTCCAAAGCTGGAGAGAGAGCTTCAGCACGCCCTCGTTGCGTTCGAGCAGGATGTTCTGGAAAACAAGCTGTAATGCCTTGCTGTCTACCCAACTGTCTGCACCTTCGCTCTGGATATTGAGGAAAGTAATCAGAGCACGCAATACCGCCGCGCGAACACTGGTGATTGTATGGCGTAGGAATGGGAAGAGTCGAGGCACCAGTTCGTGAAATGATTGACTTGGGTCCTGTCGTGCGTTGGCTTGCATGGCTTCTAAGACTTGAGGAAAGCCACAAAGCTTCGCCAGCAGATCCATGATGAAACCAGTGCTCGCGCTCAGGTCATCTTGTAAGCTGGAGAGACACGACCAGACTACGTTCATCAACCCTTCGAGTGATTTGGGACGCATCTCGATAAACTCCTTAGCGACCGGGATAAGAGTCGCTGCACTGATTGCTCGAACATCGTCGTCGGAATTGCTTAAACCGCTGATAACTGCAGCGAGTACCCCATCCAATAAAGTACCATCTTCTAGGAGCAGATCGTTCCTAACGGCGACAAGATACCGTAAACCAATCATACCACCTTGACATAAGGCCCATGGTGCGCTTAGAGGGTTAGTGTCGAGGGGAAGGTTGTGATTGATGATCAGGCGGTTGAGGACCTGAAATGTTGCGAGAACGTTGTCGCGAGACATGTATTGCAGCAATGAACCAAGGGCTTGTCCAGCCGTCTCGCGAATGGGCGCAATGGCATTATCGCCAGTGAAGTCCGCAAAGCGGTCAAGCATGAAGATGCAGATCATGCGACATGCTAAATCGTTGAGCCATCGCTGGTTGAGCCGATCATTCTCAGTCCGACTGAGACCCTTCCGTCTGCCAGCACCACCGCCGTGGATACGAAGAATCTCTCTAAGACCCATTGCGGCACCATGACGTACCTCCCAAGTATAGTCAAATAACTCAACAGAGAGATACCCACACACGCGCTCGAATGGCCATTCCAATCCGGCTTCTTCAGCCTCAGTCTGGAACGATGACTTCTCTGCCACTGGCGCGCCCTTGAACTCTTTGACGAATTTCGCATCGTCGTCCCCACCGTTGCGCTCGAGTGAGAAGTAGTCGTTCATGGGTTCGTCTTCGTCGCCGTTCTCCGATTTCTCAAATTTGAGGGCCACAGGGTGTGGGCGTACCGGCGTCTCAACAAGGTCTGGTTGTGAGTCTTTTCGTGAATTTGAGTTGAAGTCGACGACTTGTACTTTGTTAGTACCTCCGGCAGCTTGCCTCTTGTTCTTGCGCCGCAGGGCATTTTGTTGACGCTTGCTAAGCCCTTTACCATCAGGTGTGCCTGCAGTAGGAGAACTGGCATTGTTCATGCTATCTGGTCGTGAAATATTGGTGTCGATGCGATTTATAGCAGGTGTTTTGGGGGCCGGCGTTTGCGGCATCAGCTCTTGGGGTGGTGTAAGGTCCTCAACCCATGCGCCTTCGAAGCCGAGACGCTTGAGCAGGGTACTCTTTTGGTACTCTAGTCGTTCAGCAGGATCCATGGCTGCAAGCTTGTAATCATGCTCCTTAGTTCCGAGAGAAGCTAGGACTTTGCCAAACTTGAGGATGGAAGGCAAGTCAAGTGTAGCAAGATCGAGCCCGTCGGTGAGCGGTGGTAGAGCGCTGTCGCCATTCTCCTCCTTCTTGACCGACGCGCCGTTGGTATCCTCAGACTTGATATCGCCATTTGAATCCGACTGGCCTTCCGGTTTGACAGGCCCCTCGGGATCCTCTGCGTTGGGGTCGAATTTGTCGGCATTGGCGGCGATGCCTCCTATGGCCTTGGCAGCAGCAACTCGAGTTTCCCAGCTTTTGGATCGCAGGTAGGGAATGACTCGAGTAAGAAGATTAAAAAGTTCATCGGGGTGTTGTTTTTGGACGTCGGCGAGCTGGTCTGCTGCTGTGTTTCGGATTAATGCTGTGCTGCCGGTCTCGAGGAGCCTTGGCGTGGGTTAGCGAGAGTCAGAAAGTGTCCAGCAAGGCAAGGCTGTCGAGGCAAGATAAACCTGTCGCAAAAGACTGCAACTGTAGTGTATCAAGTTGCGAAGAGCATGCAAGATGTTGCGACCGGGTATACTTACGTTACGAGACGGTCCAATCTGGTGGCACTATCAAAGCGTTAGCGCGTCATGCATGCATCGATGCGATATGCGACATACCTCATGTTTGCGCCGCAGGATGAACAGCCAGGCTCGCAAGTGGAGCGCAACCGGAAGAATTAGAAATTACTAGGCGCCCGCAGGCGTGGCCATTGAAGCACTGAGCACGGCAAATGATGTTGGGCTATGTAGTCAGAGGTGTGTATGCGAGTCACGTGACGGAGTGGTAACTCGATGCGGTGCCGGGAGCGCGTTCGGAGAAGGTGGGCTGCGGGCCTATCTAAGAGAATGAACAGGTCATTAAGTAGGCTGGATCACCACCAGGAACGGGCTAGTGTGGTGGCCCGAGCGTCCCGTTTCAGGGAGTAGAGGGAAATTTTTGCAACATCAACGGCGCCGGCCAGAGTGATGCATGTACAAACAGAGTGCATGTCCTCACTGTCCAGGTCGTCTACCGATTGCGAGACATATTTTGATGCTTATCGGGCGTGGTGCGATGAACTGCGCCGGTCGCGACTGCCTTTGAAAGCAATGTGGCCTCTGCGCTAGCCGGATCCATCACCGCCTCATGTGTACGCACCAACGCGCCTGCTCAAAGACCAACTTCCAACATCTCCACTCCTCCACCTACTCATAATCGTATACGATGATCGCATTCGTCGTCGCGTCAATTTCGCGACAGCACTCTGTGCATTCAGTACACGACATACAACTCCCTGTCCCAGCGTGACTCTACGCGTCTTTGTTGTCACCCGGCTAGGCTACCATCATTTCTGACAGCCAGCCAGAGCTCTCCGGTGCTCTGGTGGCTTGCAAGGCTGCCCACCGGTAAGCCCTTGACCACTTTTTGCCCATCGCAGCAGCCGCAAACAGTGCAGCCTTTTCCGTGTCGCTTTCTGCTCTATTCGACACGAATCAAACGCGACAATTCTGATATCCGTGGCAAGGCGGATGTACCGGACGGACCCAACCTCTCGCTTGAACTGATCTGCATGAAGCGCTGCAGCTAGCGCATACCTGCATCGACATATCATCTGGGGATATCGTTCTTCTACATGTCTTCCTTTTTTCTATTGATTATTCTGTCTTCTGGCCCCAGCGCTCCCCCATGGGAACTCGACGTTTTCCCCGCAGCATTTGCGTGTTGAACGTGTAATTTCGAAGTGGAGTCCAACGAACGCAGGTCCAACGCTTTTCGTGCTACGCGAATTGCCCTCTATGTCATTGGTACCGCGCCTGTGGCTGGCTGCAGACAGCGGTCCGCGATACGCCCGTGCTTGACCACTATTTCTATTCGTAAACAATGCGCGAAGCTCTAGCGCAACGCCTGGATCGCATTCTCGAGCAAGAGCCAGGAACGTGTGGTACACCAAAATATCCGTCGTCGTGAGGTTGCGCGCTGCGATAACACTTCGCCGCTCAAGGCCGTATTTGCTGCTTACCAGTCATGATGTTGTCGCGTGACATTACAGCATCATACTTTAGTCATGGTCATTGTGGTACTGCTCGGCTTCTGCTCCATGTTCCGCACGCACACTACTGGTCATTGGACACTCGTCATCATCAGATTTCATGATTATTCACGTGCGCAGGTATTGCCCTTGCATCTTTACAGCGCTTAACTCGTCGGCGTCGACTCGAATTTGAACCACATTAATAGCAACACTGTTACACCATAAGCAAACCATCGTATTGCACTGCTACAGCGTCAGCCCTAGCATGGGCGTGCCCTTGCACATGACAGACAATTTCAGTACTTTCAGAAAACTGCTTCGGACATGACAAGTATCTGAGGAGGCAAGTAGCGTTCGATCTCGTTATTTCTCTGTGTCGTGATAGAGGAACATGATGGCAGCCTACCAAACTTTGGAAGAGCACGCACCGGCCATGAGCCCCCGTCAAGTCATTTTGGTATTGAATAGCCAAGTTCTGGAACGTACAATGGATGCGAGAGTTGAATCTGATGATTTATATACCCAACTCCTATCAGAGGCGCCAAAATGGAGAAGCATAGCATAGTCTTCAAAAGTTTCCGCTGATGTTATCAGCGTAGGTTACTGCACATATCTCCAGAATAGTAAGTCCACTCTATAACAGCTTTGAAGTCATTCAATTACTATTCAGGCATGATTGTCATTTCATCATCTTCCCAACTTGGGCACTTGCACATCATCTAGTTCTCCTGGCTGTTTAGCTCTGCTACACGTGCGATAGCAGCGTCAATGGCGCTAGGTTTTATGTTAGATCATGCTTCTGGGATAAGGGTGATGACTTACTCTGTGTCAGGAGAATCGGAGAAAAGCAGAGTCTGCAAATATGCTCTTGCAACAGCGATGCGTGCTGCAAGAGAGCCCATGGTCGGTTGGCCGTTTTCGTTCTCTCGTCCTGCGTTACCTTCCGACACAGTACCGGCGTTATCCCCTGTGTCTTCTCCATGTTCATCTTGGCCGGCGGCAGCAGCAAGAGTATTTCTAGATTGCGCTCGAGCAATATCAGTGCCTGCTGCAATAACTGCATCCACGGTAGCTTGGAGCCTCTGGATTTGTTGAGTGAGGTCCGATGAGAAAGCGTTGCGTCTTCCTCCCCGAGCTCCAGAGGATACAGGTACGGTACGTAGTTCGTGGGCGACCTCGTTGGTCAAATGATCCTGGCACCAATATAGCCGATCAGACTTGGGACTCGTAACCTCAGTAGGCTGACTGGCTATATATAAGCTCATTCTGCTTTTCTGGAATTTTGCATAAGTGTCGAAGCCCTGAGAACGCATGTAGTAGCATAGACGTAGTGCATCCTTGGCTTGTGGATGCTTGTCTTCCGCTATATTTTCCGTCCAGTAGTAAGCTTGTCGAACAGTGAGTGTATCGGATGCATGAAGACCTAACCACTGCAGCAGTTGGAGCTGTATTCTGATATACGCCAGGCTTCTCACGATACCCTCTGCCTCGTCTGTTTCATTGTAGGCGGTCTTGGGTAGCATGGAAACGAGCGTAGTGACAGGCTTCTTCGGTCCTCGCTGCGGGGCCGTGACGTTGTTCTCGAGAGGTATAGGAGGTGTGGACATGACTCCAGTAGGTGGTGCGAGTGGTTGAAAACTGTGGTTGTGGGGTGTTGTGGACATACGAGAGGGTAATGCAGGGTCTTGTAATGCAAGCTCTTGACGTGAAACCTGGATGAGCTCTTGTTCCATACCTGAGATATCCATACCTGGGATATCTATGAGTTGTAAAGGAGTTTCGGAATGGACGTGATTGGAACGGTGAACATCTGTGAGTCCAGTATCGGCGCCGTTGTTATCGGCCATTTCGAGGAAGTCTATTTATCCAATTGGGCTATTTGGCTATGAAAACGGTGGGCCTTACTGACGGCGGAATAATATGAATTAGATGAAGTATAATAGATCGAGTGGGCGATTGCGTGAAAGAAGGATATGAGGGGCCCCAAGAACTACTTCGCGGGTAGGTACGAAGAAGCACTGCTTTCTAGGAGCGGTGTGAAGCCAACAGTGAGTGATGAAAGCACAAAGAAGAACACAGCGGTACACAGATACCTGAACAAGATGTATGAGGCGGGCTCAAGGCACCGTTGATGGCACAACTACAATAGTATAAGAGTAAACGAATGCGTCTAACTCGAACAAAAATACGGACATAAGCGTGAACAACTCAAATGCAACAGTACTGATGCCAGGAAAACACGAGAAGATTAGATTCCTCTGGTGTACTTCGACCACCATGAGCTTCGATCGAACCTTGTAGCCCGTGCAATTAAGAAGTCTTACTCGGTTCCACGTCCGAATGCTCCGTGTGGCACATCACCCCATGCCTCTCTTCTCTCACTCAGGGCATGCACAGAAAGTAAAAAATAGCTCTTCAGCAAGCGGTAACAAGTGACGGAGACGAGAACGCAAGTATGAGATCACAAAAGCGCTAGGAAGTCACCGCTCCAAGGATGTGATGTGAGAATCGCTTCGAAACGTACCGAGAAGTAGTCTAGATCAAGCTGGACTCTGTTTCGAGCATCGAAAAGCTCTGGGTACGCATTGCACTATCTCGCACGGATTCTAACTGTGACTATGCGGGATTGCGCTGTGGTGTCGCGGCTCGTTTGTGTCTACCTAGGTACTGTTTAGCCTTCATCTCGGCTATTCACTACAACTTAGGAATCTCTTTCTCAGTAGTAGTTTGCGTGAAACTCTAAAATTGTGCTCAACACGCGTGCAGTTGTTCTCATGGCATGAATGTGGTAATCGTGAGTTCCAGCTGTGCGGCCTGCTGCTAGCTTCGCTTCACATGTCTAATCGCACCGAACCCAACCAACACAATCTTAGATCCCATCAACCAATCATACCAAGCGCACCAGACATCCAGTTTCAGAGTCTAGACGCCCTTGGCCCTGTCTGGATACTTGAATGGCGGATATCCAGCCAAGAGATACGTCCGACGTGCAGGTTTCCACGCGGGACGATCAGTTGGCCTCGATTTCATGGTTCAGATGACGTATAGCGCAACACCATCTTGCGCAACAACCCTGTCTACCTGCCACCACAGCGGGCCACAAACTTGTAACGAGCACGGTGCAAGTGGTCGAGGATGAGATCACTGCTGGCGCAGATGGCGTACACACGGGACGTTGAAGTGGAGTATATATGTCGGCTGCCCGATCTGGGTGTTGACTTGCACATGCAAATACGCACGACCTGAGCGAACCCCACGGACAGTTTACATTGCTATCTTTACCTTAAATACAACCAACACAAAGTAACATTTCCAAAATGACAGACCAAAAAAAAGGATCACAAAAAACCTACAAGGAGGCTGCAGGGGAGTACTACAACCAGAAGTACGAGACATGGATGCCATGGATCGAGGATCAGTACCTGAAGTGGTTCACCAAGGATAACAAAGCTTCTTACGCTACCAAACGTACGTCTATTCTAGTTTAATCTCGTCTTGCCATATCACATGTCCCTAACACATCGCCTAAAGAAAACCTCGACAAGACCAAAGTCACAGGCGTATCCCAGGTCGACAACCTCCAAGACGGTGTGAACGGCCTCGTCGGCGGCCAAGTTGGCAAAGGAGGAATCGCACAACCCCTCGGTGACGCCGTCTCTAAAGAGGGTATCAATCGTGCTGAACGCGGCGGCAAGGATGAACAAGGCAAGCCCATCGAGGGACAAGGCCCACTGGGTGGCTATGGCCAGAGTGCTGCGGATGGAGTGAAGGGCGGTGCGAGCAGTGTTGCAGGAGGCGCAAAGAGCGCTGGGGGTTACATTGGAGGCATGTTTGGTGGTGGTAAGGGAGAGCAGAAGAAGTAGAGAGGTAGAGGCAGGTGATATGATACCACGATCCATAGGATTTTTACTCTAGGCAGATCAAACTGAACAGTTTTGCGCTGGATTTCCTAGTTTTATGCTTGGAATTCATCTTCCGTAGTAATACATATATACTCTCTGGTCGTTGTTGCATCGTTCGTAGGCTTGCAGGAAAACCTCCCTCATATCATCAAGACGTTTACATGGAGTATCTCTACACTACGACGTCGCGTGTGCATCCACGTCTACCACGGTGCCTTCCCCCTCTTCCACCCCAAATAGCTTCAAGCAGTTCCCTCTCTTGAACATCCTCGCACAATCTACAGCATTCGGTTGCCCCTTTTCTACATCCGCTCCCCCCTCATACAACACTCTAACAACGTCGTCATATCCCTTGAACACCGCGCCCGCAATAGGACTCTGACCTCTCCCGTTCAACACATTCGCGTCGGCGCCGCTATCTAAGAGCATCTTTGCAGTCTCGGCATTACCGTGGTACGATGCCAGCATGAGAAGTGTGTCGCCGGATGCATTGGTGAGGTTCTTGGGGATGCCGGCGCTGACGTATTGGGAAAGGGTAGATGTGTCCCCACTGCGGGCGAGGTCGAAGAGGCGCGCTGCTAAGTCGAGGGCAGCAGGTGGGAGTTCAGAGGGGGATCTGGAGTCAGGTGGGGCTTGGACGGCACCCTCGGTATCGGTTGCGCCTGTACCTGTGACTGCTGCTTGAGAGGCCTGTTGGCCATATGATTCTTCGTAGGACGGCATCTTCTATTCACTCTTTGATGATGCGACTATACGGCGTAAAGTGAAGCAGATGAAGATGTTGCTTTGAATTAGTGTTGATGGCAGACCGCCTGCTGATATCGTGATTTACATGGTGAAAATCTAGAGCGCAGACGCTCAGTAAGAGTAAAGGCGCCATTAACCATCTCTCGAGCGTCGATGACGAAATTGATCCCGGTCGCGCTTTCCGAGCAGGAAACGCGCTAGTGGTCGCTGCACCGTTTGCTTGGCGGCCATCGCGACTTCCCCAGTGTCGTTCCATTGTTAAGTTGACGGTCTTCACCACAACCCGCATTACTGTGACGCCGCAAACAGAACACGACACTCGTATTTCTGTCGCGACCATGGCTTCACCACCACATATCCCACAGCTCAACGTCCCTGGTAGCCGCAAGCGCGGCAGCATATCCTCACACTCCGGCGCGCCCACCAAGAAGCGCAAACCCTCCAATCTCCGCAACGCCTTCCCGCCAGCCGCTGAATCAGTCGGAGGTCCCCCCCGCCAATACTCGCGTTCACCTTCCGTGGAAAGCAATATCACTACATCAGTCGTGAACGGCGCAGGAGGAAAGAAACGGCGGAAGAAGGGTGGAGACGGAGGTAGTGTCGCTGGCTCAAGTATAAGAGGAGGCAAAGGCGGCGACGGAAGAAGTGCAATCGGAGGTGAAGACGAAGATGGCGACGGAGAAGTAGAAGACGACGACGATGACGAGATGGGCGAGGAGATGGGTATGGAAATCGAAGGCGGCATGAGTGTTGAAGCACGAAGGAAACAAGAGAAGGAATACGAACGGTATGTTCCACCATCAACTTTCTGCTATCCAAACCCAGTTCACTAATTGCCAATGCGATGAACAGCATGCTAGAAGACTTCATGACCCCCGCCCAAATGGACCGCTACGCAACCTACCGCCGTATCCGCCTCAAGCGCGAAACAGTCCGTAAACTCGTCAATCAAACACTCTCCCAATCCGTACCTCAACCTATCATCATCGCCGTAACGTCCTACTCGAAAACTTTCATCGGTGAACTCATCGACCGCGCCCTCACAGTCCGCGACGAATGGTCCGCCGTCCGCACTCACTTGCCCAACCCAAATCTACCCGGTCCCATCCTAAGCCAGAGCTTAGTGAGACCAAGCGCTCATATCAAGGACGACAGGAATCGTCCCACCAACTCGGATATCACAAGTGCGGGATGGTATCCTGGCCAGGTTGATCGGTCTGAGAGTTTGTGGAAGGAGGTAGAGAAGGATGCTGGTTTGCAGGATAGGCTGAAGGCGTGTGATAAGGGACCACTTACACCGGCGCATTTGAGGGAGGCATTAAGGAGATACAAGAGGGATCGTGATGGTGGGGGTGCTGGCTTTGCGGGTATGAGTTTAGAAGGCGTGGAGAGGACTATGGGTAGGACGGGCGGGAAGAGATTGTTCAAGTGAGGGCATCTGTTTGTATTCTTTTCAAAGTACTGGGCTATTTTGGGTGCCACGGCGATTGGTACCGCCAAGCATAGCGACGGCGTTTGGGTATGGATATTACTAGCATAAGACTGCATATTTTTACGGTGCAAGAATCGAAAAATCTGTCCAACATTGACAATAACACAAGTCAGTTGCCAAGTGAAATCTGTTTGGTCATTGCGGAAAGTCATACAGTGTCACACGAAAGAACCTATATTGTACTCAATACAAAGCATGAGCAGCATCAGGGGGTCATAAGTGGAAGTGGAAGTGAAACCTTCTCAGAGGCACTTTTGAAGAGCTACATTTATTCATAGCTATTCATCATTCCAGTCCATCCCAACCGAAGAGAGAACACCTTAGGAAATCATAACGCTAATCAACAACCATCTAGTTCTCGTGGAGGAGGTCGAGGAAGGTGTCAGCAGCAGGCTCGGGCTTGCTGGCCTCGAGCTTCTTCTGGCCCAACTTCTCCTTGGAGAAGGTAGCAGCGTATGGGTTGAGGCGGAGCTGCACCTGGAAGTTCTTGAGCGGGTTCTTCTTTTGTACGACACCACGCTTGGAGACGGCTCCACCACGGACGGGGCGGAGGACCTTCTGGACGTCGCTGGAGTTGATGATCTTGCTGAGGTCGGGCTGGCTCATCATGCTTGATGGGAGGAGGTAGTCCTTCTTGAGCGCGGAAGGCTCGGCGGTGGATCCGTAGACCTTGTCAAGGGCGCTGAAAGCAGATGAGGTCCAGACGATGAAGCGACCGAGGTGGCCACCGGGGGCGAGCTGGAGGAGGTTCAGGGAGTAGACAGATGAGGTCTCAACACCTGGGATGTTGCGGAAAGCAAGGACAAGCTCCTTGCCATCCTCGTCGGGGTTGTAGATGACCAAGGGACCACGGCGCTGCTTGTGGCGGCGGCCACGGAGCTTACCCTTACCAGCACGGAGCTTGCGGGAGTTCTTGGCCTTCTCGACATCGGCACCAGCACCGACAGCCTTCAACAGAGCGACGGCAGCGGAGGTCTTCTTGATAGCGGCATCGGCGAAAGCAGTCGATGAGATAACGAGGGGAACCTCAGGGACAGTGCTGATGGCGTGACCGCGGGCAAGGAGAAGAGCAGGGCTTCCTGAAGCAGCGAGCGCAGACGCGGTAGCGAAACGCTTCTGGTTCAGGTTGATCTTCTGGTGCCACTTGCGCCAGACCTTGGTGGGAGCGAACATGCGACCGGATCGGCACATGTTACCGAAAGCAGCCTGACCAGCACGGTGAGTACCTCCACCAGAGACACGGGGAATACGGGCGACAGCGCGACCAGTACCCCAGGACTCGGCAGAAGTTTGGTGACCAGCCTTCTCGGAGCTGCTTGTTGTTAGATCGAGCGATTGCGCAGCATGCGAGGTAGGCTTACACAGCGTATGGCTGGCGGCGGTTCTTGTTCATGCCAGTGTGCACCGCGTGGACGATGTCAGGGCGGATGGGTGCCTGTACGGATGGTTAACATTGCTCAGAGGTAGCCTTGTAGTACGGAGCATGTGCTCAGAGGTACAGCAGAACCGTCGCAGCAGGTTGTACATCTTCGAGAGACTGAGAGCCGGCAACCCAGAAAATGCGAGTTTTTGCAACAATTTCACGCCCGCACGTCATGGGAAGAAATCCGCGATATTCCAGGTCAATGCGAGCAATGCCCACTGCCACCCGCATCTTCGCTCTTTCAGATATCTTCCCATGTGTGCGTTGCTCCAACTGCCATTGTAGCCTCTCTCAGTCTCCCCCTCCGATTGCGGGTTGCGTCGTATCGCGAATTCGAATTGCGGCGGAACTAACCTTGAAGACATTGGGCACGGGGACGGTGTCCTTGGTGGCCTCGCCCTTGGCGGAGACGACGGTGACGGTTGGCCTCGACATGGTGGCTGTTGTGTATTGACCTGGTGGTTAGTTGTCGCGAGAGAAGATTCGAATCGTCAATGTTCTCGCTGAATTTCGACTCTCGCTTACCACCGGTGGTGTCGCGCTAGCCGTCTTGGGCTTGGCGTCATTGGTCGCTGCGTGCGAGCTGGAGCATCTTCACATGCATCGCAGCAAGCGCTACGAACTTTGAAAACATATTGTAGTCCAAAGTCACATATCGAAAATCACTGTTACGGCCGCCTGCTTTGAAGTGAGATGCTATCTTGAAATTCAGAAAACTGCAAATGTCTCCAGCATCTATGACCTGTCTCAAGACTGTTGTGCGCAGAGCAAGCACGACAACTTAATAGAATACTTTTACCTTGACAATGCTCATGGCGACGGGCTTGCGGATGACATACAAGAAGTTCTGAGGATGTGTATGCAGAAGCTACATGTCTTGTCATGCGTCCTTTCTTTAGTGCAATTGTCAGATCATGGGAGAGATGCATACTTCAAGGTCAGCACCATCAATAGGTACCCGCTCTGGAAATGAAGTTTGTAAACTGGCTCGGTCTTGTGATTCGTGGGGTATCTGAATCACTGTTTCCGTTCATATTCGATCATCTATCTACTTTGTCTTTAGATCACTATAGTTTCAACCAGGAAGTTTACACAGGCGTCAGTAGTAGCCGTAGCGCTAGTCAATATCGGAGGCGCGACTCTCATCTCTGTTATTGTTAATGGCATATTGTACTGTCGATGCCAGACACAAATCTAATTGAGTACCTTATGCGCGCAGTCGATATGGTGACGTGTTGCATTCCAAGTACTCTGTAAACATAGGGGCGCATTGAAGTAATTTGGCTATGTTGAGACACCAAGCACAACCAAACCTACGATCAGGTCAACCAACAATTATACAAGTGCTGGCACGTCCCTACTTGTTGGTCGAAGACGTCGCATAGTATTAGGTTCCTCGGTCCGCGAGCACGATCGCAAACATCTGAACCTTACAGAGGCCCGTGATATATCACCCCTTGTGTCGAAGAGTATGCTACTTGGTCCAACTAGCCCTAATAACGGACGAACTAACATGTTCTACCACAGCTTCTATGATAGTCTGGTTGTTGTAAGGTCGTGGCAGATAGCACGGCGATGGCACGTAGACTCGGGCCGTCTTTGGGGCCTTGTCCAGAGGCCAAAACACTCACGACGCTCGACTCAGTCGAGTGTACCATGTGCGTGGTAGCGAAGAGTTGGGCTCTGATCTCTCCACGTTGCAAATTGATAAGTATGGAAACCACCACTGAGTCGCTCAGTCAACCCTATCCCGATCTCAAGAGCACGTGCCCGTCAAGGTGAGGCGGAATGCACTGAGTCGGCGGATCTTCGCATGGATGCCTGTTTCGGTGTCGCGTTGCTTTTTTGGACGGATTCTGCCGGTGTTAAAGATGCTGAAACGCATTCGGTGTGGGCTGGCCGAATCGGGTTTTTGCGTGACAGAAGAACAAACTATCAGCATTCAGGGCACAGGCAGCGGCAGAGGTGGAAATAAGTTTCGGCAGGTACAGCATAGATTGCGGCTCTGCCTAACAGCCATGCGGGAGAAAGTTCCACATATGTTGTGAGTGGGTTTAGGATTACGAAACTGACGGCAGAGAGATGAAACGCGTGGTAGTACTCACATGACGAAGACGCGGAATTCTCACCCCGCCAACGCCAACATGTGGGTCGATATCTTTCCACGGTGCGTTTCACGTCAGAGATATTTACTTGGACTGTTTTGCATGCCTCAGAAGGCTGCGATGAAGGCAGTCGCAGTCGACGATGCAGTGCGTGTCGAAACGATGGCTGTGGCACGCGAAGCGAAGCAAGGGTCTCCTGGCTGTAGGATAATGACATTAATGACGACGCTGGCCGGGCTGCTGCGATGGACGCGAACGGCGAGTAATTATCTCGTGTGCGTCCAGGCCGGAGACGGGACGGATTACATGGATAGGTACTGTCTGGGGTGGCTGCAATATGAGCGGACCCCTACCTCTTTCCGAGGTTTCTCGTCTGGGCCTTCCCGTCTACAGGCTGCGGCCTTCCAGGGGGGGCTACTCTAGACTCGAAAAGGTCCGGGGAACAAAGGCAGTCTGGTGAAGTCATCCGCCGGCGTGTGTGGGTGTGAGCGTGTGGACGAAGCGAGGAGAGATTTTGTTTGCTAGAGCGAGGCAAAGGACGACTACTTGCAGGCTGCAGACTATGGATCGACGGCGGTACGGTAGACATGTTGTAAGGCGGCGTGCTTGAGTGGACTGGTCTGTTTGTGTAGTGTGGCCCATGGCCCTGGCGTGCTAGTGTGCTAGTGGTCGCAGCTGCCTCGTAGCGCACCGGCGGCGGTTGCTATTCCTGGAACGTCGGCGCTTCCACAGAGCCACCACTAGCGTTGCCTCGCAGTTCGTCTCCCCCATCCATCGACAAGACGCATTCACGCCGCCTCAATCACGACACACAGCGTGCTCGCCTCGCCTACCCACCAACCCTCCCCCCCCAACACCCAGGCGGCAGCGGCTCTGCGATCGACCGGCTTCCCTCGTCCGCTCTAAGCTGGTCACACTCTGCCACCACAGCAACCACGAGTCCAGAGTGTGTCGCAATACACGACAATTGTGAGCGCGGCAGCCACGTCGAGAGCGCCTTCCTCACCACCGCCCTCCCCTCACCACGCAGACCCGCAGCGTCGCCGACACTTGACCTTTCTACCCACTACGCCGCATCATCTCAGGCATAGGCGCATCGCCGGCCTAGTCGCTCCTTCCCCCAGGCGCTTAGTAGAGGATCTGGTATTCTCGCTCCCATTCACCACACCAGCGCCCCTCTCCACTGCTGTTGGCAACCAGGTAAGCTGCATGTCCTCTTCGCGTCCCACCTCCACCCTCTGTGCCTTGTTGTCCGTCTGAGCGAGCATGACTGTGCACAAGGCAGTGTACGGGCAATCGTCGTCTGCCATCCACTGCTTGCTTGACCATGTACACTACTCTTCCCCCCATCCTCGAGTCTGGAAACAGTTTCTCGAGGAACTGTCTCCAGCCTCCATTCCCCGTTCCCTGTT